AAATCGCTAGAATTTGCAAGCGGCTTTGTACTCAAATTCCTCAAGTGGGGACGTCGTCCAAAACTCTGTGGTCAGCATAGTTTTGGGGGTCGACCCCTAAAGCAACATGAGCGCAGCGACCGTGATGCTCCGCTAGTCTAACTTAATTTAACAGTAAAGCAGTAGTTTCCATTAATTTTAACAGGCGCCGCCCCTAGTGGTGTACACTACTGGGGGGACGCGGGGTAAATTCGATTCGTCCATAGCTAACGGATCGAAACAAGACTGCGTAAGGAAGGATGTGTGCACCTAGAATAGGTAATGGGCAAGCCTCAGCATCAGTGCTTGCGTCGTTCGTCCATACTGGAGATGTCGCCGCCACGGCATACTTGCCGCTAGTGAACACATTCCTGTCGGATTTTCTTAACTCGAAAGGTCGCGAAATATCTCCCCCTGTTCAGTGAACAGTGTTCACTCAGTGAAGCAAGATCTCCCCAAAACTTACTTATGATAAAATAAGATTCTGTAATTTACGGTGAAAAGGTACCGAGACGGCAATCTTCGCAGTCCAATTTCTCATCAAGTAGGACCTGCATGGAGCTACAAGCACCTGCATTGTGCTTAGAATTCCTAGTTCTGTCGAAAGATATCGGTCTTACTCGCACTACTGACGTCCACCAGAAGTCAATTTTGCGACGTCCCCCCCAAAGGCCACTTTTAGGTACATGACTGGGGGCAGCGCCTGTTAATGTGACATTTTACATTTTAAGTGGTAACATACGTTTCTATTGATTTAATCGCGCTTCAATTTTGCTTAACGGAAAACGCAAATTTGTATACCGCATACTATTGAATTGAACACATCAATTTTAGAAAGGTATACAAATAGGAGAGGGTATCCTACCAAAGTAGATCCGATGCATACAAGTTCTGGATATGTGTTGCAAGCTGGCTACGTACTGCAAAACTATTTTGATGACATCCTAGCAACTCATATGCCATTCTTAAAACCATGGAGACTCCCATAGGTTGCGCCAGAGTTGGCTCACAACGTCTTTCATGGACAGTGTCATCCCAGCAAGTAGAATTTGACGAAAACCATTTTTTTCTTTAGATACCTTACGGCAATTTTGCATGAAGCTCCAAAACTGACAAACGGCACCGAAGACAATTGCCATTGCGAAGATAAAAACGACCGGATCTTGTTTGCCGTATCTGATAAAGTAAATACTTACTTAGGTACACTCCTTTCATTTTTGAAATTAAAGGAGTGTGAGTATTTGACGCCTTGATCATGTGATCTTCAATTCTAAGGCGTCTCTTAGCCAATCAGACATGCTAAACTTAACATAAACTTTGCTGTTTCAAGTAAATTAGAAAGTACTCAACGCTCTGTATGGTTGTTAAGATATACAAATTGGCGTAGGTACAATAGCTTTGTATACTGATCAAATTCTATCGGATTTGAGAGGAGGTATTCAATTCGGGAAGGGTACGCTATTTGGCGCTATCCGTTAGTATATCCTACGAGCTTCTGTTTGTAAGAAGTAGAAAGAGTAAAACGCGCGCATCTCCCGCCTTTTCCCTGGCGGTTGTGTCCCGCAATGACCGGTGCAAACTGAAGCTAGCATCGTCGCGAATGCACAGTTCAATCCGGGACGTAGCCATTCAAACGGGATATTGACGAATCGCAACGAGTAAATCTCGCCCCGCCTGTTGCTCGATAGACACCGGGTGCGCTTTGAAACGCGTCGTCCCTCCCGGAATTTTCTTTCTCTTGTCTTGGGTATGCCCATACTGAGAGCCTTTCATTCTCCCTTTTCTCCTGCGCTGACTATAGTATAGTTAACGACTTCGACCGGCTATTTCGACAGTATGGAACCACTAGCGGCGGGCGAGCATGGCGCTGGAGCGGCGTGGGCGGCCATCAAGACCGAGGCGGCCGGCGGCAAGAAGCGCAAGCGCCTGCAGAAGAAGGCCCCGGGCGCGCCCAAGCGCGCTTGGTCTATATCATTTGCAAGGGTTTTGTAATTCTGTAGCGAGTACGTGACCGTGAGTGTGTCCAGCAGGCCCATGCTGAAGGAGTACACGAGCGCAGCTGGCTCACACTACGAGGCGAGCAGCGAAGGACGGGGGTTACAGACGGAAAGATCGCCAACAGCGAGTGCGAGGCGCGATCTTGCGCGGAGGGGCACCGAAGCAACGCACGAGCGGCTCACAGCAGCCGAGCGAACCAACCGATGGCTGAGGGCGTCCGAAGCTAGCGACGGGCTGTTCGCGGGCGAGGGATCACTTGGCAATCTGCCAGACAGCGAACACTAGCAACAGCCACAGACAGCAACAGACAGCAACAGCAGAACAGTAGAGCAGCAGCAACTGCCGACAGTACAGGACGAGCTACGAACAGACAGGACAAGTCAGACGGATTGACCGGAGGCTTGCTGGTGACGTGGAGCGCACTTGTAGAGTCGTGTAGTGTAGCAGCAGGGGGAGGTTGCAGTGCCGACTTGAAGTGGCCGCGATTGACGAACAAGTGAATACAGACAACGACGGAAAAAGCCGGCGTGACTGACTGCCATCCTCCATAGGCCATATTGGCTAAAAGGTTGCGTAACTGTTCAAAAACAAAGCACAAATCCGAATGTTCTGCAAAAAAGCTGCATTTTATTCAAATGCTAATCTTAGGATACTGAGGAATAGCTGCCTTAAAGCTCCTAATTACAGTGCTTTCGGGGATGGCATCCCAAGCAGCAATCGTAGCGCGAACGGCACGGAGCCGCTTTTCCTTAGCACTGCCACCCGTGATGCCAGACCAGTTCCAGCGCAACTTTGCCTTTAGTGGCCCCATTACACCGACATCCAGCGGCTGGCAAGCAGCCGTGCTGTTTGCGGGTAGAGGGACCACAGTAGTATTAGCAACTTCGGCAACGACCCGCTGCCCCTCTTCCGACACATGACACTCAAAGTTGTCAAGAAGGAGGACAGCGGTCCATCAACTTCATATTTTAACAACTTTTCTACGTAAAAACGCCACGTAACAGTGTCCATCCAAGCGTTCTCTTGGACGGTGTAGAAGTGTCCTTCCGGATACTCTTCGAACTCGCTTGTGTCGATTCGACCGCCCGGCTTGTCACGCAGAACAAACATAATCGGCAGCTTTTTCCCTAAAAATAGTATAACAAATACAAATTAGCCTTAAAAAACAAAAAGTTAAGAGAACAACAAAAAGGAAAACTTACCATCAGTTCGAATCGTGAGCACAGCCGTCATGCGGCCGGTGTGCTTGGACGTGTTCGCAATCCTCGCAGCGTCCCGCCGACCTCTACCCGCCCACATCCGAGCCGGAGGCATGTCAAAATTGATGGCAGTCTCGTCCACGTTGTACATGCTCTCCGGCCCGTACACGGCGTGCGTCTTCCAGTAGTCCAGCGTGAACTCGGCGCGCGTTTGCTCTAGCTCCTCGGTACTTTTCTTTGCCGTTTGTGGCTTCTGGGAGGTAAAACCATGCCTAAACACGCAAATAAAGGTAAATGTTAGGAAACTGATGGAGTTTTAGCAAAAACAAGATTATTTACCGAACTGCGAGTCTCTCGACCACGCGCTCAAGCGCCTGGATGCCGCTTCGCTTCCTTTGCAGGTAGTCCTCGACCCACTCGGTCTCGATTGCCCACATGAAGGACATAATGCCACGTGTAGTGAGGGCCTTTACATTATAGCATAAAGTTTAACGGTTAAACCCTACAAATTATGAGATTCTAAACAAAATTACCTTCTCTTCGCGCTGCACGTCCTTCATGAAGGTGACGACCGCAAGAATGTCGGGAAATACTTCCCTGCGGCCCTGGCCCTTCAGGGATTTAGAGGTCGAGTGGCCAGTGAAGCTAAAAAGCTTTTCAGCTTGCTTCCACCAGCCATGGACAGTGCCCCGAGCAAGTTGGAGCTCGCGGGCTGCCTCCTCCACCCCTACATCTTCGACGAGGCGGACCGCTTCGCGCTTCTCGCGGACGGTGTAGCTCTTCTGCTTCTACTTGGGCGGCGGCGTGTCCTCCATGACTCGAAAACAGTTTGAGCGGCTCAGTCGACCAGCTCCAAATTAGGCAATGGCACACGGGGATTTACCAGAGCCATTCAAAAATTAAATCGCGGTGATTGGCTTATTTTTATGAATAAAATAAATTTGATTGGACAAAATCATCGCTTGTTTTGTATGGACATGTCTATGGAATGCCGGGTTTTGCGTTGCCGGATTCTTCCGTCGTTGTCTGTAAATAGGGACTCTTAGCGGGGTTCCGGCTGCTGAGTGTGGCCAGTTCGTGTCATTGTCTTTCTGCATCCACGGACCTTGCCCGCAGCAGCACTGTAGCGAGCTTGTGGACCCACCGACGAGCAGGTGTCCCGAGACTCGCTACAATTCTTATCGGAATTAGTTGTCCATAACCAGTATGTATGGATTTGTATCTGAGCTACACGAAGAAGTGCAAAACTTCACTCTTTCTCAGTGGCGAAATCGCATCTTAAAATGATCAAAGTTGACGGAGTTACAACTTGTCCAGCACAAGTTGCTGTATAATACATGGAGTTACATGTATTATACAGCTACTTGTCCTGGACAAGTTGTCCATAAACTTTTGGCGTCCTATTTGTAATTGGGCAAAAACTGGTCCACCAAACCGCTATCATTGGCCGAATATTAAACGACTCTAACTGGAAGCAAGGAACCTGCAGCAAGCAAGGAGACCATGGCGAAGCACCACCCGGACCTGGTCATGTGCCGCAAGCAGCCCGGCGTGGCCATCGGGCGCCTGTGCGAGAAGGACGACGGCAAGTGCGTGATCTGCGACTCGTACGTGCGCCCGTGCACGCTGGTGCGCATCTGCGACGAGTGCAACTACGGCTCGTACCAGGGCCGCTGCGTGATCTGCGGCGGCCCGGGCATCTCGGACGCCTACTACTGCCGCGAGTGCACGCAGCTGGAGAAGGACCGCGACGGCTGCCCCAAGATCGTCAACCTGGGCAGCTCCAAGACAGACCTCTTCTACGAGCGGAAGAAGTACGGCTTCAAGAAGCGCTGAGCGCGCCGCTCCCCTCAGACCAGCAGCAGAGCTCCTGGTGGCGCGACGCGGCTTCTGTAGGCGGAGCGGGTGAAGAAAATAAATCCAAGACGTGACAGCCGAAAAATACTCATGACTTGTTACTGCTAAGTAGTGGATCGTGCTGTTGGCTACTGCTACGGTATCCATTGTCCGTTGTGCTTGTTGTTGCTGTCAGGTCAGGTCACGCCACGTTCCTTCAGCGCCAGAACGCGTAGGCCGCCAGCGCCAGCATCACGAAGGCCGCCATCGTCATCGCATCGCGCTGCGTCTTCATGTCGAGATACAGGACCCTCATGTCGTCGAAGAGCACGAGCGACTGCTTCGAGATGTCGACGGCTCTCTCCATGGTCCTGTCGACGGCAGGAGCCGCAGCAAGCTCGTCGTCGCGCTCCGAGCCCACTAGAGCCCCATCTTCAGCAGCGGCCTCATCTTCCAGCACCTGGTTCGCCGTCTCCTCGGCGAGGTGACGCAAGAAGCTCATGAGGCGCTTGCTGGCCGCCGCCATCGTCGCGTGCGAGCCGACACTGCGCATCTCGCGGCCGACGATCTCGTGGAACTCGATGACCCGCAGGAGCTTCTGGCGCACGGCGTCGCGGCCGTCGCCTCGCGCGTCTTGCAGCTGGTGCTGGATCCCCGTGTCCATGGTGTTGGGTCCGTGTGGCCGTGCACTGCTTGTTGGGGGAGAAGGCAAAACCAAGAGTGCGGATGGAGCCCACGAGTGCGGAAGCCAAAGGGAAACTAGGCGACCATCACTCTTACTTCAACTTGTATCTTGAAAGGCAATAATGGAGGCAGTTGCTTTGCGCTCTACTCACTGTCTACCGACACTGGCTCACCACGACCGCGGTCGCACTCGATAGCGACTGCGCACCATCACGTACACGGCGCTCCTTCCGTCGCGGAGCTGGAGGTTGTGCAGCAGCCGCTTGGCCTCGAAGATCTCCTCCTTGATCGCCGTGATGGTGACGCTGTGCAGCAACTCGACGCACTTGTCCGCCAGCTCGACTGAGATCCTGCTGCTCTTGTCACGCGAGTCCAAGTCGCTGCCTGCAGCTTCGTCCGGGGAGGCGGTCAGGTGGCTGTGGATCTCCTCGATGAACGAGCGGAGCTGCTCGCAGACGGACAGGCGCAGCCTGTCGCTCAAGCGCTTTAGTTTGGCCACCTCGACGGACATGTCGAGCGCTTGTCGGTCTTTGAGTGTCCCGCATCTGTCGGCCTCGTACATTTCCTTGCGCTTCGCTCGGAGTTGGCCCGAGACGTCCATGTACGTGGAGAGGTCGGCGCGGAGCTTGGCCTGGTCGCAAGGAGGCTTGGATTCGATGGGTTCCTGCAGCAATGGACGAGTTAGCTGCAGCAGAGTAACGCAACGAGCACGGTCAGAGCTGTAGCTGTAGCTGTAGCTGTAGCTGTAGCTGTAGCTGTTACCTGTGGAGCCACCCCCCGCAGTCCACTCTTCGTCTTCGTCTTCCCCATTGATGGTCTATTCGACTGCCGAGGCAAACTGGAAATGGTCGAGTGTTGCCGACGCAAGCGGAGCCGGGGGCCTGGCATCATTCGCAGCCTTAGCTCTGGCGCCGAACGTTCAAGGCGACAACTTGATTTCGAACGTGGGGTGCCATGATGACTGCGAGATCTACGTACTGCGCTGCGGAGATTCCGCCGGCACTTCCGGTTCCAAGCCATGGAAGCGGCTTCCTCAGCACGCAATACGCTCTTGATGAGGCTGCACCGCATCCTATTACACGGCAGACAGTCGTGTGCGACCTCAATTTTGGTGTTCGTGTCTGCAGACGAACCAAACGCGATCGTCAACACCCAGCACATTTGATGGAATAGTGAAGCTACATTGTCTTGCTTTAGCGTCTGTGCTGTGAATAGTTTGTTTGTTTGTTGCGGCCTCAACACTGTCTGATAAGAGCCCGATGGACAGGTTGGGGGCGAGATGCTGCGTGCTTACTCCACCGTCAGCACCTTGAGCATGTTCGTCGAGCCCGAGCGGGCCTCCACCATACCGTGGAGGGCGACGACGTTGTCACCAGGCTTCACCCAGCCGAACTGCTTGCCCAGATCGGTCGCGCGGAACAGGATGGAGTCCGTGCCGATCATGGAGCCCATGCAGCGAGCGGTGACGCCCTTGTAGAACCCCTCCGCCTGGCGGGCGGCGCCACCCAAAGCCGTCAGCACCAGCACCGGCATGGAAGGACGGAACTTGGACACCAAGCGGGCCGTGTTGCCCGACTCCGTCAGCACCACGATCATCTTCGCGTTGATGTCGATGGCTGTCTTCACCGCAGACGACGTAATGGCCTCCTGTGTATCCATCTGGCCGTAGGTGTCGAGCACCGAGTTATGCAGCGCCTGGTACAGCTCGTTATAGTGGATGGCGCCCTCAGCCTGCACGCAGATCTTCGACATCATCGAGACGGCCTCAGTGGGGTAGTCACCGTTAGCAGTCTCGCCTGAAAGCATCACGGCGTCCGTGCCGTCAAGCACGGCGTTGGCCACATCCGTGCACTCGGCACGGGTCGGGCGAGGAGCCTTGATCATCGACTCCAGCATCTGCGTGGCCGTCACAACCGGCTTACCAGCGATGTTGGCCTTGCGGATCATCATTTTCTGGGCCAGGAACACCTTCTCAGGCGGGATTTCCATGCCCAAGTCGCCGCGGGCAACCATGACGCCGTCCGTCTTGGCCAGGATCTCGTCGAAGTTCTCGAGTCCTTCCTGACTCTCGATCTTAGCGATAATTTTGATAGCGCGTCCGCGAGGGCCAAGCACCTCACGAATGTTGTCGATATCCTGGGCCGTGCGCACGAACGACGCAGCAATGTAGTCGACGCCGTGCACCAGGCCGAAATTCACGAGGTCGTCCTCGTCCTTCTCCGTCAGCGTCGGCAGCGTCACCTTGCAGCCCGGTAGGTTCATATTCTTGCGTTCGCCCAGCGTGGCCGAGTTGTTGGCCCGCGTCACGACACCGTCCTCCTTGATCTCCGTGACCGTGAGCACCAGCGAGCCGTCGGCCACGAGGATTGAGCCGCCGACCTTCACAGACTGGGGGAGCTCAGGATACGAGCAGGCGATCTTGTTCTCGTCGCCCAGGAACTCGTAGTCCGTCGTGAGCTCCAGCGTGGAGCCCTTCTTGATGGTCACCTTGTCCTTGTTGGCCAGGAAGCCCGTGCGGATCTCGGGGCCCTTCGTGTCCAGCATGATGGCCACGTTCTTGTGCGGGCGCGAAGCCAGCGCCGCGCGCAGCCGGTTGAGCGTCTCGGCGTGGCTGGCGTGGTCTCCGTGCGAGAAGTTGAAGCGGGCCACGTTCATGCCGGCGTCAATGAGCTCGCCCAGCCCTTCCTCGGACCAGCAGGACGGGCCCAGCGTGCAGAAGATGCGCGTCTTGCGCTCCACGCCCTCCACGCTGCGCATGATGCTCTCGAGCTCGACGCCCTGCTGACTCAGTCCTAGTGCTCCCGACATGGCTACAAGATACAATCAGACATGTCGTTAGGAGATCTCCTTCGCCGCTGGGGAGGAAGAATCAACGCGGCCGCACTGTAACAGCGCCCTGGTCCGACTGGCCGAGATGCCACACCGCCGCCCATGTCCACGTCCAAAATGGATCTGGAAGGCGGAAGCCACGAGCATCTCGGCCGTCACCAGCAGCTGCGTGTCGCCATTTTTACCTCGCTTGCTTGCCTTGCTCCGTCGCGGGTGGTGGTTTCTCTCTCGTGTGTTGCTAAATGAGCTCTGGGGCTCGACATCTTTGGCTGCTTGGTGCAGACGGGTGCGTGAGGCGCATTACCGCGACAGACTGTGGATCTTGAGCGGTTCGGTTCGGTTCAACTTGGCGCGCAGAGACGAAGCTATTCTTGTCAATGAAGCTAAAGTGAGGCCACGAGGCCATGAGATCGAGAGCGCGGCTTCGATCCCATGCCCGGTCCATCGATCACGCGCACGTACTAGCATGGCCGCTTTTAGCCGTGACATCACTCACTCGCTTCAGCTGGCTCAATTTGGGCGGTAAGATCGGAATAACGACATGTCGTTGCGAGCTAATAAGACGCGGTGTTCGACAGCGTCTGGTGATGTTGGTCATATTGCGACCGAGGCTCAACGCAGTGCGCGTTGAGGCACACCGAGCATCTTTGCCCCCAGGACTTGTTCTTATAATAGTGCTCGGGCTGAAAGCATGCAGTGACGATGAGGCACTTCTGGAGATCGAAGCCAAAGTTCGTGGATCTCATGATTCAGACTCAACTGAAGTTTGCGCTTTCAGTCGTATCGCTTCATACATAGCAAACGGTGGCACTGGTAACATCAGAACCATTCTGCGATACTGTTGGTCTTCAAGCTAATAAGGCCTCAACTCTGGTGCGCTACGCTATTTGATGAGAGCTGTATAATGATTTTGTACGGAGATAGCAGTTCAAGGCGCGTGTTAGCATCTTTCGTTGCTCGTGGCGGTTTATTCTCGTCTGCTACAGGCTCTGTTCTCGTCTGCTACAGACTCTGTCGTGCAACTATCGGGACGAAAAAATGAAGTGCCAACACGCACTCTTTCGGCTCTCCTCGAGCGATATGTACGTCCTTGAGCCAGATCTTTCTCAATTCTGTCCTTCGTCACTCACTGCAAGCGACCACCGCGTCAGCTCTCCAGCCCTACTTTCGTCATGTAGTACACTCGCTTGATGTCGTTACGCAACATCTTCGTCCTCGTCGGATATGCTTCTGAGCGACCTCACAGCAGAGCCGCTCACAACCCAGTCGCACGATACGCAGGCCGCAGTGATCCATCAGAGCGCCGCCGGTTGCCCAATATCACTCTGACGCTGGAACGATTCCATCCACGTGGAGCAGTGCGCGCTTTCGTCGGAGTGGCCTCCGGCCCGACAGTGCAGGTTCCGGCGATGCGCACAGGTCAAGTTTGATTGCCAACGGGACTGCTCTCATCCCTTCCTCTGGCGTGCTCATGTGCTGGGTAGCCCTCTCGGCCAGGATGTGCCTTGGTCCCTGGTGGCCTTCGATCAGCTATCCACCCGCTTGGCTATTAGCTCCGCGGATGAAATCGGCCCAAGAGTCAATGCGCTCGTTTAGACACAAATGGTGCAGAAGCTGTAGCGAACTTCCAACACACCACCATGGTATCCGATCGTGTAGCCCTCTTGCTCCGCGGCGCAGAAGCTGCTTGGATTGACGACACGCGGCAGCCGCTGGGAGATCGCCCCATTGAGCCGATAGCCTCCTCGCCCAGCGCGACAATCGACCAAGGTGTCGCCCACATGGACGCATGCTTGTCCGTCGAGCGATCTGCCTCCGTCTGCAGCGCACAGCTGGTGTTTGCTCTTTTTTGACGAGATTTAATCTGCGTGCCGCGGGTTAATCCCCATCGCGAAGTTAGCAGAGAAACGCTGCTGGAGCCGCCGCCAAGGAATCTTCGACTGCTGGAGCTGCGTCCGCTTGCGTTGGCCAAAAGTGCCGCCGGCTGAATTCGCGTCGGCCCAACAGCAATCCGGCCCAGCACTGCTGGGCCAGCAGCAATCAACGCAAGGAGCAATCAAACCCGAGGGACAAGGTGTCGCAGATAGCCCCTATCCCATGCACGATTGATTCACCAAACACTTTCGGTCGGGCACGCGCCGTCGGCGCCAAGCCTTGGAGTGCACTCGCGCCTTGCGCCGAAGCAACAGCGCACGATGTTGCTATTATAGCCCGTTATCAAGGTGGCCACCTCGTGTCTTTAGCCTTCTCCAACGCAGCGTCCAATGGAGCCCTTGCTGGTCGCGCGGGCTGCATGCAAGGCTTTGTGCGTGAGATTCACGCTTTGGTGCTTGGTGCGCGGCCGCAGCGTTTATGACGTCGGCACCAAGCAGCCTTGCAACGGATTTTGCATAGTTACGCGCGGCCGGCCCGGTCTCTGGGCCGCGTATGCGGCCAAGGGCGCGGCATGATGCTGGTTAAACGGCCGGCCCAGACGGAGAGCGCCCGCTCTTCCCGCTCCGCCCGCGTCCAGCGGATTTCGGCGGTTGTCTCGGGCTGGCATACGTGTTCTCATTCTTCATTTTGCTCAAGAACCACCCAAGCTCCCTCACAGTATCCACTAGACCATCATGTCCGCCGCTCTGTCGCTGAACCTGCAGGACGCCAGCTGCATCAAGGCCAACGTCGAGGGCGTGCAGCGCAAGACCAAGATCTTCTGCACGCTGGGCCCCGCTTGCTGGTCCGAGGAGGGTCTGCTGAGCCTCATCGACGCGGGCATGAACGTGGCCCGCTTCAACTTCTCGCACGGTGACCACGCCAGCCACGCGGCCTGCCTTGCCCGTCTCCGTGCCGCGGTGGCCAAGCGCCCCAACAAGAACGTGGCCATCATGCTGGACACCAAGGGCCCCGAGATCCGTACGGGTTTCCTTGCCAACAAAGACAAGGTGACGATCCAGAAGGACTCGCTCATTGAGCTGACCACGGACTACGAGTTCCTCGGCGACGAGACCAAGATCGCGTGCTCGTACCCGCAGCTGCCTCAGTCCGTGAAGGTCGGCGGCTCGGTGCTGGTGGCCGACGGCTCGCTGGTGCTCACGGTCGAGGAGATCAAGGAGGATGGCATCATTGCTCGCGCGAAGAACACTGCCACCCTGGGCGAGCGTAAGAACATGAACCTGCCCGGCTGCAAGGTGCTTCTGCCCACCCTGACGGAGAAGGACGAGGACGACCTGGTGAACTTCGGCCTGGTGCACGGCATTGACTACGTCGCCGCTTCGTTCGTGCGCACGGGCCAGGACGTTGACAACATCCGCAAGGTGCTTGGCCCCCGCGGCCGCGGCATCAAGATCATTTCCAAGATCGAGTCGCACGAGGGCATGGAGAACTTCGACGAGATCCTGGCCAAGACGGACGGCATCATGGTTGCCCGTGGCGACCTGGGCATGGAGATCCCGCCAGAGACGGTGTTCCTGGCCCAGAAAATGATGATCCGCAAGGCGAACCTGGCCGGCAAGCCGGTTGTGACGGCCACGCAGATGCTGGAGTCGATGATCAAGGCTCCTCGCCCGACCCGTGCCGAGTGCACGGATGTGGCCAACGCCGTGCTTGACGGCACGGACGCTGTGATGCTCTCGGGCGAGAGCGCCAACGGCGACTACCCGACGCAGGCTGTGGAGGTGATGGCCGCGACGTGCCTGCAGGCCGAGACCGCCATCCACTACAACGACGTGTACCAGTCGCTGCGCAACGCCGTGCTGGAGGTGAACGGCCCGATGCAGACGGCGGAGGCCGTGGCGTCGTCGGCCGTGAAGACGGCCATCGACATCAACGCGAAGATGCTGGTGGTGCTGACGGAGACGGGCAACACGGCCCGCCTTGTTGCTAAGTACCGCCCGCAGATGCCGGTGCTGGTGCTGACGGCTCTGGAGCAGACGGCTCGCCAAACCGAGGGCTTCGTCAAGGGCATTGTGTCCCGCTGCGTGGGCTCGATGATCGGCACGGACTCGATCCTGTACCGCGCCACGGAGACGGGCAAGGAGCTCGGCTGGCTGAAGAAGGGCGACGCCGTCGTCGCGGTGCACGGTATCCAGGAGGCCAAGTCTGGCTCGACGAACCTGCTGAAGGTGCTGTACGTCGAGTGAATTTAGTGGCTGTGTATTACCGTTACGGTGCATGAATAAAGAGAACATCGTTAACCTATTGAGCAACTTGCTGTCATGATTCTCTGTGTGTGCGACTTTACTGTTAGCAATTCAGTACTACTACTAGTACGTTGAGTTATTATTAGCTACTCCTCTTTAGTACTGCAGTACTACTCTGCGGTAGTAGCTCTACGTATTACTACTACGTAATGCTAGTAGTGGAGCATCTCAGTCGCGTTGCTCCGTTGAGTTGGATAGGTGCAGTGGAATCGCCACTGCAGGCCGACGTCCCCGCTCTCCCAATGGATCCAATGATATTGTCGATTAATTGGGCCTAAACCGCAGGTAGTCTTCCACTTTACGTTTTGCCTGGATTTACGCCCGCGTACTACGCACGCGGATCCTAAACCACAGGAGGCGTTCTACTTTAGGTTTTGCCTGGGTTTACGCCCGCGCGCTACACACGCAGCTCATAAACCGCAGGTAGCGTTCCTGCTTGATATCAACCTCCTTGGCATTCATTCTATTTACACCCTGATCCCTAAATCCCCTTTACCCTCTGGGCACAAAACCCTAGACTCCTCTCTACCTCCCCCGGAGGGGGAGCACCTCGCTTCGCTCGGTAGCCGACAGGACCCGCCTGCGGCGCGTCGGTCATTTGATCCACTGCGTATGTTGAAGTTGAACCCGCTTAGGTACGAATAAATAAGATATTTCATTTAAGTACGACAAGTGACTACTCGAATCGTTTATCCGAAACATTATGTCTGGAAGTGACTAGTTTAAAATCAAAAACTAACTATTTGAAAATGAATACCCATTGTCATTGTCTGTGTGCAGCGGTTAAACGACCAAGCCCTGATAGTAAAGGTCGTTGTAGAACATACATGCAGCGCTTGTTATAGTTACACCGACCACCCTTATTAGTCGGGACCTCACTAATTATGGTGGAATTTTTGGAGAGTAAAAGTGAAGACCGACTATATTGTGTGCACGATTATATTGTGTGCATGACTAAATCACGTGGAATTGCTTGTGCATTCTAGTCCTGCTACATCTACCTCCCGGTACCCCTTTTCAAAGTCGGCTGGGTGGGCCGCCAAGAGCTCACGTAACTTTCTACTAAGCTGACTAACTTTCCAAACACCATCAGCTGGAACGTCTAATCCACATTCGAGCATGGACTTCTTTGCCCAATTGAGTCCAGCGTTATCAACCTTAAGGTTGACTCACCGAATGCACTCCGCTGCTGTCTCCAAGAAGAACTGTTTCCCAGGGTTTGACAGAGCCCCTGACTTTGTCGCCCAGTCCCCGTGCCGAATAGCTTGCATATTGCGTGCCTCGCAAATGGAGCGCCAATGTGCCTTTATTCGCTGAATAGGGAAGCGGTCAGCAGGCTGAACGCGATCGGTCGCATTTGGAGGGAAGAAATTGATCGTGGTTCGTAGTGTTTTGGCTGTTGTCTGCACCTCGGGGCTTGAGTGGCCGCTTGCGATTTCCATCCAGAGTATACGTTCGCCAGCAAACGGACCTCCAGGTCCCCAACAACGAACATCGTGTAGCCACTCCTCCATCGTCACATTGTTGATGAATGCACTCGGCGTTGAGCGATAGCAAACGCCGTCCACGGAGTCTGGAAGTCCCTGAATAGGATGGCTCGAGTTTGGATTCTTGAAGATCAGCATCGGACATAGTATCTTGACGTTGGAACCTCCTCGTATGCTGCTGCCATACTTCAGTTGCTTGCTATCAGCGAGTTTTACACGAGTAGTGTCCCGCTTGTTCCACCAATCCCGTGCTTTGTTAAGATTGACTCGCCGATTATCAGAGCGAAAGAGAGCGGGATATTGGGCAACAGCTCGCCCAAAGAGGCCCTTGTCGCCATTGACTGCTTTGTCGATCTCCATCCACTCCACACATTCCACTCGGCTGCTTAGTGGCACTACGTGCTGGAGACTGTGCTTGACGTCTGACGCCATTTTGTAAATGAGCAGTGGTGCGAGAGTTACTCCCTCTCTAGCTCTCTGCCACCACAAACCGTCTGCTCACTACTAATTGCGGTGCATCTCTAATAATGGTGCACGACTAATAGCTGTGCATGACTAATTGTGGCGGGTGTACTTTATATACTGTGGTAAGTACGATGCACGACTAAATAAGTCGCACGACTAATAAGGGTGGCCGGTGTAGTTCTCGCACAACTAACGGTATTGCTAACACTATCATTTGCAAACTGTTTGTTTCTGTATAATGAAACTGGCTAACGTGGTTGCGGAATTAGATGGGATTTATTCATTCACTTTGAGGCTCGTCTTAGCTGCCAATAGTTGGTTGATACGAGAAGCTCTTCTTCTCTACACCAATAACCTCAACAGCCTCCAAATCAAGGACAAAATAAAGGACCAAAAACTTGAAGCTAACCTTGACCGGAGTTCTATGAGATACACTATCTAGTTCCTATGGAAGAAATCCCTGGATTACCTCTTTAAAGTGTGTGTCTCGCAAACTGTCCACCATCGTCCATCATGCCTAAAAGACTATAAACAAAGTGTCATTAATAAGTGTCATTAATAACATATCGAAAGGGGCTGCTGGTAGCCCACTGGGTCCCAGGAAGTACGCTCTTGGCCGGAGTTCAAATCCCACTAAGGACAAAAAAGGAAGAATAATAAACTGATGCACTCTCCAATCCAATATCACATCACAATCATTCAACAATCATTACCTCTGACACCCAATTTACCCAAGGAAGATCAACAATTCAGTTTCCCAAGAGCGTACAACCAGCAATAACCAGCTAATCAAATCATCAAAAAAAACATATCGCATTTTCTGTTTTGTCCTTGATTCTAGGACAAATATCAGAGAGTAACTTACGTTCAGTATGTGGTCTCGGCCGGTACGCCTCGCGAACAGTCATTGTACTTGTTATACATGACACCATCGTACTTTTCCGGATCGTATCCCCTCCTATACAAACGCCAAGTCACTTTTGGTCCTTTTTGCTGGTTCTAGGACAAAAACGCCAAAATCACAGCGTACTTAAGCGCATTTTGGTCCTTGATTCAAGGACAAAAAATGTTGGGGATAACGACCTTGTACGAACTACTCTGGCAACACCGTGGTGCGTATACGCGAACTATGTATTCAACAAGCGGTACCAATTCTCTTAAAAAAGCTACTAATTTGAACGCGAGTGAAATAACACAAACATGCAAACGCGTTTGCAAACAGCAATTACAGTGAATTAGTGTATTGTGAAATTTACATGCCTCTTTGCAAAATACACTAGTTATAGTGGTGGCCAACCGGCGCAAGTTGTGCAAAGTGTCCTTAAACATCTATATTACCAGACCGGTAATTCGGCACACATTCTATCCACACGCCGCCTCACACGAGAGGCTTTGTCCAGCTTAACGGCAGAGACTACTTATTGACGGAATAGATGGTCGCTGTATTATATCAATAGTTGTACCAGTACTATATTTATACTACTACTATTTTCACTACTATAGTAGTGATTTAACTACTACGGGCTATGATTAGTATATTATTAAAGTGTATTTAAAACACAGTTATATTGCTAGTATTAAGATGAATAATAATCGTAGTGGTTATAGAATACTATACTACAGTATGCCTATTGCTACCCTCAAATTACTACCGCAAAATTATATTAAAATTGTGTCTAATCGAGGAGTACCTGAGAAACGAGGACCAGTAGAAACGATGCTTGGTGCGTTAACAGTGCACTGTACTTTGATGTGGACCAGAGAAGTAGTGTGCCCGATGCATGCGCCAAGATCCCCGCATACGCAGCAGGCAAAGACGCGCAACAGGATGTCTCCAAAGATTTGTGCAACAGTAATTTACTGAGTAAAGCATTTTAATCGCGGAGAGCCCTCTACCGGAGACTACCAGAGTAATTCCACACGACGAGCTATCCGCATCAGCGCAAACTCAATCGACGTAGACAAACGCCCAAGGCAAGCTCCAGATCTTCAACACATCAAACACCGACACCGCAGGGCCAAACTGCAAGAGAGTTTGATTTTGATTGATGCACAGTCTACTGCACAATTCGGACCAAATGACCCGGCTCCGCACGCCGTGTGTCATGTAGTCGACCAAAATGGGTTTAGAAACGTTGACAACATGGACACGTCTCCGCTGTGACGAGTGTCGAGCGAGATTATCATCGCGACGACCGGCCAAAGCGAGCCAGCGAGTGGCTGCAGCACGCGTGCGGCGCGATTGTAAAGAAGCGCGCGCGCTTTGGTGCTTGGTGCGGGCAGGTGTCGCTTGCTTGCCGTCTCCGGCCGCGTGGAGATTCGCTGGTCCCGCCCCGTTTGGAGCCGCCGCTCGAGGGATGCCATTCTTCATTTGAACAAGAACCACTCAATTGACTTCTACCCCCACCTCCCCAGCACCATGTCTGCCGCTTTGTCGCTGAACCTGCAGGACGCCAACTGCATCAAGGCCAACGTCGAGGGCGTGCAGCGCAAGACCAAGATCTTCTGCACGCTGGGCCCCGCTTGCTGGTCCGAGGAGGGTCTGCTGAAGCTCATCGACGCGGGCATGAACGTGGCCCGCTTCAACTTCTCGCACGGCGACCACGCGAGCCACCTGGCCTGCCTGAACCGCCTGCGCGCCGCGCTGGCCAAGCGCCCCAACAAGAACGTGGCCATCATGCTGGACACGAAGGGTCCCGAGATCCGCACGGGTTTCCTCAAGAACCACGACAAGGTGACGATCCAGAAGGACTCGCTCATTGAGCTGACCACGGACTACGAGTTCCTCGGCGACGAGACCAAGATCGCGTGCTCGTACCCGCAGCTGCCTCAGTCCGTGAAGGTCGGCGGCACGGTGCTGGTGGCCGACGGCTCGCTGGTGCTGACGGTGACCAAGGTGAACGCGGACGGCATCATCGCCCGCGCCAACAACTCGGCCACGCTGGGCGAGCGCAAGAACATGAACCTGCCCGGCTGCAAGGTGCTGCTGCCGACGCTGACGGACAAGGACGAGGACGACCTGGTGAACTTCGGTCTGGTGCACGGCATCGACTACATTTCTGCGTCGTTCGTGCGCACGGGCCAGGATATCGACAACATCCGCAAGGTGCTTGGCCCCCGCGGCCGCGGCATCAAGATCATTTCCAAGATCGAGTCGCACGAGGGCATGGAGAACTTCGACGAGATCCTGGCCAAGACGGACGGCATCATGGTTGCCCGTGGCGACCTGGGCATGGAGATCCCGCCAGAGACGGTGTTCCTGGCCCAGAAAATGATGATCCGCAAGGCGAACCTGGCCGGCAAGCCGGTTGTGACGGCCACGCAGATGCTGGAGTCGATGATCAAGGCTCCTCGCCCGACCCGTGCCGAGTGCACGGATGTGGCCAACGCCGTGCTTGACGGCACGGACGCTGTGATGCTCTCGGGCGAGAGCGCCAACGGCGACTACCCGACGCAGGCTGTGGAGGTGATGGCCGCGACGTGCCTGCAGGCCGAGACCGCCATCCACTACAACGACGTGTACCAGTCGCTGCGCAACGCCGTGCTGGAGGTGAACGGCCCGATGCAGACGGCGGAGGCCGTGGCGTCGTCGGCCGTGAAGACGGCCATCGACATCAACGCGAAGATGCTGGTGGTGCTGACGGAGACGGGCAACACGGCCCGCCTTGTTGCTAAGTACCGCCCGCAGATGCCGGTGCTGGTGCTGACGGCTCTGGAGCAGACGGCTCGCCAAACCGAGGGCTTCGTCAAGGGCATTGTGTCCCGCTGCGTGGGCTCGATGATCGGCACGGACTCGATCCTGTACCGCGCCACGGAGACGGGCAAGGAGCTCGGCTGGCTGAAGAAGGGCGACGCCGTCGTCGCGGTGCACGGTATCCAAGAGGCCAAGTCTGGCTCGACGAACCTGCTGAAGGTGCTGTACGTCGAGTAAACCAGCAGCGTGTAATTAGAGTAGTAACAAAGTCCCAATCGATCTTTTGCTTGGGTTTATCGGTGTATTCGGTGCTTGTGGTGCGACCGGGTTATTTTGTCGATTGTTTTGGCGACGGTCTTGATGTTGGGCCATTGTTTGAGGCGATAGTTGAAGTATGTGATTGCTCTAATGGTTGCGAGACGCCTGCCCTTTTCAACTCGCCTTCCGATTGGCCAGCCACTTCAACTTGATGACTTCAAGTTGCGATTGTCTTGCAGGCCATTTCGTACGTACAGTACATACATGCATCAATACGTTTTCCGCGTAGTAAACGCTGAATATAAGGCTCGAACTGGCCGATTCGATTGCGTTCTGAGGATTCTTGATTGAGGTGCGCCTGATGTACAATACAAAGTACTTGAAGTACAGTGCGGAGGTAACCTGTAGTGTGGTGTTGTGTCTCTTTTGTGAGTAAATATACAGGTCGGGCTACAACACGAACGAATGAAGACAATACACGACGCACCTTCTGTGGGGCTCAGCGATAATACCCTACTCAGCAAAATGCTGGTCGAGGAAAGAGAGTACAGTAAAACTATCTTTCATTCTTGTGGGGTACAAACAAGCAAGGCTGTGGAATATTCGAGTAATAGATGGGGTTTTGAATTGTATTGTTTATTATTTTTTACCTACACGCAACGTCTTCACTTTAAAAAAAAGTGAAGACGTACTTCCTACGGTGCAAGCGATACAGAGATAAAAGTTGTAGGCAGCTCTGGAGCTTGCGACTTGTCTTCTGTCAAAGAAGATGTTAAGCTGCTTTGTCGCCACCCTGCAACTAACCCATACTTGATATTCCGTTAGCGCGTTCTTGTGAGCCCTGAGTTGCTTCGGTGTTTGCTGCACAGCTCTGTGGTGCCAAGAATCCTCAGTTGCAGTAGTTTTCAAGCCTGCGACCACCGTTCGGAGGCCGCATCCTAATTCCTGCTAGAACGCTTTGAATGACGGCTTCTGAATCGCGGAAAAGTACATTGTGGTTTGACACCGTTTCCGATGGAATCAGTGGAGCGTGGGGTGGGCCTGGAACACTAGCCCACGTCGACTCACTACCAACTCATCTTGGTGTGTGCTCTTGGTCGGCGGCCCAATGAACGCCCGGTTCTTGCGTCAAGATTAAATATTCACCGTCGGTGCTTCCTTCCGGAATTCCTTGTACTAGTTTGGTGTCGAGTACAGTCCACAGGTAAGGATGGTGCTGTTGGCTGCACTACCTTTTCCTCTGCAATATCTAGCGGTGGGGGGTCCTGCAGGGATTGCAAGTGCCCATCGGCGCTAATCTACAATCTGCTACAGTATACTTACTACATGTAATAGGCTACAAACACTTCTGTGATACAGAGAGAAACTCAGTGCAGGACAACCTGCACACAACCTGCACACAAAGTTAGCACCCTGGCCTGTCTCTGACCGCTTCAGCTTCAACTTATCCTGTCCGGCATCCCATGTCCCTCAGAACTCATTTCACTTCATTAAACTATGGGATTGCGCTTCCAATTTCGGACACGCTGGTCGCGACGTCGTCGGCGTCGACGGCAGCTCTTTGCGGGACGCAGCTTCAAGCTCGAAGCCGCCGCTTGTATGGCCTCTTGCGGAGGCCATACAGCCCGCTCCGCTCCGTCCCGCATAGAGCTGTCGCGGCAAAAACACGATGTGAATCAGGGCACAACGCACGTATCCGCCAAGGCCCAGCCTGGGGCTCACAGTCGAACTCGCGCCCAAGCACCCAAGCCGCAAGAAGCCACCTTCCTCCCTCCTCCCCCTTCCCCTCCCTCCTCCCAATACCAACACCACTATGTCGGGAGCCATCGGACTGAGCCAGCAGGGCGTCGAGCTCGAGAACATTATGCGCAGCACCGAGGGCGTGGAGCGCAAGACCAAGATCTTCTGCACGCTGGGCCCGGCCTGCTGGTCGCAGGAGGGCATCGGCGAGCTCATCGACGCCGGCATGAACGTGGCCCGCTTCAACTTCTCGCACGGCGACCACGTCAGCCACGCCGACACGCTCAACCGCCTGCGCGGCGCATTGGCCTCGCGCCCGCACAAGAACGTGGCCGTCATGCTGGACACCAAGGGCCCCGAGATCCGCACGGGCTTCCTGGCCAACAAGGACAAGGTGACGATCCAGAAGGACGCCACGCTGGAGCTGACCACCGACTACGAGTTTCTGGGCGACGAGACCAAGATCGCCTGCTCATACCCGGAGCTGCCCCAGTCCGTGCAGGTCGGAGGCACCGTCCTCGTGGCGGACGGCTCCCTCGTGCTCACGGTCACGGAGATCAAGGACGACGGCATCGTCACCCGTGCCAACAATACCGCTACCATTGGTGAGAGGAAGAACATGAACCTGCCCGGCTGCAAGGTGATGCTGCCCACCCTGACGGAGAAGGACGAAGATGACCTCATCAACTTCGGCCTCATGCACGGTGTGGACTACATCGCCGCGTCGTTCGTCCGCACGGGCCAGGATGTTGACAACATCCGCAAGGTGCTCGGCCCCCGTGGCCGCGGCATCAAGATCATCTCGAAGATTGAATCCTTCGAAGGACTCGAGAACTTTGACGAGATCCTGGCCAAGACGGACGGCATCATGGTTGCCCGTGGCGACCTGGGCATGGAGATCCCGCCTGAGAAGGTGTTCCTGGCCCAGAAGATGATGATCCGCAAGGCCAACATCGCTGGTAAGCCGGTTGTGACGGCCACGCAGATGCTGGAGTCGATGATCAAGGCTCCTCGCCCGACCCGTGCCGAGTGCACGGATGTGGCCAACGCTGTGCTCGACGGCACGGACGCCGTGATGCTCTCGGGTGAGACTGCCAACGGTGACTACCCCACCGAGGCCGTCTCGATGATGGCTAAGATCTGCGTGCAGGCTGAGGGTGCCATCCACCACGATGACGTGTACCAGTCGCTGCGTAACGCCGTGCTGGACACGTACGGACCGATGACCACCCAGGAGGCCATCGCGTCGTCGGCCGTGAAGACTGCTATCGACATTAAGGCCAAGATGATCGTGGTGCTGACGGAATCCGGTAACACGGCCCGCTTGGTGTCCAAGTTTCGCCCTTCGATGCCGGTGCTGGTTCTGACGGCGATGGCCGGCAGCGCGCGCCAGTCCGAGGGCTTCTACAAGGGCGTGCGGGCTCGCTGCATGGGCTCGATGATCGGCACGGACTCGATCCTGTACCGCGCCACGGACCTGGGCAAGCAGTTCGGCTGGGTGAAGTCTGGCGACAACGTGGTTGCCCTGCACGGCATGGTGGAGGCCCGCTCGGGCTCCACCAACATGCTCAAGGTGCTCACTGTAGAATAGGTGAGGGATGGGAGACACAGCCAGCGAGTGCACGCAACCTCGCAGTCGCAGTTACACTCCACGACAAAAAGATATGGACACCACCAAAAGTGGCTGTAACTTCGTCATTTTTTATCGTTTTAAGGTGCGGTTTGGACTAGAGTTTCAGAACACGCTGATAAAGATCTGCACGCTGCTAACACGCGCGCTTTTGCGCTTCTTCAGGTAGCTCACATACAAATCACTGGTTCTGCCCAGGTGCAAAACTTATGGACAGCTAGTCCCCATACAAAATCCTATATTAACCAAAACCCCTTACAAATGATACAACTTGGACTTTGTATGGGGCGACAAAGGAACCCATGAATTCTCCACTCTACCTTAGTACTGAGCCATATATCATCGACCAACAGTTTAGAATGGAGAAGACAATCGTATATCCAAAAGATAGCAGCATACAGAGCTACAAATTGGCACTAACTAGGATGCAACTGAAGGTGTCTCGCAAATCATCAGATAATACATGGTAGCCACCACTCGAAATTTCAGTCGCTTACTACTTGCTCAGTTCTGTGCGATGGTCGATGTGTTTATTACAGATCACTAAGCACACCTTCTAGTACACGATAATGCCATCAGATATTTGTCTAACGTCGCGAGTATCGCCGTGAGGCTGGTTCCTTTGTCGCCCCATACAAAGTCCAAGTTGTATCATTTGTAAGGGGCAGAACCAGTGATTTGTATGTGAGCTACCTGAAGAAGCGCAAAAGCGCGCGTGTTAGCAGCGGTGCAGATCTCTATCAGCGTGTTCTGCAACTCTAGTCCAAACCGCACCTTAAAACGATAAAAAATGACGAAGTTACAGCCACTTTTGGTGGTGTCCATATCTTTTTGTCGTGGAGTGTAACTCATAACATGAGTTTGTGAATGGATCCGGTACGGAATGATGCCTTCTCTGCACCCCAGCGAGTGACGACGTCTGCACTTCAATGAAAAGCTCGAGGATCGACTTGCAGGACACCGAGATCTGAAGCAACTGGTGCTTGGGCGCGTAAGCAGTGTCGCCACAATGAATCTCTTTGCTGGGCAGAGCCAACAGCAAGTGCTGAACGCTGGATTCTCGCCTGCGCAATCGTGTTGCAGTACCAGCTTACTTAAGTACGTCCAAATACCGCTGATCCTCGATGAGAGAGTCGCCTACACACAGAGCGGTCGAAGCATCATGCCCATCAGAAGTACGTTTGCAACAGGGCAGCAAAACCGGCACTGTAAATATTATACTGGGATAGGAAGCGACGAAGTGCTGATAGCCCAGCCCAAACAGGATTAATTCGGGCGATGTCCCCCCGTACAATCGACTCCGGTGATGAACCGGTAACGTCTTTAGGTCAATTTACAGTAAGTGATGTCTATTGACCGAGTGTTTTAGACTTCTCCGTCGAGTTAAATTCGTCATTGATTTTGCTCTGAAATCGGTTGTACGTCGTGACCATAGTGGCGATACATTATCGGGCAGATTCTGCGGCTGCGAAGCAGGCGCAGGAGATGCCCGTGGAGCGTGCGGATTGAGTTTATCAATGGCGATCAAAGGTGAGTTAACCAATCCTATCCCAGCCTTCGCGAAGCCCTAGTAATACATCGCGCAACATTTCGTCCGCGAGTTGCAAAGTCAGACGTGCAGCAAGTTGAAGTGAAAGCGTATCTGTCGTGTGGCGCACACAAATGTCACTCTCGCTTGAGTGCCTTCATACGCCCTTAAGTGCGAGTGCCGTTTTGTTCTTTTGTTGGGTACGCCACGCCCCAACAGCGCGAGCAGGGAGGCGAGAGAGAAGGCCGCCACTACTCGCCGCCAGCCAGCGCGCCTACGCTGAGCCGAGCGCGCGCAGCCCCACCCGCCGTCCGCGCGACAGACAGACACACAGACTCACGGACGCAGCGAGCGCGCGAGAGGCCCTCGTCGTCGCTTGAGTGAGTACGTAGTGCCATCTCTCTCTATAGTGACCCCAGTCCGCCTCTAGACTCACCGTACCTTGTTTTGCGACGCTGCCACCAGCTTTTGACACGGAAAAGATGCTGCAGCGGCTGCGCCATGCCGTGGGCTGGGGGCTGCCGGCGCCCCCGCCCGGCACTCGAGTGGACTTCCAGGTGTGCGCGCCGCTGGGCCACGGCCAGACGTTGTGGCTCGTGGGCGACCTGCCGGCCCTGGGCGGCTCCGTGGACGTGGTGCCCAACACGGGCGGCGCCGGCGCCGAGGCCGGCCTGCAGCTCGTGACCACGCCCGACCTGTACCCGATCTGGTACAACCTGGAGCCGGTGCTGGCGCCCGCGGGCTCCGTGGTGCGCTACCGCTACGCCGTGTGCTCGGGCAGCCGCTTCCTGCGCTACGAAGGCTCGGCCGAGTCGGGCCCCGTCACCAGAGAGCTCTCGGTGGGCGTGGGCTACGTGCAGACGCAGGACACGATGGACGCGCGGCCGCGCCGCCGCTCCTCGCTCTGCAGCGAGGACGACACCACAGGCACGGCCACTATCGTGACGGGCAGCACAGACGCAGCAGCGGCCGCGGCCGACCAGGCCGACAACGCCAGCGACGACGAGGATGTCCCGGCCCCCGCGTTCTGGGGCGTGATCCCGCGTCTGAGCTCGGGCCAGGCCTTTGTGGACCGCAGGGCCAATGGAACTGAGGACGGAGCAGGCACGCTGCATCGCAGCAACAGTCGGCGGCCACCGGGATCGGGCCGCTTGTTGACGGATGTTATCGCAGAGGAGAACGAGAAGATAGCGAGTCCGACGCTGGCGCCGAGCTCGACCAGGCTGGGCGCGAGAGTGCGGGCCGGATCCGGGCCCACCCTCGCAGAGGAGGCGACGAGTCCTGGTGCCACGATGCGCGCGGTATCAGAGGACATGCCGACTTTGAATCCGCCCCCGAGTTCTCCGCGACAGACAGCGACGAATGTGACGATGGAAGCAACCGACGGCGTTATTATCGCCGTCCACAGACTGCCGGTGCTTGTGCACAGGACCCCGGAAGGCCACTACCATATTGAATGGGAGGACGACAACCTGATTTGCCCGTCCGGACTGCTGAAGGACTCGTATCGCGAGGCCAACTGGGACAGGGTAAGTTCGATGCGGCTAACGTGGGTCGGAACCGTGCACTGCGCGGAGCCTATTCCCAAGGAAGACGAGGAGCGCCTGGCCAAGCAGCTTGAGGATTTCCACTGCGTCCCTGTGTTCCTGTCTGAACCGCTGGGCTCGACGTTCCACAACTTCTGCTACGGCACGCTCTGGCCTGTGTTCCACAATATTGTGGATGTTTACGGTGCGTTGCCCACGCGCTGGTGGAATCCTGGCCAGCAGCGCAACGCCTGGGCCAGCTACAAGACGGTGAACCGAATTTTCGTGAACAAGGTGATCGAGGTGTACAACGAGGGCGATCTGGTGTGGGTTCACGGACTACACCTGCTCGTCGCGCCGAGTTTCCTGACGCGCCGGCTGCCCTGTGTTAACGTGGGTATTTTCTTGCATACTCCGTTCCCGAGTTCGGAGATTTTCCGGACACTGTCGATGCGTGCGGACTTGCTGCGTGGTGTATTGGCTGCGGATCACATTGGTTTCCATCTGTACGAGCATGCGCGTCACTTCCTGACGAGCTGTCGCCGCATCCTCGGACTCAAGTATAGCGCGCAGCCGGGTGGTTACATTGGCGTCGAGTACAATGGCCGCATGGTCATGCTGACCATAAGCCATATTGGTATTGAGCCATCATTTATGGATCGAATTAACGCTAGTGCCCAGGTGGAGCAGGATGCGGCAGTGCTTGCAGCAAAGTACAAGAGCAGCGAGCGCAAGGTGTTTGTGAGTGTTGACCGCGTGGAGCGACTGAAGGGTATTCTGCTGAAGCTTGGTGCTATCGAGTTCTTTTTGGCCCAGCATCCGCAGTACGTGGATAAGGTGCAGTTTGTACAGATCGGTATCTGGGATACCTCCAATCCGACACCGGAGAAGGACAGCGTTCGGGCGGAGATCTTGGCACATATGAAGCGGATTAATGATCGTTTCTGTGGGAGCCGCAATGAACCGATCTTTGCGTATTCGGACGTGGAAAACACGGACATGGCCTCTAGACTACCGCTTTGGCGTGTGGGCCATGTGCTCCTCACTACGTGTGTACGCGATGCTGTCAACCTCTACCCATTCGAGTTTATTTACGCGCACGAGCTGGCCCAGTCGCCCGGCGTTGTGATCGTGTCAGAGTTTTCGGGAAGCAGCCGCGTGCTCACGGGCAGCGTTGCTGTTAACCCCTGGAAACGCGAGGAGATTCTCCAGGCTATGGAACTCGCGTTGACTATGTCGGACGAGGAACGGATTGCGCGTCACAGGAAAGATCTGGAATACATCACGACGAATTCTCGCACGAAGTGGGCGGAGCGTATTCTCGTGGACCTAAAGCGGACAAAGAAGCAAACCGCGGAGGGCGAGTACATGGGCTACGGTCTTGGTTTGGGCTTCCGTATGTTGGAGTTCAACGCCGGTTTTAAGATGCTGGAAACTGACGTCGTGGCGAAGGCTTACCGCGAGACTTTCCGTCGCGTTATCTTCTTCGACTATGGCAACACGCTTACGCTCGAGGAATCCGCTGGAACGCACAATTTCTCGAAGTATATCACTGGCAACGAGCAGAACGCATTTGTGTCCAAGACAGAAACCCCGAAGGCATCGTCGGATCTTCTCGCGTCCTTGACTCTATTGTGTGCGGACCCGCGCAACACAGTATTTGTACTAAGCGGAAAGGAGCGTGCGGATCTGGAGAAGACTCTGGGCTCAGTGCGTGGCTTGGGGCTGGCTGCTGAGCACGGTTACCTGTATAAATGGGGCACTGGCACAAACACTAACACTGGCAGTGCCGCGGCACCGCCGTCAAGTAGCAGCAGCTCTAACAGTTTGGTGAGTGACGTGGAGGAAGGTGTGTGGTTGTGCACGAAGGACAACTTTGACGACTCGTGGAAGGATGTGACGCACGCCGTCATGGATATTTATACGCAGCGCACGCACGGCACGTACATCGAACTGAAGGGCAGTGCATTACTGTGGCAGTACCGTGATGCTGACCCGGAGTTCGGCCAGCTGCAGGCGAAGGAGTTGCACGACCAGCTCTTGCAAGTGTTGGAGCATTTCCAGGTGGAGGTTGTGACTGGCACGGACTACCTTGAAGTGCGTCCGGAGGGAGTTGACAAGGGTGTGATTGTGGACCGCGTAATGTCCACGATCGAGTCTACGAGTGGCCAGTATGTCGACTTCATCTTGTGTATGGGCGATGACCTGTCGGACGAGTTCATGTTCCAGTACTTGGAGGATGCTCGCAGCCGTCCAAACATGTTCACGGTGACGGTGGGCAAGAAGCCCAGCGCAGCAAAATACTTCGTCAACGATGTGGATCAGGTGATGGAGATTGTGCACGCGATGACCAAGGTTTCGACCGCTGCTAAGCGCAACTTCTCCATGAACGATTTGCGGCTATTCGATCGCAATGTTACGAGCAGGTACTACAGCATTCATTTGCTGACATTTTTTTAGGTGCTCGACTGACGTGTTTTTGCTTTTGATTGATGTTGTAGTGGCGGACTTCTGTCGTTCCAGAGACAAGAGGCTGGATTCAACCGGCCGTCGGGTAACCTGGGCTACATGAGCGACGGCAGCTTCGAAGGAATGAAGTCGTCCCCTTTCGAGAGTTTGGCAGAGGGCGACGAGTCTACAACAGAGGAGACGCCACAGTCCAGCACAACAAACTCGTTGGCAGGTCGTGGCATTGCCGGTAGGGGGCTGGGCGGCATGGGAGGCGGCTTAGGTGTGCGCAACTCGATGTCCATGAGCTCGTTGTCCACGGCGGGGATGCCCTCGCTGCATCCGACGTCGTCCACCTACGAGCAGTATCTCAGCAACGTTGACGAGACTGCGGAGGAAGAGGAAGGCGGCATTTTCTTCTAAGCCAGGGCGAGTGGTGTCCGGCTAGACACAGCACCCGGGTCCATCACAACGATAGGTAAGACAAGACGTTCGCGGCATAAGAGGCGGCCGTCATTATACAGGGCTCGGCTCAGCAGCATAATATGCAGACTGAAACGATCACAGGTATGGCCTGTGGGTTGCTGAGCGGGCCAAGCCGAGGCGAAGCAGAGCCGAGCAGAGCAAACCGAGAGAGTGAGAGCGGGTAATACAATGGATCTTTTAAGGATTGAGCACGGCGGCAAGCAGCGTCTGTGCCTGTCTGCCTGCTACTTGTCGAGGTATTTCTCTTGAACGTCAGGTACGCTCTGATCCCCAAAAGCGTAGTCCTTCACGACGGCGGTCTGGAAGTCCACGCCTGTGAAGACGAAACCGTTGGCCTTGTCGATAGCGGCGACGAGCTTCTGCAGAGTGGCGGGGTCCTGGATCTGCAGCGGGAGGAAGCTCACGAGGCTGAAGTCTTCGATGACATCGACCAGCGCCTCGTTCATGCGGCGGAAACGCTCCGCGAGTCGCGAGTTGGAGACCGTCATATGCCGCGGCTCCAGCGAGATCTGGTCTTCGTCTTCTGCGTCATCGGGCTCGTCCAAGCGATCCAGCAGGTAGCGCAGGTCCAGAACGTCCGTGTAGAAGTCCAAGTTGAACGCTGAAGAGCACGAAGTCGTCAGTCTACAGAGAGAGCTGCGCCTAGACTAGTGATGCTGGCAACGTACCGAGCTTGCCGTACTGCTGCATGAGGTCGATCTTGGACAGCACGTTGATGTGCGGGAGCTCGAGCCGCACCATGGACGACAAGCTCAGCATGACCACCGACACAAACTTGGAGCTGTCGGTGCAGTGGTGCGCGTCCACGAGGTGCACCACGGCCAGCTAAACAAACACCAATCAGCACGTCAGTCACCACAGCCTCCACTCTATAGTACCATACCAAGGAGATAAAGAGTCCCTCCCACCTTGTATCCGAGCTTCTGCAGCTTGTGCAGGATGCTGTGCACGCTGTTCTCGTGCGTGTAGAGCTCCACCTGACCGGGGAAGTCGAACAGCACGTACTTGTCCTTGAGCGCCGCCAGCTTGTCCTCCAGCCAGTCGAAGTTGACGTCGATGTAGTCCATGCAGTACACGAGTCCTGTCGGGCCATTGCAACAATTTATCCATCAGTATTTCAATTACTTAACACCGCATACCGTAACCTTTAAGCTAAAAACCCTATTGACAGATAAACAGAAAAGCACGCACCGCCATTCGGGCCGAGGTCGAGCTCCTCCATGACGTTCTCGAGGCAGATCATCTCGGCCACGTCCACGTCGGCCACGTACGGCAGCTGCTCGTTGGCCGGGTCCATGTTGACCACGGCCACGTCCCGGCGGTTGGCCTGCAGGAACTGCTGCATGCCATTGCAGTACGTCGTCTTGCCCGAGCCGGGCGGCCCCAGCACTATCTGCGCGAATGGCATGCTCTTTTGAATAATGGCCCATGCGTGTCAACCTTTAGCTGCTCTCATTGGTCAAAACGAAAAATAGACGATTTGGTTGGCTGAAATGCGACTTCAACGTGTTGCAGACTGCAGTGCATGTATCAATGTATCAATGTATCACTGGCAGCTATCCCTACTGCCGCCCGGGCTGGCTGCGCTTCTGGCAGTTCGGATTCCAGGGCTCGCGCTCGAGACTCTTCTGGGCCTTGTCGGGCCGCAGCAGCCGCACGTTCTGCGTGAGCTCGGGCGAGTTGCCGTCCTCCATTTGGCAGATCTGGAAGGCGCGCGTGCTCAGCAGGCGCGAGACCAGCGCCGCGTTCTCCACGTTGGTGGCCCCCACGTCCTTGAGGAAGAAGCTGGACGGCGCGCCGTTCACGAGGCCGCCGTCTTTCTTGGCCGACAGACGCGTCAGCGTGCGCGCGAACTGGTTGCGCACGGGCTCGGCCAGCGCCGGATGCAGCCGCTCCTTCATGCACACGACGCGGCGCAGTCGCTCCTTGAGCACGGCACGCTGCATGTCGTGGAAGCTCATGTTGCCGTCCGAGTCCCGAGGCAGCGGCGCGAACAGCTTCTCGATGTCGCGCGGCGTGTACTGCGGGAACTTCTTGAGCAGGTGGTCGACTTGACGCACCACTTCTTCCTCCTCCTCTTGAGACAGCGAGCACATGCCGTAGACCGCGAGGATGTCCTCGCGCTCCATGCGCGCCGACATGGTAGTGAGCTCGCGGTCCGTCACAACGTGCAGGCCTTTTTCACCGCTGCGAAGCCTCGAGTGCGCGTCCAGCGGCCCGTACAGCCCGAAGACGAAGAGTCGACCAGCTGAGTTAGGGTGCTGCAAGTGCTCCGGAAACATGAAGTTGAGTAGCTGGCCCAGACCCATGACCGCCGACTTTCCTGGGTTAGCTCCACCACTTGGCAACGGCATCACAGCGGCTTGACCCTGAGGGTGAGCGTGGGTGTGGGCCTTGTTGCCGGAATGCGCCATCAGGAAGGCCAACTCGTGCGACGCTGTCGACTCTTGAGCGCTGCAGCGGAGCCCAAGTTTCCGAGGTGCGTCCTTCGCGAATCGAGCTCGGAGACAAGCATTAGAGCTCTCTGTCCAGGCAGCGGGGTCAGCTGGACCAACTAGCTGGAGTAGTTCAACGACTGCATTCGGCCTCTCAACCCCCAAGACGAGAGCTGGACCACTCGCCAGAGAGTGAATTGCATACTCCACGACCTCGTCATCGTTAGTTGCTGCCTCCGAGCTGTTGTGAGCATCAGTAACAATAGGAATATGGGTAGTTCCGGCATCCCCTGCATGACCTTCAGGTTGGCCGATACCTTCTGAGTCCGCAGGCGCCGGCGATCGGTACATCGCGCTATGCGGGTTGCAAACCTCGAGAACGAATTGGCGTGCTGCGTCCGTCGACAAATTGACGAGAGCTTGCTGCTTCACCACGAACCCATTACGCTTCAGCTCCACACGAACAGCTTCGTCGTGCTCAAGCGCGTCTGCCTGCAGTACAAGCACGCTGAGTTGAGCAGGCAGGGATGGATCCACATCGCCGCGGGGCGTGGCCTTAGGCGACCCGACGGTGCTGCGTGGAGTTGCTAGCTTGGCCTTGCTCATCGTGGATAGGAACCTGACTGAAAAGCACGAGCAGGATGAAGCAAAGGAGGCAAACACACACGACAGAAATAGAGGGTTCAAAAGCGCCATTTTCGAGTATTTCAACAAGATCAACGCACTTGGTTGCGAAGTCTCTAATAGGGACAGCCTGCGTGGAGTTCATACGGCATTACTTCCCTCAACATGACGCACCTTCACAGCGAAGATCCGTTCAGGTTGAGGTAACGAGCCTCCAATCCGCTTACGCAGCCAGCGCGAAGCCGACGCGGGGCTTGCGGGAGTCGGTGCCCCAGTCGAAGACCGTGTAGTGCTTGCGCATGAACACGTCACCGAGGATCCACAGCGGGCCGGCGGGGGCAGGGATGTCGATGCCCATGAAGGCGAAGAGGCAGATGGGGCCGCTCTTGAGCGTGTACTCGTCCTTGGTCAGCGTGTACTTCTTGCCGTTGAGCACGAACGAGATGTCGGGCGCTGCGGCCGTGCAGCTGATGAGGTACTCGCCCATGATGAACTTGTGGGCGCCCACGAGCGCGGCCAGCTTGGCCACCTGGTCCTTGGGGCCGGCGATGAGCGACGTACCCGAGTCCACGATGGCCTTGTTGACGTCCGTGAGCTGCTGGTCCTTGGCCTCGACGGCGTCCAGCTTGACCGACCAGTAGGTGGCGCTGGTCACGTCCACGTACTCGAGCTCGCCCTTGTAGTGGGCCTTGTCCGTGCCGCCGAACGTGAGCTCGCCGTCCTTCTGGTCGCCCAGGTAGAAGGCGAAGACGGGCTCGTCCAGCAGGCCCTGCTGGATCATGCGGTGGAAGGGCGTCTTGAGGTGGTCGACGCTGATGGTGTCGAAGGCCAGGCCGAAGAGGCCGTCGAACTTGCCCAGGTAGTAGGCCGGGCCGAGGCCCTTGGTGACGTTCACCTCGGCGAAGAACTGGTCGGGCACCGTGAGGCCGCCGAGCGCCAGCGTGTCCTGCGACAGGAAGCCCGACACGGGCCCGCTGCCGTACATGATGTCGAAGGCCGTGCCGTTGGCCTTGTACGTGCTGGACGCGTCGTGGTCGTACACGTTGTGCGAGCCGAACTTCTTGTCGGGCACCCACAGGTTGCTCGAGCCCGTGTCGAAGATGACGGCGAAGGGCTGCGGCGGCGTGCCGATGGAGATGGCCCCGTAGTACTGCGCGTTCTGGAAGTCGCGGATGACCACGTTGGCCGTGCCCTGGACGGCGTCCGCGTCGGTGGCCGGAGAGGGGAAGGCGTCGGCCTCGGGCGCCCACACGACCGGCCGGTTGAGCGCGTGCACGTCGTGCAGCAGCGAGGCCACGAACTCGTCGTCGCTGCGCTTGCGCATGGGCACGCGCAGCACGGCCGCGTCCGAGGCGCAGAGGGCCAGCGCCAGCAGCGCCGAGCAGAGCAGCGAGCAGCGCAGCATGGCGACGGAAGGGGGGCTGACTTGGGCTTGATGGAGGAGTTCTTCCGAGTGGGGGATCCGGAATCAGTGCACGATGGTGATCAACTTCAAAGGAGAAATGTACCGGGAAAATGGTACGCACGACACAAAAGCTTCTCTTGGCCTCCAAATGCGTGTCAAGCCAATGCAAGGTATCAACGGCGCTCTGGTCGATGTCTTGCTCTGCCTCAATCGACCTCTTATGCTTAGCGATATGCTTAGCCGCAGAGGTGCGGAGTGAAAGCGCATATTGCTCGAGCGCAGTTTTCGCCTGGACGCGCAACTCTTCCTCTCGATCCAGAAACATATCCTCGATGTTCTGGCGCATGCGTCCAACCTCGGATGCTGGCAAACGTCCACCGCTGATCTTGAGTTCTTTCTGTTTGCCGGTTAATTTCTCCACAGCTGACACTGTAAGAGAGCCATTTCCATCGACATGAAAAGTTACCACGATTTCCGATAAGCGGCGAGGCATCGGCAGAATACCGTCCACCAGAAGCTTGTGTAGCAGGCGCTTGTCGTTGCCCTTCCCTTCAATCACCTTGATACGCATGGTTGACTCAGACGTAGAAAATGTCCGTGATGTCCGCACAGGAAGAGTGCTGTCACGCGGGACCATCGCTTCCATGCCGAGTCATCAATTCCCACTCCGAACACCAGCGATCCAGTATTGCGTAAGATATACTGCTCTAGTGCCGGCGACAGCTGACGCCTCCTTGTACAGCGACACCGAATGTGGCAGCCTCATCTGAACGAAGCGGCCTCGATAGTAGCTTGCCGTTGAAGAATTCCTTCAGCATTTGTTGCACCTTTGGAACGCGAGTAGATCCACCCATGAGCACAATTTCGTCCACTTGGCTTTGCATCTTCCAGCAACTTTTCGACGAGCCGTATCATTTTATCAAACAAGTCAGCGCACACGCTTTCCAGCCGCGCGCGTGTAATTGTTGAGTAAAAATCGATGCCATCGTATAGCGCATCAAGCTCAATGAACGTCTCCAACGAAGAAGACAAGGCTCGTTTGGCGTGCTCACAAGCCGTACCCAACCGCACCATCGCTCGTTGGTTCGCGCGCAGGTTCTTGCCGTGAGCTGTCTCCGCGTAGTACTCAGCAAGCCGGATATCAAACTCCTTGCCACTTACTTGAGTACGCATGTGTCTCCAGCTGTGGCTATAACATCAAGCATAGTGGCTGTCCCAATGCTCTGGAATGACAAGTCTTCGGTCTTGGTTATCACGTCGAGCAAAGTGCTTGTTTCAATGTTCGTGAGCGATAAGTTGAAGGTACTGGCTCCGAGATCAACAACTAGTACGTGCAGCTGATCCCTGGTATCGACAGGGGAGTCGAAACCATACGTGATGCAAGCCGTTGTTGCTGAGTTGACGAAGCGTATCACGTCCAGTCCGGCGATAGCACCAGCGTCCTACATCGCCTGGCGCTGGAAGTAGTTGAAGCTACCGGGTACTGTTAGCACAGCCTTCGTCACCTCTTGGTCCAGGTAGATCTCGGCCATCTTCCTCATTTCACACAGCAGTATAGCCACGATCTCGATCGGCTGGAATCTCTTGGTCTCGCCCTTGTACTGCACCACCACTTGTGCAGTATCTTTTGGCCCGCACTCCACCTTAAATGGCCAGTATCGGATGCTTAGTTGCAGTGCAGGGTCCGAAAACTTCCGGCCGATCAGTTGATGGATATTAAAGACTGTGTTCTCAGCGTTCCTTGTCGGTTGGCGTTTGGCAGCGTTGCCGGTCAGCAACGCAGTGTCTGTGAACGCCACATACGACGGTGTCGAGTATGCACCGTCTCCGTTAGGGATAATCTCCACGTCCTCATTGCGCCACACACCGTCGCGCGAGCACGTCGTGCCGAGATCGATGCCGACGACCAGGTCTGCAGAAGCCATGCTTGCTTGCCGAAAGAAAAATAAATGTTGGTGGTTCTCTCTCCTTTCCCAGCTTCCACACATAACAAATACTTAATAGTATAATAAGTTAAAAAAATTAAAACTTTGGGGTCATGAAAAACAGTGGCCATTGACGAAGATTGACGAAACCAATTCATTTCTGAAGACGGACATTAAAAAACGTGTCTGGAAAAACTCGCAGTTCAAGTGATACGAAGTCCTGTTCAATAGCCAATAAGGACAAATAGTTTGGATGCTCGCAAACACAAACACAAGCACATGATGAGCTGCAATATAATTTTCAAGCAAGCAAGTATATATCGGCCACCTACGCAACTACACCTTGTGATAACGTCAAAAGAATTCATAAAATCTTGCACACGAACAAGTCTCCTCCACCTTCTGCACTAGGCTGCCCCGGCACCAGAATTTCTCTGCCCGGATGGCGTCGCCATTTCCCCCAGCTTCTGCCTCTTGGCATCAAAATGCTCTTTCTTGGCCGATGGATTCGTGTCCAGCCACTGCAGTGCCTCCATTGCGCTGCTCTCGATGGTGTACTCTTTTGCAAGCGACCGCTTCAGCTTAGCGATCCGCTTAGCTGCGGAGCTGCAAACTGAATTCGCGTATCGCTCCAGCACCGCCTTCGATTGGATGCGCAATTCTTCCTCTGGATCCAGAAACGTTTCCTCGATGTTCGAGTGCATACGCTCAACCTCCGACGTCGACAGGCGGCTACAGTTAATCGTGATTTTTTTCTCCTTGCCAGTCGATTTCTCCACCGCCGACACTGTCAGGGAGCCATTTGCATCGACATCAATTGCAACTTCAATTTCTGATAAGCGGCCAGGCGTCATGGTAATGCCGTCCATCTCAAACTCACACAACAGGCGGTTGGTTGCCACTGTTGTAGCTTCCCCTTCGAACGCCTTGATACGCATGGTCGACTTATTAGCGTTGGCCGTCAAGAACGTCCGCGATTTCCGCATTGGGAGTGTACTGTTCTTTGAGACCGGCACTTCCTTCATCATACAGTCGTCGATCTCCACAGAGAACTCCAGCGACGCTGTATCGAGTAGCATATATTCATCCAGCTTTGGCGATGGAAGACCACCAAGAAAGTCCCCTTGTACAGCGACACCGAATGCGGCAGCCTCATCCTGGCGAAGAGATAGCATTTTCCCATTGAAGAAGTCCTTCAGTTTTTGTTGCACCTTCGGAACGTGAGTCGATCCGCCCACGAGCACGATCTCATCCACCTGGTCCTTCCTCAGTCTCGCCTCTCTCAGCAATTTCTCCACGAGCCTCAGCATCTTGTCAAACAAGTCAGCGCACAAACGCTCCATCCACACGCATCTGATCATTGAGTAAAAGTTGATGCCATCGTGGAGTGCATCGAGCTCAATGAACGCCTCCATCGACGAGGACAGAGCCCTTTTAGCATGTTCACAAGCCGTACGCAAACGCATCACCGCAGAGGAATCAGAGCGAAGGTCCTTGCCGTGCCTTCTCTGGAACTCGGCCGCGAAGTGTTCAACGAGCCGACTATCGAACTCCAAGACTTGCATCTCCAGTCGTGGCCAACACCTCAAAACAAGTGCTGTCTTCAACGTCCACAAGTGATACGTTGAGGGAGCTGGCCCCATAATCAACAACGAGCACATTGAGCTCTCCCACCCTGCCGACAAGAGTGTTGAACCCATACTCGATACAAGCAACAGTCGCTGAGTTGACTAAACGTATCACATCAAGTCCAGCGATAGCACCGGCGTCCTTCATCGCCTGGCGCTGGAAGTAGTTAAAGCTCCCCGGTACTGTAAACACAGCTTTCGTCACCTCTTGGTCCAGGTAGATCTCGGCTATCTTCCTCATTTCATACAGCAGTATGGCCATGATCTCGACCGGCATGAAGCTCTTGGTCTCGCCCTTGTACTGCACCACCACTTGAGGCGTATCTTCCGGCCCGCACTCCACCTTGAACGGCCAGTCAATGACGCTTTCTCGCAGTTCTGAGAACTTGCGGCCGACAAATTGCGTTAAGTCAAAGACCGTGTTCTCTGGGTTGGTTGTCAGTTGGCGCTTGGCAGCTTCACCAACGAGCAGCGCCGTCTCCGTGAACGCCACATACGACGGCGTCCAGTAGGCCTGCTGTCTGTTGGGGATGAACTCCACGCGCTCATTGCGCCACACGCCCACGCGCGATCCCGTCGTGCCCAGGTCAATGCCGACGATGAGATCCATCCTTGTCGGTCTCCCTCAAAAAGCTACCACTGTGGCCGACTGACCGATACTGTGCACAACTACTGTAGATCAACGGTCATGATTCATTACCAGTTTTTAATGATAAGAAAAGTAAAGTTGTGAACAGGAACGGAAAAATTGTATTTTGACAGAGACATCTAGCTACGAATGACAGAAGTCAAGGTTGCTAAATGACTAGATCCTACCGACTTACTCGCGCGGGTGGAAGTTCTCAATGAGACCGACGTACAGGCCAGCACCAAGCAGACCACCGATGAAGGGGCCGATGATGGGGATCCAGAAGTAGAAGCTGCGGGCCGTGAACACCTTCCAGCCCCAGCCAGCGAAGAAGGTGAAGAGGCGAGGGCCGAAGTCGCGGGCCGGGTTGAGCGCGTAGCCCGTGTCGAGGCCGAAGGCCATGCCCACGCAGGTCAGCATGAGAGCGACAGCGGCCGGGAACGTGTACGGGCTGGCCGGCTTGTTGAGCTGGTCACCGACAGCAAAGATGCCGCTGAGGAGCAGGGCAGTGCCGACAATCTCGTTGACCAGGCCGGACCAGTTGGGGATCTGCTCGTTCGGGTACGTGGCGAAGATGCCCTGGGTGGTGGCACGCTCCGGGTCCTGGACGTCGAACCACGGGTAGTACACGATGAAGACCACCCAGGCGGCCGCGAAGGCACCGAGTGTCTGCGCGATGAAGTAACCGGGCAGCTTGTACCATTCGAAGCGGCCGAAGGTAGCGAGGGTCAGCGTGACCGCGGGGTTAAGGTGGCCACCGCTGACGCCGCCGGAGAAGTGGATGCCGAACAGCAAAGCGATGCCCCAGGCCAGGTTGACAGACAGGTAGTGGCCAGCGTCACCACCGCCAAGCACGTACTGGGCCACGGAGCCGTCACCGATGAGAACCAGGATGAAGGTGCCCACGAACTCGGCGAGGTAGGCGCGCACATCGGGGTTCGCGATGGCGTAGAACGGAAGTCGCGGGTTGCCCTCGAGGTCAGCGTATCCAGGCTTGAGAGATCCGTACTCAGACATTGTCGTTGAAGCTGTTGGTTGGAGTTGAGTCCGGTAGAAGGGAAAATTGAGAATGTAATGTTGGTTCGAGCTCTCACGATTCGGGCAAGCTGGCTCGGTGAGAGAGACTTCGGGCTTCTGCTTGAAGGCGGCGATAAGGGCCAACACCAGAGACACAACTCGAGCAGAGGCGGGATGCGTCCACATGTTGACACCTCCTGAAAAAAATTGCCAGCCGGTCTCAGCTGCTGGAGGACCAGCCAGGCGTTGAAGCGATGATTCACTCGATCGGAGCCACAAAAGATCGCGAACAGAAACGGTAGAGCCTGCATCACAGGGCAACAACACCTGCAGCGGTCCTACGTGTAAATTATAAGAGTGTATTAATGACAGTAAAGCCCCAGGGTCGTTCGAATGGTACAACAGTAAATTGTCGAGACCTCGACTAAAGCTTTTTCTTGAACGACCTTCTTGTTTGGTAAGCTGGAGAAATTGTCCAAGATCGCAGTAAAGTGACGCGCTTCGTGCAGCCCCCGGCATCCATCAGCCGACCAAGGGGGCGGTCTTTCTCAGCCCAGCTGGACTGGAGGCTGTCCAAGCACCGCTTTTAGTCAGCATCTTGACTCGGTGTATGACCGCTGAAGATCACCACGGCGAGAGATGGTCGTCCCTTTTTTCGTGGACTGTAAAATTCGTCGGACTTGTCGCGGCACCGGATCTACTTGGCCACCGGTGCGAGCCTTCCCGCAATTGAAGCCGAGAGAACCACTTGAAGGGAAGAGCAGTGCCCCAAATGGAAATATCTAACAGCAGCGAAGTGCTCGACGCTGCTGTTCTTCTAAGAACAGTTTAATAACTCATTGTAAAGTTCGTCAGACTGAGCGCTACCCAGTTGTTGAAGCCGTCTGTGGTCGTGGTCTCCATCCCAGTCCGCTGTCGGTAAAGGAAGCCCAGCATGTCAGCGCGAAGCGGATTGCTCCTTTCGCCCGAGTCTTGATGTGCCGGTCCAATTCTCCTTGTCCCAAGCGCATCTGGCCATGTTGAAGCCAGGCCGGGGCTTTGGTCCGCCCCATTCGGTCGGATCTTCTCTAGCGTGTCAATAATGGCTGCCAGGCCGGCCTCGGCACCGACACATGGTGCTCGTCGCAAATGCATGGCCGACGTTCTGCACTGCGATCCAAGGCAATGGCGAGCTTCTAGCGTCCAAAGTGTACACTGCAATGCTAAGTGGCCGCCATTATCAATGCAAAACTACCAGCTCAAATTCGTTGAATTCCATAAATCTTAGGCTAAAGCGCTTCGGTGATCGCGTGCAGATATCCTATTGTTTGTCGATAGATGCCTATGACGAATAAGACGCCGCCTTCCTGCCGAGCATGGAGCAAAGCATGTGCCTCTCTCCGGCTATTGAGGTCGCTCGTGGCTCCAGTCGAGACGACGCGAGCAGCTGGTGGAGACACGAGCACTTTTTTCAGGGGCTTCAAGCTCACCGCGGACGGCTGGGTGCAAGTACAGCAGCCTCTGGACAGCACATGGCTTCAAGGTCGCGCTTCTGAGAGATCCGACCGAGATACCGGCGCTAAGCAATCTCATTCTTCCATTTCCTCCCTTCCGGCCAAGTCCCCAACGCGCCTCTGACCACCACCATGACCGAGTACGGCACCAGCAAGCACCGCTACGCCGACCTCGAGAGCAACTCGCGCCTGCCGTTCTACCACGTGCACAACCCCAACTTCCGCGCCTACCTGGCCGAGTTCGTTGGCACCTTCATCCTCGTGCTCATCGGCGATGGCTCCGTGGCCCAGTACGTTCTGGGCGGGGGCGGTGCCGGCCACTACCTGTCGGTGAACCTGTGCTGGGGCATCGCGCTGCTCTTCGGCATTCACTTCTCCGGCGGTGTGAGCGGTGGCCACCTCAACCCGGCCGTGACCCTCACGCTGGCCCTGTTCAAGCGTTTCGAGTGGCACAAGGTGCCCGGCTACTTCGTGGCCCAGACCGCCGGCGCCTTTGCCGCCGCCATCCTCGTCTTCATCGTGTACTACCCGTGGTTCGACATCCACGACCCGGAGCGCGTGACCACGCAGGGCATCTTCGCTACCTACCCGAACGAGAAGATCCCCAACTGGTCAGCTCTGGCTAACGAGATCATCGGCACGGCCCTGCTGGTCAGCGGCATCTTCGCGGTCGGCGACCAGCTCAACAAGCCGGCCAGCCCCTACAGCTTCCCGGGTGCCGTGGCCCTGATGCTCACGTGCATTGGCATGGCCTTCGGCCTCGACACGGGCTACGCGCTCAACCCGGCCCGCGACTTCGGCCCTCGCCTCTTTACCTTCTTCGCTGGCTGGGGCTGGCAGGTGTGGACGCTGCGCGGATGCTACTTCTGGATCCCCATTGTTGGCCCGTTCGTCGGCGGCATCCTTGGTGCTGCCACCTACGTGGGCCTCATCGAGGCGCACCACCCGCCGCAGTAAGCAGGTGAACGAAGGACGGTAGGTCACTCCTTGTTGTCGAGAGAGAACGTGCACATACTGTCAATACAACTTGTACTCTTTGCATTAAGCCTAATGTTGTTGTCAAAGCCTTGAATCTTAGTGTTGCCAAAGCTTCATATCACGCTATAGTGAATTAGGACCCATTCATCAACAAGGCTCTTTGCTATTCCTGCTGTGGGCGTTTCCTTTGAGCACCGCTGCCTGAGCCCAACGGTATCCTCCACGATGGTCAATTTAAGCTGCTTGTTTGCACCTACCTACAAGGCTTTCAATAGCGCCATCGACAAGATGCGAGGCCCACAACTCTGCAAACGCAGGCTTGTCGCTATCTAAGTCGGCCGGCCTTCCAACTTCCAGTGTTCAATTTGCCTCTTGGACCAAGCCAAGTCAGCCGCTCAAGCCCCTCGACGATCATGGCCGAGTACAAACCTGGATACGGAGGCTACGCCGACCTCGAAGGCAACGGCCGCTTGGCGCCCTACGCCATTCGCAGCCAGGATATGCGCGCCTACATGGCCGAGTTCGTCGGCACCTTCATCCTCGTGCTCATCGGCGATGGCTCCGTGGCCCAGTTCGTGCTCAGCAAGAGAGCCGCCGGTGACTACCTCTCCGTGAACCTGTGCTGGGGCATCGCGCTGCTGTTCGGCGTCCACTTCTCCGGTGGCGTGAGCGGTGGCCACCTCAATCCTGCGGTCAGTGTGACGATGGCCCTCTTCAAGCGCTTCGAGTGGCGCAAGGTCCCGGGCTACATCATCGCGCAGACGTTGGGCGCCTTCGTTGCTGCACTGGTGCTCTACATCGTCTACTACCCGTGGCTCGACATCGTGGATCCGGAGCGCGAGTTCACGCAGGGCATCTTCGCCACGTACCCGAACCCACAGATCCCCAACTGGACCGCGTTCGCCAACGAGGTCATCGGCACGGCCCTGCTCGTTGGTGGCATCTTCGCTCTGTGTGACCAGATCAACAAGCCCGCGAGTCCCTACAGCTTCCCCGGCGCAGTGGGCCTCCTACTCACAGGTATCGGCATGTCGTTCGGCCTCAACACAGGCTACGCTCTCAACCCCGCCCGTGACTTTGGCCCTCGCCTCCTTACGCTCTTCGGCGGCTGGGGCTGGAAGGTGTTCTCGTCGCACGGCGGATACTTCTGGATCCCGATCCTGGGCCCGTTCATGGGCGCTGTCCTGGGTGCGGCCATGTACGTGGGCCTCGTGGAGCTCCACCACCCGCCTCAGTAAAGAACCCCTCACTCAACCTTCTTGCCTTGTGCAAGCGGCTCTCACCCCGAAGGAAGCGAAACCGAACGAAGGCTAGCATCCCATTTTATTCAGAGTAACTCGCCAAACAAATATACACTTCTCAAGCACACACGCTCTGCAGCATTTCACTCGCAAGTTATCGCTCGCTGTAGCTGGTTGAAATGCCCACGCCAACGCTCAACCTGGGCAGTATCACAGGATCGTCGTCGGTGTCGATTCTGGATCGCTCGCTCTCGTCTTCATCCCTTCGCACTTCGCCGTCACCCGGTCGGATGCGGCAGAAAAGCTTTGGTCGCCAACCAGCCCGAGTTGCTGCCGCGCCCGTCTCGCCAACTCGCCCACCATCGATTGTAACTCGTTCCGAAGACTTGTCGAGCGTGGCGCTCAGCAACGACGACGGTGAGGTCACACTGGGAGTCCATCAAGAGATGGCGAGCGACCTTCCAACAGCAGAGGACGACGTCGACCACGAGGAAGAGAAGGGGAAGCTGCGGGCTGAGATCGAAGATCTGCAGCAGGAGTTGCGAGACCTCCGAGACGCCAGCGAGAAGGTAAGGCCACAACATGGACGATGCGGTGTAGCTGCAATACTGTGCTGATACTGACGAGTGCGTATTGTGCAGAACGATGAGACTTGGCAGCGCGACAATGCTCGGCTAAAGGAGCAGCTCAAAGCTGCAAGCGCGCGTGAAGCGACCCAAGAGGAGCAGCTCCGGGCCCGTGACGACCAGCTCGCAATCTGCCGTCAAGAGCTGCGCGAGCTTCAAGAGCACCAGCTGAAGCTCGAGCAAGACCAGAGGACGCCTCCAGTACCTCTTCCCGTCGAGGACGCTGGCAATTCGGGGCTTGGACGAGAGCGCGATCTACTTAAACTCGTCGTGAAGTTGGTGGGCGCCTCGAACGTCCGGTCAGTGCTCCGCGAGAACCCGAACGCCAGCCCCGCCCAGCTCCGTGAAGCCCTGGTTCATCTCCGTTGTCCTCAGTGTCGACGCTTGTCGCCAGCGTCGCGGGCCAATTCACCGCCGAAATCCACCGACGTCGGCCACACCGAAAGTCTCCACGAACTGCTGTTCGGGGCAAGTCGCTCACCTCGACCTCCGTCCCCGACGTCCATCCGCTTCAACTCGATGGGCTCGCGAACTCCACACAAGTGATCAATGTCTAAAGTAGTTAGACCAATATCCAGTAAGGACTACGCTGTAGGAGCAGCTACAGGTGAAGACTTCGAAGTAGGTAATGGCGCCGAGCCTCGTAACCTGAAAGCGTCCTCTTCTTCCCCCGCAAACTTCTTAATTTGCTTCTCCACGTCCTCAAGCTTCAACCGCTTTGACGGATCGAAGTTGCACACGGCACACACCAGCCCCCACATCTCGTCGGACATCACCTCTGGCTTCTTCATGAACTTGCCATGTTCCAGATGCCACTGCACGGATGCCTCAGGCGCCATTCCCCACGGTAATATGCCCACTACGGCCACTACAACGACCATTCCGAGCGAATACACGTCTGCCTCGAATGAACTTTTACCTTTCGCCACGAACTCTGGAGCACGCCACCGAATCGCCCCCAGATTATCGAATTGAGGTTTCGACCCTGTTCCAACGCAACTCATGCCAAAGTCCGTGAGCATTGCAGTGTCACCATCGACCAGAACGTTGCTGCCTTTGAGATCGCCATGAATGATGCCTCGACTGTGCAAGAACTGAAGCCCATGCGTCACATCTAGCAGCACACGCCAGGCTTTAGACTGACGATCTCCCTTCTGTCGCCTCAGGTATACAGACAGGGAACCCCCGGCGATGTGTTTGCACACCATGAAACACGGCTCACCGACATCGCACGCTCCATAGAGCGGTACAATGTTGGGGTGGCGGTTCGCCTTTTGCCAGACGCTCACTTCCCGCATAAAATCTCTTTGGGTGGTCTCTGACGAGATATCGACGCACTTGACGACAACCGGGGCGTTCATGTACGTTCCGTGATAAATCTGCCCAAAGGAACCTCGATTGAAGGAGGTGTCTTCCATTATAACCTCGTGACGCGCAATAAACCACGCTTCCTCTGATGGTATAGCCAACTTCGAGAAGCCTGAATAACAGCGCGCAAAAACTCCTTTTCCTGCTGCGAGTAGGAAGTCGCCTCCTTCACTTCATGCACCAGCAGGGCGAGCGCTTCCATTTGCGCACTTGAATCCACGAGATCGCTTACCAGCTTTCCAGTCTCACACTCGAAGAGTTGCTGCTTCATTGCTGCTCGATCGGCTTCCCACTGTGACTGCCACGCATCTCCCACTTCCTCTGACTGCAGGAAAGAATCCAGTTCCTGATGAAATTGTGCGAGTGCCGTTGCGAGGGAGTTTTTGCCCCCACGAGACGAAGCACCATCGGCTTCCCGACATACGTCGATAGAATCGCGACAAATCGGACGCGCAGTATCGTCGTGGAACTGACGCCTTGCGCTGACATTTCCTTCAATCGATCTAGCACGTGTCGACATAGTGGCCCAGCTTCGCCCATGCGGTCACACAGAAGCGTAAGCTCGTCAAAGCTCCCATTGACCACCCACGTTAGAACACGGTTGGCCGATGTAGCAACTATCTCGTCTCCGCTCTTCGATAAATTGACCAGTGTGGAGATCCCGCCAGCTCGTTCGAACTCCGACCGAACGGTAACACCGCAATCAAGACAGAGAGCATCTAGAGCAGCGAGACCCTCGTGTGTGACCTTGCTGCTCTCGCTTGCTCTGATGTACGACAGTACTGTGTCGATACCTCCGTTGATTGCAACTTGGGCCTTCGTACCACGATCGAGGTATTCGCCCAGAAACCCGAGCACTTGTACTGCTCGTTCCCGAATAATCCGACTACCGCTGTAGATAATCTTGGTTAGGCCTTGGATTAAATTTTCAGTCCGATTTATAGGTTTCCCAGTCACCAAATTCCACAATACTCGTGACGCCTTCTCCTCCTGCCATTCGGTCCCGACATGCACCAAAGCTGTCATCAGTGGAATAACTCCAGCCTCCGAGACCTTCTCCCTATTCGCAGAGACTAGCACCACATTTTGTAGCGCTTCGGCGGCATTCTTCTGCTGCTCTGGGCTGCCGCCTCGGAGAAGCGCCGCTAGCGGTAAAATTCCTCCCGTTACAGCGATCCTTTCCTTATTGATGTCGTTGACGGATAAATTTGAGAGTGTTGCCGACGCGATCTCCTTCTGCATGTCGTTGCCCTTCTTTAGCAAGGCCACCAGTGGGGGGATGGCTCCGGACAGAGCAATCCATTGCCTGAGTGCGTCGTCAACCGCTAGCTTACACAGAGCTCGAGAAGCAGCCTCCTTCGGTGCGTCGTTACCGCTGTGTAGCAATGCCACCAGCGGCACAAGTACCCCTGCATCGACGAGTAATCCTCTCGTGACTGTGTCTGAGGCAGCTAGATTCCCCAATACCTCAACAGCTTCCTCTTTCTCTACCTCTTCGCCGTCGCGCAGCAAGCGCACAAACGTTGTAATCTGCGAGTGCTTCCATTCCATTCCGTCGACCTTTTTCTCCTTGCCCGTCAACGTGTCAACGACCGACGCCCCCCAGAATAAATTTGCGTCGATATCAATCGTTTCCTCGAACTTCGATTCACCACTGGATAGACCATTCATGTCGAGGACGCCGAGTTGAAGGCTCTCACTTCCTTCCTCCTCCTCACCCTCGAGAACGCGAAAGCGTATGGCCAGTTGCTATCCGAGCTGCTGAGATTGTGTGCCATTTTTTCGTTGGAATAGTGCAGTTCCTCGGGATGACGACTGTTTTGATTCCATTCACTTCCATTTGCAAAGACTTGGTCAATACATCCAGCAACAGTAAATCTTCCAGCTTCGGTGACGCATCGCCACCAGTGAGGACGGCAGCTTGCATTGTTGCGCCGGTCGCCGCGGACTCCTCTGCGATCGGCCCCTTTACCTTCTTTCCGTTAAAGAAATCTTCCAATAGTTGCTGCATTCTTGGTATACGCGGAGAACCTCCGACGAGCACAATCTCGTCCACTCGAGTCTTTGACTTCTTGGCATCTCGCAGCACCTTCGATACCGCCCCCAATGCCTTATCAAACAAGTCGGCGCACAAGTCGTTAAAACGGGGGCGAGATATCGTCGAGTTGAGGTCAATGCCTTCATACAATGACTCAAGCTCGATTTGTGCCTCCGTTGAAGTCGATACTGCTCTCTTGGCTTGCTCGCAAGCGCTACGCAGGCGCACCATTGCTCGTGAATTAGTACGGAGGTCCTTGCCATGAGTTCGCTTGAACTCAGCCACACAGTGCTCAAGCAAACGGGCACACCTCCAAGATGTGGAACACCGAGCGTAGCCAACACTTCGTAAATGTCGTCATCGATGGTCACCAGCGACAGATCCAACGCGCTGCCGCCCATATCAAAGACAAGTATGGCCCGCAGACCAGTCTTCTCGAACCCATACCCGATAGACGCTGCTGTTGACCCAGCGATAGAGCGCACCACGTTTAGTCCAGCTAATGCACCGGCGTTCTTGATTGCCTGCCGCTGGGACTGGTTGAAGTGGAGAGGCATCATCACCACTGCATCCGTCAGCTTCTCTCCTGTGGACGACTCGGCCATTTCACGCAACTCCGATAGAAACATGGCCAGGATCTCCACCGGTTGAAATGACCTCGACTCACCCTCGAACGTCACTACCAGTACAGGTTTGTCATCCGGGCCGCAGACCACCTTGAAGGGCCAGAGCTTGATGCCTTCCTGGATCTCAGGATCCGAGAACTTGCGGCCGACCAAGCGACCACCGTGTTTCCCGCATTCTGCAGCAACTGGTGCGTGGCCGGCTCGCCGATGAGCACTTCGGCCTCTGTGAACGCCACAATGGTCGGTGTGGACCGGTCTCCCGACTTGCTTGGCACGATCTCCACGCGGTCATTTCGCCAGACACCCACTCGGGAATACTTGGACCCCAGGTCGATGCCCATGCTCGCCCCACGGGCGCCTTTAGTGCTCACCATCGGTGCGCCGTACTGTATGTACCCTCACTTCCGACATCGGTTTTTCTATCGGATTTAAAGGGGAATTGTATTTGCTTGGGTTTAAGCTAGAGGTCAAGCTCATCATGGTCGCAGATGCATTGAGAGGCAAGACTACATGTATGGATAGCACCAGCAGTGCGAGACGAACTTAGCGCACATCGTACCGCAGATTACCTCGCTCCACTGCATTGGCGTTAGCTGGTCTTTGTAGGCCTTCTCCAAAAGCTCCGTCAGTGGGCGGCTGCAGGCTCAGCGCGCCGAACACGACTCAGCTCCAGCCCCAGTAGCAAGGGCTAAGATATAGCGCAGGCACTTCGCGCTTGAGCGCTCCGTTTCGCTGTACGAGGCACTGTCGGCGCACGTGCTGGACGCGTCCACAGGACGTACGTTTCCTGTGTGGCGTCGAGCAGCTTTTTCCTATCCGCGGCGGCGCTGCTCTTCGCCTTCGTCCCGCGAGAGGTCTACCAGGAGCTGGCGGGGTGCCACACCCAGCAGTAGCAGCAGCAGCAGCAGCAGCGCAGAATTCTTCTTGCGTCATCGCCGTGTCTTCATCATGCTTCTTCACACTTGCCCCCGATGCTCCTCACTGCTGCCTGCCAAAGTGTGAAATGAATGGTTTTGGCGCGAAAACCTCGTAACGATCATAATATATTAGCTAGGTCTTCTGCAACCTTATAAATATAAACACATTAAATCTCAGAAGTAATAAGGAGTATTAGGTGTCGGAAGTGAGGGTACCTGCAGTTGTTGCCGAGGATGGTGGGGAGCGATCCTGAGACCGCCACCTCGAGTTTGGTTAGTGACAAATTCTATGTATATCCTGCACTACCACTTGATGTAAAGCTAGTTATTCACGTCGTGCCCAGGTCGATGCCGACGCTGGGGCCGGAGCCTGCCATTTCATGCGCACGACGTGTCTGCGGGTGGGCGTGTGGGTGAACAATAACGTGGCGGTGCTTACGAGCGACCGCCCGTTGCCGTCGTTCGTAGCGTTCACGGACACGGAGCGACTCGTTGGCGACGTCGCCAAGCGCCAAGTGGCCACGAACGTGAACAACACGGTGTTCGGCACCACGCGCCTCATCGGCCGCAAGTTTTCGGACCTGGAAGTACAGGAAGACTTGAAGCACTGGCCGTTCAAAGTGGTTGGCGGGCCAAATGATGGCCCGCTAGTGGAGGTGCAGGCTGCGGGCCAGACCAAGACGTTCCGGCCAGTGGAGATCCTGGCCATGCTCCTGGCCGAGGCACGCGAGACGGTGGAGACGCATCTGGGGAAAAGAGTTGAGAACGCAGTGGTGACGGTGCCGGCCTCCTTCAACTACGCCCAACGACAGGCGATCAAAGACGCCGGCGCTGTAGCAGGCCTGAATGTGGCCCGCTTGATCAGCGCGTCGACAGCTGCGGCCATCGCGCACGGCCTGGAGAACAAGACCAAGGCCGGACAGCGGAACCTGTTGGTGCTTGACCTGGGTGGTGGCACCTTGGACGTGTCGCTGGTGGCCATCGAGGAAGAGATCTACGAGGTGCTGGCCACGGCTGGGAACGCTCATTTGGGCGGCGAGGACTTTGACTCTCGGTTGGTAGAGCACTGCGTGGCTGAATTCAAGCGAATGCACCGCAAAGACCTGAGCACAAATGCGCGCGCCATGATGCGCCTGCGTATGGCCTGCGAAAGTGCTAAGAGAGCTTTGTTCGCCCCCGAGTCGGTGGAGAAGCTCATTGAGCTCGACGCCTTGTACGAGGGCATCGACTTCCACACGAAGATCACGCGTGCTCAGTTCGAAAAGTTGTGCGCGGACCTTTCCGACGATATCATGTTGCCTGTGCAGCAAGTGCTGAGTGATGCTAGCGTCTTGAGGAGTAAAGTGGATGAGGTGGTTATGGTGGGCGGATCCATGCGTATCACCAAGGTCGAAGAACTTTTGAAGGAGTTTTTTAACGGCAAGAAAATTATTAGATCCAGGCATGAGGAGGAGCTCAATGTCCTCGGAGCCACAATGCATGCTGCCATGCTGACGGACGAGCTGTCCGTGATCAAGCCTCTTGAGGAGTTTATGCTGTTGGATGTGACGCCGCTCTCGCTCGGAGTCAAGATTGACGACACGAACACGTCGGTTATGATCCCGCGCAGCACCACGATTCCAACAAGGAAGACACGGACATTTTCGACGTCTCAGGACAACCAGTCCGTCGTACAGATTGAGCTTTTGGAGGGTGAAGACGGCGACAACCGTGTGATTGGCAAGCTTAAAGGGGATGGCCTTCCGCTTGAGCCGCGGGGGGAATTCAAGATTGAGGTTACAGTTGAAGTGGACGCAAATGGCTGCATCACAGTGCTTATTGCGGACGAATCGACGGGCCAGTCGAAGAAACTCGAGGTTAGTGGCGATTGTCTGTCAGCATTGGAAATTGATCGTATGAGGAAGAGCGTGATGAAGGATGCGTCGAAGATAGAGCTCGAAAATTACGCCAATTCGGTTCGCAGCACTGCAGCCAAGCGTATCGCTGAGCTGAAGCGATCGATAGAGGAAATGCAGGCTGTTGAAGAGCAGGCCACCGAGACTCTACATTGGTTGAACCGGAATCATTCGGTCGGGAGGGCAGATATCGATGTCAAGAGGAGGAAACTAGAGGAGGCTGCTACTCCTGCCACGCACAACAACTTGGCTAGTACGAGTGGAGCAGATCCTTTCGAGAGCAGAAAACCCCAGAAAGTGCCAGCTAAACTGCAATAATGGCGGCATCGAGACGAGGTACGGGCATCGACCTCGGGTCCAAGTATTCCCGAGTGGCTGTGTGGCTAAATGATCGCGTAGAGATCGTGCCTAGCAAGTCCGGCGACCGATTTACGCCGACGATCGTGGCGTTCACAGAGACCGAAGTGCTCATCGGCGAGCCTGCCACTCACCAGTTGCTGCAGAATGCGCAAAACACGATCTTCGACATCACGCGCTTGATCGGCCGCAAGTTCTCGGATCCTGAGATCCAGGAAGGCATCAAGCTCTGGCCCTTCAAGGTGGTCTGCGGCCCGGATGACAAACCCCTAGTGGTGGTGACGTTTAAGGGCGCGTCGAAGTCATTTGAAGCAGTGGAGATCCTTGCCATGCTTCTGTCGGAGTTGCGTTAAATGACCGGCATTCTTACTGGTAACGATGAATCCCCACAGCTGCAGGATCTATTGTTGCTGGATGTAGTGTCCAAGTCTCTCCAAGTGGAAGTAAACGGAGCCAAGGCGGTTGTCATCCCGCGGGACTGCAATATCCCGACGAAAAAGACAGTGACGATCTCGACGTCTCCGGACACCAACTCGGTTGCGCGCTTTCGCTTCCTCGAGGGGAATGAGGAGGCAAGTAAGAACCTTCATCTGGGCGTGATCGCCATGGATGGTATCTCCAGCGGCGAGTCTGAGTTCGATGTAACGATGGATATTGACGCAAACCTCATCTGGAGTGCATCGGTGGTGCAGAAATCGACGGGCAAGGAGAAGAAGCTTTCAGCCATCTGTGATCCTTTGCCTACGCCGGAGGACGAACGCACACCCAAGGACGTTGATAAGCCGAAGAGCGTGCGTAGGCGCAATAGCGCCCTTGGCAAGATACGCAGCCTCTTGTCGAGCGTTATGCCCAAAACACCCAAGCAAAAGTCCATGCTCAAGTTGCGCGAATCGGCTGAGCACGAAATCAAGCAACGCCAAGCAGACCCAGCAGAAACTTCGCTGGCCGCTATTTAGGTTTCCCTTGCCGCTGTCGGCGCCAAGTGAGAGAATATTCCCCGTGCATGAGACGCTGCTTTCATCGCCTTTATATTGAATATGAGAACCCAGCACATGAATTCGTTCAATACTATCATATACACATTCGAAAAAGTAAAATACACGTAGACGCTCAAATTATCTACACCAGTATACTCTGGTTGACCTTATCCGGTCAGTCCTCGAAGATGCTAGTTAGTCCGCACAAAAGCGACAACTAGATATAGCATAACCCCTGATGCTCACTCGATTGTATAGCTCCTTCCACAGCGCTATACGCCAGCAACCTCCAAGAAAACCATTGAAGCGTAACGATGGCCAACAAAACGACCGGTGGGCCCAGCATTGGCATTGATATCGGAACGGCATACTCCAGGGTGGCTATTTGGCACAAAGACCGCGCGGAAATCCTTCCCAATCGATTCGGGAATCGGTTGACATCGTCGTACGTGGCATTCACCGACTCGAAAGTTCTCGTGGGTGATGCCGCAGCCGACCAACGGCTTCAAAACGCTGAGAACACAGTGTTCGGTATAACACGGCTACTCGGCCGCAAGTTTTCGGACCCTGAAGTCCAAGAGCGCATCAAGCATTGGCCATTCAAAGTGATTCGGGGCCCGCACGATACCCCCCCCCCCCCCCCCCACGTGATGGTGCAGTTCAGAGGACAGACCAAGATTTTCCACCCTGTGCAGATTTTGTCCTTGCTGCTCTCGGAAATGCGCGGGATTGTGGAGACTTACACCGGCAAGGAAGCAACGACCGCTGTCGTGACGGTTCCAGCGCACTTCAACTACTCTCAGCGGCAGGCCGTCAAGGATGCCGGTGCCATCGCCGAAATTCAGGTCATGCGAATGATCAGCCGATCAACTGCGGCCTCGATATCGTACGGTATCAACAAGAAGGGCTCAGAACGAAGGGTGCTAGTCGTTGACCTAGGCGCTAGCACGCTTGATGTGTCGGTGGTGGAGATTGAAGACGGCAACTTTGAGGTGTGTGTGGTACTGCGGGGGATGTCAACTTGGGTGGCGATGACTTTGACAGTCGCCTGGTAGATCATTGCGTAGCTGAGTTCATGAAAGACCATAGCCAAGATCTATGCACCAACTCACGGGCGATGCTTCGCCTGCGCAAGGCCTGCGAGGGGGCCAAACGAGTGTTGTCTCTATCAGCGGAGACTACGATTGATCTTGAAGCACTGTGCGACGGACTTAATTTCCAGTTGAAAATCACTCGCGCGCTGTTCGAAAGCTTGTGTGAGGATTTATTCGACCGTATCCTGTGGTCCGTACAGCAGGTACTGAGCGATGCCAACCTGATCAAAGACAAGATTCATGCCGTCGTGCATGCCGGAGGATCAACTCGAATCCCGAAAGTCAAGCAAGTGTTAACAGAGTTTTTCAACGGGAAGCCACTGCTCAGAGTGATAGAGGAAGCTGCAGTGTCCGGCGCTACCCATCTCGCTGCCACTTTGTGCCACGAACCATCGCCAAAGCTGAATAATTTCCTGCTGCTGGATGTGGCGCCGCTGTCGCTTGGAGTGGAGATTAACGAAACGAACATGACTGTCCTGATCCCGCGCAACACCACGCTGCCTACCCGCCGCCGAGCGTATCGCCGAGCTCAGACAAGCAATTGACGAAGCGAAGGCCATCGAGGACAAAGCCGAGGAGACACTACGCTGGTTGGAGGCCAACGAGACTGTCAATAACGAGGACTTGCAGCTGAAGCAGCGCGAAGTGGACGCAGCCGCAGCCACTCTTAATTCGCTAAAGTTCATGGGCTAATTAAGGGTTCAACACGTTGAAGTTATTATGTTGCAAAATAAAATTACTTATGTTGCCCATTTGTGGTACTAGCCAGTAGGCCACCAACTGTACCCATTTTACTGCCGATTGTTCAGGGTGCGTCAGTCGGTATCAATGAGCACAAGCGAGGCGGAGGAGGCCGTGGCCTCCAAGGGGCTCACCGTCGGTACGCACGCGCTCTATCAATACAAAGTTGTTGTGACCATGTTCCCCACTCACTGGCCTTCCCGTTCATGCGATTTTCTCCAGTGGAGGACACCGCCAAGCGGCACGCGGAGCTGTTCGCCGAGTTCCCCGAGCCGGAGGTGAAGAAAGTGTCGCGCCTGGAGCGGGAGAAGAAGGAGCTGGCCAACCGCTCTCTGGTCTACGGAGAGATCCCATTCGAGACGGTGGACGCCATTTTTCAGCTGGTACCGACGCCTAGATGGGGTTTCAATTGAGGGGTTTTCAGATGTGCGGGGGAACTGACTGGCTGTGGATGCGCCGTGCTAGATGAGGACGCAGTTTGGCGTGTTGCTGGACAAAGGAGGGAACTTCTACGACATTGGTTCAGGCTGTGGCAAAGTGGTGCGTGCTGGGAAGTTGGCGCTTGAGAGATAGAGAGGCAACAGTGTGCTGACTGTTGAGTGGCAGGTGATGGCGGCGGCGTTGCTGCACGATTTCTCCAAGTGCTGCGGTATTGAGGTGAGGATGAAAGTGTTGGACAGTGCGCTGATGCTTGAGCGGGAGGCTGATGATGTGTTCTGGTGATAGGTGCTGGATGGACTGCATGCCGTGGCACTGAAGGTGCTGGATCGGTGGAGGTACCAGATGCTGGACTCGTTGCCGGCGACCAAGGCCGATCTGGATCTGGGGTTCGCGAAGGCCGACGCTGTTAAGCGCCCGGACATTTGGCGGGACGCTACGCTGGTGTTTTGCAACTCGACGTGTTTTAGCGACAGCGTGAGTTTATCCGAGTGTCTATAAAGTACTGCAGTTGAGGAATTGGAAGCTCATGGTGAACGTTTGTGTTGCTCTGTAACAGCTCATCCAAGCGATTTCGACGGAAGCAGACCAGTTGGCCGTGGGTAGCTACTTCGTGACGGTGACGAAGCCTTTGCAGTCCACGCGATGGCAGGCGGTGCACGAGGAGAAGTTTCACATGAGTTGGGGCCGAGCGACGGTCATTATTCAGAAGAAGATGTTCTGAATTGGAGCCAATGTCGTACGTCTGGAACAACGCGGGATGAATTCAATAGGAATGAATACCTTTGCGAGTGTAGATACCATTGTCGCGTGAATCCCTGGTTTAAAAACGAGTCAAGCCACACCAAAGGGGAACAACATGTTTAGGGCGACAGGGAAAGCACCAGCACTGAAAGTTTCTGCTCACCCCAGCTTTTCCGGCTCCCGTTCGTTACCAAACCTACCAGCGTGTCGTCGACAAAAGCTTCTTGTGCTTAGATTTGGACACCGACAAGTTTCAGTGCACGACTGCTGCTGTCCCCTCGTCGAAGTTGATGAAGGCAAAGCTGCTAACCCTCCATACGGTGGTGGCAACAGAATGGGCCGCCTTCAGTAATGCGGCATCGGTATCTACGGGGGACGTCTTTGTCTACAGCAACGCCAAAGCTCCACTCCGGCGCAACCATGCTCAAGCTGCCGACGCCTGCCTTTCTGTCGGCTGTTGTTGTGTCAGCATCGCCGTCGATTGCAAGTGCTGTCGCCCCAGTGTATCGACCACTTCGAGTCCCGGCGTGAACGATCTAAGGGTAAAACGCTGCTAGCTGCTGACCCCAGCGCTCGTAACAGCGACGAACTCTTCCAATTCGACCAGCTTGCAACTTCCTTAGATACAATTCCCCCCGTCTTCTAGTCCCCCCTCCCTGAGTTGTGGGCCGATACGTCCACCTTGAAGTGGTCCATCGATTGACATCGATTGACTCAAGAGAGCCAGCACTTCAACTACGACAATACAGTCCACCTTACACAGGATCCCACTATGGTCTCCACTAAGTCCGAGTCTTCGTTATCGAGCGGGTCATTTGCGGTACTGCGGGAGAGTTCTCCGATCCGCCGTGCGTGTGTTTGCAGCGCCATATCTCCGTCCGCAGCGACGGCCATGCGCCACCAACGAGTGCCCTCGATGCGTCTGCGTCTCCTCTTCCTCGTCGTGTCGGTTGCACTCATTGGGGGCCTCTGCAGCGCGCACATGCACGTGTCGGAGCGGCGCCACCTCCAGCAGCAGGCGCGCGACATGTTCTACCACGGCTACCGCAATTACATGGAGCACGCCTACCCGTGGGACGAGCTGAAGCCTCTGAGCTGCTCCGGCCGCCGCTGGGACCGCCGCGAGCGCGGCGACCTGGACGACGTCCTGGGCGGCTTCTCGCTCACGCTGGTGGACTCGCTGGACATGCTGGCGGTGCTCGGAGACCGCGACGAGTTCGCGAGAGCCGTCAAGCTCGTGGCCGGCAGCGTGACCTTCGACAGGGACGTGACGGTGTCGGTGTTCGAGTCGACCATCCGGGTCATCGGGGGCCTCGTGTCAGCGCACATGCTGGCGTCCCCCGAGTACTTCGGAATGATGGAGGAGGACGAGTACAACGGGGAGCTGCTGAGCCTCGCGGAGGACCTCGGACGTCGGCTACTGCCGGCCTTCGACACGCCGACAGGGATTCCCGTGCACCGCGTGAATCTGCGGCGTGGGGTGCTGCCGAAAGACCGCGCGGCCAAGTTGACGTGTCCTGCGGCGGCGGGATCGTTGCTGGTGGAGATGGCGTACTTGTCCAGACTGTCGGGGGATCAGAGGTTCGAGCAGAGGGCCAAGGAGGCGGTGGTGGCCATCTGGGACAGGAGGTCGGACATTGACTTGCTGGGCAGTGCCATCGACGTGGGGTCGGGCGAGTGGGTGCACTCTCATGGAGGGATCGGAGCTGGACTCGACTCGTTCTTCGAGTATTTGCTCAAGTACCATTTGGTCAGTGGAGATTCGCAGTGGCTGGCCATGTTCAATGCGAGTTACCAGGCGGTGGAGACGCATGTGAACCACGACGACGTGTACATTGAGGTGGATATGAATGGGGGCAAGGACCAGGTGCGTACTCGTCGAGTTTCGGCGCTGCAGGCGTTCTGGCCCGGACTGCAGGTGCTGGCTGGGGACGTGTCAGGTGCTATTCGCACTCATGAGCACATGTTCCCGCTCTGGGATGAGTTTGGAGCCATGCCAGAGTTGTTGGACTTGGCTCCACGCGGCATGTCGAAGCCTGGAAACCGGGGCACGGTCATCAGCTGGGCGCGTACGTCTCCGCTTCGTCCCGAGCTTATCGAAAGCACGTATCATCTGTACCAGGCCACGCGCGACCACAAATACCTGAAAATGGGTCGTCAAATGCTGCAGGACATTCGGCGCGTGTCGGAGGTACCGTGCGGATACGCTGCGGTGGGGAATATTCACACGCTGGACATCGAAGATCGCATGGATAGCTACTTCCTCTCGGAGACAGCGAAGTACCTGTACCTGCTCTTCAGTGACGAGCCAGATGTGATCGTCCCAGTGCCTCCAGTTCGACAACGGAAAAATGCCTCGTCGCCTTCGAACCGAACCTGCGCTACGACAACTCCAAGCAAACTGCAAACCGTTGGAACATCGCTCGAGTGTAAGACTGCCTCCGCCAATGCAAGCTCCAGCCTGGGGGAAACATCATTGAGACGGAACAAGAAGTCCCTGAAGGCGTCCGACGTCGTCTTCAGCACTGAAGGCCACATCCTGATGATCGACTCGCACCTCTTTCGCCAACCACAGCAGAAATCATCGCTCGTCGCTCCGAAGTGCGAGAATGGGAAGCTGCAAGTGCGCCAGCGCAACGTCGAGCTACAAGCGGCACGGGAGATCCTGACGACGCCTCCTGTTATCCCCGTGGGGCTGGCTGTCCGTCTTGGCGACGTGCACGTGATGACACTCGTGGCATCTCCAGCAAAGTTTGGACTGCAGGTCACGACCCCGTCAGCAGTGGAGGCGCCGTTGCTGTTGTTCACTCCTGAAATTGGTGAGGCTTGCGGTGCCATCGACGCCAACCAAGTGCGTGGAAAGATTGTGATGGTGGCTCGTGGGACGTGCACGTTTGCGGAGAAGGCTCTCAGGTTGCAAAAGGCCGGTGCAGCGGGCGTCGTTGTCGTCAATTCCAAGGCTGCGTACAGCAGGAATCCCAACCGCAAATACTCACTGGCCGATGACAAGCGTGGTCTAGGCCGGTACGTAACAATCCCCGTCGTTTTGGTATCGCGTGAGGATGCTACTGAGTTGCACAGGCATGCGAGTCTCAAGCGGCTTCTGAGCGACGATGACGGAGATTCGGAAGGTGATCAAGGGGCCCAAGGCGATGGCATTGGTACTCTTGTTGGCTCTCTATCGCCGTGGCTCTACTGATCGAACGGGCACAGGGACGTAGTACGATAGAAAGTAACATGCAAAAATGTATATACTGAAGATGGAAGAATACGCCGCTACCGTTCTGCAGGCTATGACGTTGCGCGCTTCAAGTAAGTTGCGAGTAGCATTTCAGGAATGCTGAGAAAGCCAGTCGGAAACTATATTTCTTTTAAGAAATATAGTTTCTCTTGAAAAGGGATACTAAGAAATAAGAAGGAAGTAAGTTATAAGAAAAAAGAAGATTGTTTGGGTTCAAACTACAGTAAGCATACCCATACCAAGCCGAGGTCATTATTACTGAGCTTGCACTTTGTGTATTTGATTTGGAGCTCGATGCATCTGCTTTTGCTCTTTTTGAATTTGGCCTTGTTCTCGGTGAAGTTGATTTGCTGGCCATCGTGCTCACTCTGGTCGTTCTCAGCGATGGGATGGCCACCGACGCCAACAAAATCTCTGCGACATCAAGCGCGCTGCAGAAGGAGACACCAACGCGCGAGCTCGCTCGTATTGACCCAAGTGAAGAGGAAAGAGCCAAACGGGGTGGGGGTGAAGGAGGTCGTACGCGTGTAAGGACAACAGCGTATCTCTATCCGTCGGAGGTCGTGAAAAAGGTAATGGGCAAATTCATTTGGGGGTTGAGACGCGTCTTCGGAATCAAGAACAATTCTGTGCAGATCCCGTCTACTGTCAAAACGCAGTAGGCAGCCGAGTCCAATGGGAAATAATGCAGATTTAAAGAATCTAGAGAACTCCAACTCGTTTATAGCCATAGTTTTTCTCTCGATAAACCGAACGGTGATATTCGCTTTCATCCTCAACGCGAGCACTTGAGCATATCCCAACTCCCCACCCTCGAGCGTCCTTCATGCTTGCTTTCCACGCGAGCTTTAGCTGCCGCTGTCCTTCGCACAAGGCTCAATACTACAGTAGTAGTTATCAATTAGTAAAATGCAAGTGTATATACTGAGAATGGAAGACTACGCCGAGCCAATGGCTCGCATCCAAGAAGCTATGCAGACCTAGATGTCTTCGTCGAACACGGTAAGATCCACGCGGACTTGGTTGCCCTTGGCCATCTCTTCGTCGTCGTCATCTGCCATAAGGTTGACGATCTTGTCGACGATGAAGCTCGAGCGCTGCTTCTGCAGCGTCACATCGTGTGGTTCGTCGTCCACAATGATCATGAGGAGGTACTTGAGGAGAATGAGTCCGTGCTCGACGAAGGCAAAGAGCCACAGCCGCTCGTGCTCCGACAAATGTGACGTCGTGCGTCGGGACGTGAAGCATACAAGCGCCACATTGGTCACCATGGCGATCGACCCCATGAGGTCAATGATAGTGCCCCACGTGCCGATATCCTGCGCTCCACGAGGGTCTGGTCGTCGCGTGGCGTTCACCAGCTTGTGCGCGTCAATGCGGATCTCGAAGAAGTTGTTGAAGAGAGCGAACGCTGGAGCGAGAGGGAACGACACCACAAACAGCGTCACGTATCCGAACTGGATGATCATCTCGTTGTAGTCATCGAACGTCCCCTTCTGGTCGTACACGTCCAGAGCCATTTGGTTCTCGATCGCCGAGGGTGCACGAACGAGCCCGTTCTCCTTGGTCTTCTTGAACTTGAGCTTCTTCATGATCCAGGGAAGTCCAGCCTCGAAAAAGTTGCCAGAGGTCAAGCGCAAGATGAAAATAATGCCCAAGCTCATCATCAGCTCGTCCATGCAGCCATGGCCCTCCGGCTTGCAGGACTCATTGCCCTCCACCGAAGTCTTGATGAATGCCACGTAGAACAGACTTGCGTACGAGTTGACGAACTGGAACAGGAACGTCTTGCCGATCAGGTGATCCTCGTACTCGGTGTCAGTGCGGTGGTTCTCGAAGTGGTTGAGTTTCTCAGCCACCGTGCTGTAGACATTGTTCATTACCATAATCTGGATGGCGTTAACGGTCGACGCTGCAGCACCGCCGAGCTGCATGCCGTTCACAGTGAACATGTCCTTCCACTGGCCCGATGTAGCAGCGTAGCGGAAAACGAAAATGCCAGCCACGACGCCGACGACCAGTAGGATCAGCATCGAGATGAAAAACTAGACGAAAGAAGAGTCGGTCAGTACAGTACATCAGGATAGGGAGGAGTACTTGCAACTATGGATCTTACCAGTGAGCCCATGATGCGTCGGAACCGTGTCTGTGGACTAAAGTAGCGAATCTCCGAGCCATCGATAGGCGAGATAGTTGGCATTCCCTCGAACTCTGGACGCTCCACTTCTTCTTCCTCGAAGTTGGTCATCCCCCACTCAAGCGCCAAGGTCGAGTTGTAGCGCTTCCAGTACTCGTAATAGAAGCTGTGGGATCGCATGCAAAAGTTAGTTGCCTACACCCTTCACTAGACGCCGCGACAACAAAGCCAGCTTACATTGACCACAGAGACATGAAAAGCCCAAAGTAGGGCACCAGCATTGAGTCGGCTGTGTCTTCAACCAGCACGTTGGCGAACAGCAAGCAGCCGATGATGGCCGGTGCGATCAACCACGTCGTGTAGTGGCCTACAACCAGCAAAGTAAAATCGTTAGAAGACGAAGACACTTCCACAAGTGGCATAACGTCCAACCTACCTAACCACGCGAAGTACAGCCCGACTTTCTCGCCGAAGTAGTCCTTGATTTCTTTCAGCGGTTGGGCCCAGGGCGCAAACTTGAAGCTGAACCACTTCTCTCGGAGCTTGTTGAGGTCCGCGTTATCATGCAGCGGGAAAGCAGCAACAAGACACTTGTCCCTCAAAAGCTCGCTGATGTTCAGGCCGCAGCCGCCCTCACCGCGCGTCTTGATAATGTTAAGCAACAGCTTGATCCTGTATCAATCGAACTGATCAGTATATATGCAAAGAACACAAGCTTCCAGCATTAAACGCACCGATCGACGCCGCGGAATGGAATCTGCTTCTCTCCGTACTTCCTGTACGCCGGGTACAGGCGTGGCTCCACCTCGAACTTGGCGAAGATGTTCTGGTACGGGTCGCGGTGCGATACATGGTGCTCGTCCTTGATGATGATCTTCTTGATGTTCTGCTCTTCATAGCCCGCCTCGGCGATCTTGCGCAGCTCGCCGGCGTCGAACTCGACCTTGTAGTCAATGCGGTCCGCCTCCTTGGACAGTCGCTCCAGCGTCGCGCGCAGCTTGCAGAAGACGTGGCCGCGGTCCGCCGAGTAGAACATCTTGGTCTCAATACCGCCGCGCGCAAGGTGCTGCAGGATGGTGCGCATACTGAACTTCTTCTGCTCGTCCGTGAGCTCGGCGGACTCGTCGTGCACCTGGAAGACCAGCACGTAGTCGAACGAGTAGCCGTTCTCGCGCTCGAACTCCTCGTCCAGCTGGAGCCGCACGTCCTTGGCCTGCAGCGAGGCGTTGAGCGAGGATCCGCGGCGAGAGACCCCCATCTTGATGGCCCGGAGCTTGCCCGCGACGCCCTCGGACATTGGTGGCCGACTGATTGATACACTAACTTCTAGACGCTGTAACTTTGGCTACACGCGGCGGTGAGAGGCACCGAGCGCACGGTTCGAGAGCTCCGCGTCTCCGCGACAACTTGGCAAGTGCGTGGCAGCAACGGACAGCGGCGTCAGTGTCGCCGCCGCTGCGATGATGCGCAGGTAGTTGCGCCTCTTTGAGCTTGAGGCGGGCCGGTTTCGGAAATGCCGCAACGGCCCGATGGGTTAAAAAGTGTACCCACTGTCTTTCTTGATGGCCAAGCGATTTGACTTGGTCTCTGTATGGGCCAACGTGAAGATCGGTCAGCTGTAGACGAGAGGGCAAGTCCGACGTGGCCTGCACTCGCTCGGCCCGGGCGGCATTGCAGTGCAAAGCAACAAGAGACTTGGGGCTGATAGTGGCCTGCAATGTTGATGGACAAAGGTCTGGCGTTGCCATTCCGGTGCGTTGGCGCCAAGGAGATGCACGCTGGGCTCTATCTGACACTGCAGCGCTGCATTAGGCATCGACTCGGTCGTCCAAGACAATGCAAAGCTACCTACTGAGTAGGGTGATCCATGTCAATTTGTTGAGCACGAAGCTGCTGTGAGGAAGAGAGCAATGCAATGCTTGGATCCCCCTCCGACTTCAACAATCGATACATGGCTACTAAATTAATTAAAATAAAAATGAAAGGTGTTTGCGTGGTTTTAAGCCTCATTTTACGAGCGTCGTCCGGGGACAAGATGCTCTGGCGGCAGGCGACGCGCGTGGAGGAGCGCGCGGACGTGGCGGCCGAGTACGAGGCGTATCTGCAGGAGAAGGAGCGCAAGAGCAAGGGCCGCAGCAGCAGTGGCGGCGGCAACAGCAAGACCAGTCCGCAGCAGGCAGCGCCGGCGTTCGAGTCCATGGCCGCGCGACAGGAAGCGCGGCGACAGAACGTCCGCTCGCGGATCGGCCTGGACGTCCACAGCTCCAATTAACAGCCAGTCGCTCGCAGATCCGTCTCCAGGCGGTGGGGGGCTTGGCTTTACGGTGAAGACGCTGAGTAGATCGCTGAAGAAGAGCGAGCGTTGTGTCCACATGTGACGAGCGTGTCAAGTTGAGAGCCGTATGTAGCTAACCCCCGTCGTGAGTGCCTCGGCCTCAATTCAGATGTTCAATCCAGCTGCTGCTGCCGCCTTCGTTTGCTGCCGTCCTGCCATTTCGAGGTGGAGGTGTCTTCACGTGTCGTCGCTACTGTATCACAAGCAATGTTGTCCGCAGCGATGCAGCCGGCCGGCCTTACCGCTTTGATCGCCCCATCGTGACGAGCTCCCTCCCTCATCTGTCATCTCCAGCCCATCATCTCCCTCTCATTATGCCCAGCTATCTCTCCGTACAGGTAGGTACCTAACTATCCCCCACTCCGCCTCCGTCAACTTCAGTTCCCCTCCTGCCAGCAATCCCATCTCTCTCATCTATCATCCCCTCCCTCTCTTCAACTATAGCGCACGATAACGGACGCCGCGCATACAAACCGCCAGTCAGTCGCACTCTCTCATCATCATCGGCCGGCCCATGGTGTGGGAAGGCTCGTCGCCGCTGCTGCCGACGGCGCACCGCCGCACGCGCAACGCCAGCACCGGCAGCTTCCCGGAGACCCACGCGGAGACGGCGCCCGAGTCCCCGCGCACGCGCTTCAAGGAGCGCGAGCGGGCCGCGCGTCTCCGCGGCGGGCCCGCGTCGGCCCGGCAGCGCGCGCTGCGCCGCCTTCCGGCGCTGCTGGGGCTGCTGGCCGCGGGCTTCGCGCTGGGCTACTACGCGCAGCTGCTGCTGTTCTTCTGCCACGTGCGGCTGGGCTTCACGGCCGAGGTGCTGCCCACGAGCGAGGTGGGGCTCGTGGAGAAGCTCACGGCCTCGCTCATCGAGCACACGCAGCGCGTCGTGTTCGTGTGCAAGAAGACCAACTGGGACTTCGTGGGCTTCATCGCCAGCCCGCACACCATCCTGTTCGCGCACGACGACGTGGCCGTGCCCGCCGCGCTCGAGGACACGCTGCGCGTGGTGCGCCACGCGGGCGTGGACAGCTACATGAACCTGCACAACAAGACGGTGACCATCATGAGCCACGTGCACGCCGCGGACCCGCGCAACCACCTGCTCAAGCAGGACGACGAGGCCGTCATCTACTGGCCGCACTACTACCAGTGCCTCAAGAAGTGCACGGACCTGGACTCGTGCTACGCCGGGGACATGCACGTCAACATCGGGGACGCCACCAACACCAACTCGTACGTGTTCGCCACGGGCGGCTCGTACTTTGTGGGCAGCGCGCTGCTCAAGTGCATGCTGGAGAAGCCGATATTCGTGGAGCTGGACGGCCTCGACTACGGCGAGGACAAGACCGTGGGCAAGATGATCCACTACAACCGCTGCAAGGTGCAGTACGTGAGCTGCAAGTGGTTCAACAACGAGGAGGTCTACTCGCCCAACGCGCACATCAAGATGAGGAAGGGCGCGTCGGCCGAGATCCGGGAAGACACGGTGTTATTAGGCAGGGACGAGCAGCAGCAGCTGCTGCCCCCTCCCGAGAGGGAACTCGGCGGCGGCAGGATGCGCCGCCTCCAGGAGGACGAAGAGCAGGCAAAACAGGACGGCGTATGATGCACACATTCGCGCCAACTATGGGGTAAGCATCTTCGCACGCTGGAAATATAGCATTTTAGACTAGACGCACATGTGCTGTGAGGTGAGGGGGTACGCGCGTGGGGAATAGTGCAGGTTTCGCGGGCTGGAGGGGGGTATTCCGGTGGGAAAAGGTCATGTCGGCGACATCAAGGCGGCTACGGGAGGGTTGATTGCGAGAATTGGTGGTACTAAAAACATCTTCGGTGGTGACGGAGAAGGCTGAGGCTGAGGCAGGTAAGGCTTGAGGGCGTTATGGTGGTTGCCACAGAACTTTGGACGATTAAGATGAAGGAAGGTAAGAAGCGGTGCATCTGAAAGCCTGAAAATAATCCGAGGCAAAGGTGAACGTCAGTAGCATGACTATTGCTGTTTCTTACCGTGACATTCCTCCGTCGCTCTGTATGCCCATGCGATGCAGACAGCGAAGAGCTAAAAATGGGGGCCCTTCCAGGCGTTAGGTGACTGAGCGCTGACGCAGGCTATTTTGAATTGCGGGGGGCCTGCGCGCGCGGCCCTGGAGCTCACAGTGAAGAAACTGGCGCGGCGTCTCGCGTCGTACACGAGCTCTGGTCGAGCGAGTCGGTGACAATGGGCTGCGGGGCCTCGTTCATGCAGCGGCCGGATGGCGAGTCCAAGATTGTGCCGTCCCCTGGAAGCGGCGGCGCTGCGGCCAACAAGGCCGCCCGCTCTCCTCTGACCAAGGAGCAGATCAACTCCCGCATCGTTTGCTCACCCAAAACCATGAAGACCAAGGTCACGCCCAAGCTCAACACCCAGTACGCCTTCGTCTCGCAGCGAGGCTACTACCCCGATGGTGAGTCAGACTAACATACTATTCAGTGTTGTTTGACTATCGAGTCTAACCATTGCGTGTGTGTTTATTAGCCCTCGACAAGCCCAACCAGGACAGCTGCACTATTCTACCAGCGTTCATGGGCGACGCCTCGAAAATGTACTTCGGAGTTTTCGACGGTCACGGTACAACAGGAGATTTATGCGCGTCATTCGTTCGGAAGGAGTGTCCCGAGCGTCTGGTTCGCATCCTGGACCGCAAGAACTGCTCCTTCTTGGAGGCCTACTCCAAGTCGTTCGAGGAGACCAACGCGCGTCTGCACGCGTCGCGTATCGACGACAGTTTGAGCGGCACTACGGCCATCTGCATGTTCCTCGACGGCGAAACCATCCACGTCGCGAACGTCGGCGACTCTCGAGCTGTTATCGCCACCATGAGCGAGGGCAAACTCGTCGCACAACCGCTCTCCGTCGATCAAACCCCCTATCGTTCGGTATGTGCAAATCGGTTGTGTTTCACAGTGGAAAAGGCATTGAAGAACTGACGAATTATCTGCTGTTCAATGCAACAGGATGAACGCGAGCGTGTAAAACGATCCGGAGCTCGAGTGCTCACTATGGATCAGCTGGAGGGTATCGCTCCTGTCCACGATGTGAGTTGTGTGTTATTTTTCCTGTTATTGAGAAGAATACATCCTCACTGGTGTGCGCACTTACGTGTCGATAGAACTGGGCGGCGAATCTGAACGATCAGGTGGACGAAGACGGCGATCCGCCGCGGATTTGGTCCCCTTATGGCGCTTTCCCCGGTACAGCCTTCACGCGCAGTCTTGGTGACGAGATCGCAGAAACATTAGGAGTGATTGGAGTTCCGGAGATCACCTCGCTGCAGCTAACGGAAGACGACAAGTTCGTGGTGATTGCCAGCGATGGTGTGTTCGAGTTCCTGACCAGTCAAGCCGTCGTCGACATGGTGGCGCAGTACGAAGACCCGCTCGAAGCTTGCCACAAGGTGGTGGCGGAGTCTTACCGACTCTGGCTCACGTACGAGCTACGCACGGATGACATCACCGTCATCTGCGTGTACTTTAACTTCAGCGAGGGTGCCGTCACAGCGAATGGTGCTTCGATTGGAGGCTCGCCCAGGTCCAACTCGATGGCCAGGCGCTTGCCCCGCCAGACGAGCGAGAAAGACCTCACGCAGCAGCTTCGTCCCGTGCGTCGCGGTATGTCCAAGGAGAAGCGTCGTGCCCAGATGCGCAAGGATATGGCTCAGCTTGTCAAGGAGGAGGACTTGGCGTATCGCGTGAGCGACCACGCGATCCCAAAGACGTCGACCGAGCTCCGGCTGCTTGAAGCGCTCACGAAGAACAACTGGCTGTTCAGGCAACTCACGCAGGCCCAGAAGGACGACATCTTCGCCGTCATGGAGCGTATCACCGTTCGTGAAGGCGACATGGTCATTCGACAGGGAGACCCTGGCGACAAGTTCTACATCGTCGAGAGCGGCGACTATCAGGTGAGTGTGCGTGGTGCTGATGGAGGTCCCGAAAGCATCGTGCACACGTACACACAAGCCCCCATTATCCCCGGACAAGACACGGACTTGCAGCCTGCGTCGTTCGGCGAGCTTGCGCTGATGCACAACAGCCCGCGTTCATCGTCAGTGAAGGCACTATCGGCTGGTGTGCTGTGGGCCATCGACTGCCGCGCATTCCGGCGCGTATTTATTAAGGCTCCGACGTCGGTGCTGGTTCAGACACTGAAGAAGGTGGACGTGCTCAAGACGTTGACGAAGGCGCAGCTCGAGCGCCTAGCCAACAACCTCACAGAGGTTGTATACCACGATGGTGACTACATCATTAACCAGGGAGACGTAGGCGACACGTTCTACGTGATTCAAGAGGGAGCAGTGATCTGTACGATCTGGGAGGACGACCCAGTCGCTGGCCCCGGCAAGAAGCGGACGTCGCGCGAGGTGCTACGACTGAAGAAGAACCAGTACTTCGGCGAGCGCGCGCTCTTGAATGACGCGCCACGAGCCGCTAATGTCATCTCGGTGGGACGTACGAAGCTGCTACAAGTGGGTCGGCGCGAGTTTGAGGAAGTGTTAGGCTCGTTGCAGGACATGATCGAGGCTGATCGTCTCCAGCGTGAGGCACGGCACAACTTCGAGACTGCAGTGAAGAACCTCATCTATAGCCCTGCAGCGCACGGTTCAAGACGCAATTCGATGGCCATGGGGCCGTTGCGGCCTCAGGACATGCGCTTCCGACACGTGCTACAGCCCACGGACTTTGGTTTCTTGGCGCTGTACCAGGGCGTGAGTGATACGAAGCGGTTCTTCACGGTCAATGTCTTCTCCTTACAGCAAGTGGCAGCAGACCGGCGCGGCGACGAAGCAGCGCGCTACGTGACAACCCACAAGACGATTCGTCTGGACACGCCATTGGTGCCGGAGATGGTGGCGTCGTGGCGAGACGACCGCGCATTGTACCTATCGTATGACACCGTCATGGTCACAGACCTGTCCGCAATGCTGGCCGACGAGCCGAACGGGAGGTTCGCCAACGAATTGACAGTGCGCGGGTTTGCAGCGCAGGCGCTGCTCATGCTCGAGTACATTCATCAGGCCGGCTACGCGTACCGAAACCTCAGCAGTGAGAACGTCATGGTCGACACGCGCGGATACCTGCAGCTGCACGACTTCCGTCACATGAAGCGGCTGCCGGACGAGACGCGGACGTACACGATCTGCGGGACGCCCGAGTACATGGCTCCGGAGATGGTCTCGGCTCGTGGCCACACGAGCAGCGCCGATATCTGGTCACTGGGCATCCTTATCTATGAGATGCTGTGCGGCCGCACGCCGTTCGCGATCGGCAGCAACGACGAAGACCCGTCCGGGGCCAACACGACCGACAAGAGCTTCGGCTCGGAGGCCAACCCGACGTCGCGACTCACGAACGAGAAGGACGTGACCATGGCCGTGTACTCCAAGATCTCTCGACACAACAAGGGCGCGCTCAAGTTCACGCGGGACGACCTGTCGCCCGAAGCCTGTGACCTGGTCCAGCAACTGCTGGACCCGTTCCCGGACGACCGACTGGGTGGCCAGGGCCTCGTGGACATCGCAAAGGGCGGGTCCGTCATCCGCGCGCACCCCTGGTTCGACGGCGTCGACTGGATTGTGTTGGCCTCGAAAACCCAGGACCGGGAGCACGCCGAGGCGTTGACCAAGCTGATGGAGGAACAGCTCGCGTCTTCCACCACGGCCGAGATGCCCATGCTGGAACCGGTAGCGAGAGACAGCGGGGACCTCGACTGGCTCGAGAACTTCTGATGAACAATGCGTGAGTTTGCTAGGTAGATGAATGATGAATAGATGTCCTCGGGACAGTTGAAGGTGAAGGGTCGGTATCCAAATGCTATCGGCCTCTTGGGCACTTTCCATTATCGTGTTTGGCTGGTAGGATTCCATGGGCGCCAAGGAAGCGGAGCCGGCCCCCGAGGGCACTCGGCCCATGATGATCTCGATGCGCGAGATGGAGACGCTCGGGCTCAAGACCGGCAGCGGGCTGCGCGAGACCGTCGAGTTCAAGGTGTTCACGCGCCAGGAGGTGCTAGACCAGATCGCCCAGGTGGGCTTCATGTGTCCATTCCACGAGTTCCGCGCCGACGTCGCCAAGATGCCCGCGGGCGACGACATCCTCATCGTGGCCGACCCGAACGAAACGTACGGGGAAAACTGGCTGCTGTGTCTGACGCGTCGAGCATTCGAGTCGCAGATGGAGCTGATCAAGCGACGCGAGCAAGATCGGCTGGACGCCCTGGCGGCCCAGGAGAAGGAGGCCAGCGCTGCGGCCGACGCCAACGACATGTCCAAGATCGTGTACGAGGACAAACCCGTGCTTTCAAGGCCATGGACGTCAGCCACAGCGCGTGAGACGCATGACGATGTTGAAGCGTTGAGTATCAAACCGTCTCGACCACTGGTAAGCAATGACAGGCTTCAGATCGTTCATTTAAAGCGTGGTAATGATGCTATTGTGCTGCTTGCTGTAGATCACAATGTCGGTGACCAAGATGTCGGATGAACTCAATGCGGACAACAAGTTCAGTGACCGCGATGCGGATCAGTGTACGCTTTTGCTAAGATATAGTGCGTGTATCAATCTTCTGCTCACTTTGTTGTGAGTTTGTTGTAGGTTTCGTGGAGTGGAGGCAGCATAAAGATCCAAATTACGAGCTGACTAGGCTGGAGCAGGATGTGGGGTTGCAAGGCACGCCGGCGTTGGTGGACGGCACCACACAGACGAGTTGGTTCCGTTCCGTGAACAGCGCGCTGCAGTACGAGCCGATTGTGATGGAGCCGGCCCAGCGTCGAGCCGAAATGGACAGCGACAAGATCCAGGCGTTCCTGGATCGCGTGCTGCCTCGCGTGGAGCGCGCGCTGCAGCAAAACGAGACGCTGGACGTGTTCTTGGACCCGTTCGCCCATCTGCTGGAAGAAGAGGACGCGTCGCTGGGCAACAAGAACAATGAGAATGCGATGCGTGAGCTGCGCAGCTTTACCGACCTCGTGTACAGCAAGAACAAGACTTTGCCTGCGATCGACTGGCACCCACGGCGTCATGGCGTGGTCGCAGTTGCTGCTGCAGCTAACGCATCATTCGCTCGACGTCTCGACCTGCTGGACACCGTGGACAGCTCGTTCATCCTCATCTGGAACTTCGTCGACCTCATCCACCCTCAGATCATGCTCGAGTCTCCGCAGGACGTGCTCACCATGCGCTTTAACCCGGCAGCGCCACACCTCGTAGCTGCCGGGCTGTACAACGGGCAGGTGATCGTCTGGGACTTTTCAAAGGCGGAGCACCTGCTCTCTAAGATGAAGACAACGAAAACTTCCTCTGGATCTGGCGGGGCTGGCGGTGGAGCAGCGGGTGGCTCGAGTGCCTCCTCCTCTTCAAAGGGTGGGCGCGGAGACGATGATACTCACAAGCAAGTGCCCCCAGTAAAGCCCCTGTACGTGTCGTATATCGACGTGAGTCATCGACGGCCTGTAGCGGACCTGCAGTGGCTACCAGCAGGCGTCGAAGTCAATAGCCGAGGCCACGTCGTGGCATCTACCGGTGCGGACGCTGGGGCTGTCAACCAATTCGTCACGATCGCTGCAGACGGACAGGTTTCGTTCTGGGACCTGCGCTTCAAAGACCCGAAGTATCGAGGGATGACTCGTGCCAAGGTCGACAAGGCTGGTACTGCAGCAAGCTCAAGCAAGGACAGTGCCGCCGCGCCTGACGTGCACTTTGTTCCCATCTACTCCATCTCGTTGACCAAGCTTGACAGTCCTGGGGAACTAACCCTGCAGACGCTGTGGCTTGAGAAGCCCCGCGATGAATCTGGAGGTGGCGATGGAGGAGGTGGCGGCGTACCAGCCCTCACCAGCCATTTCTACTGCGGTACTGAGGAGGGTGAGTTTGTCTACGCTGACTGGCGTCCCCACGCACCAGCTAAAGGCACCGGTAATAAGGGCGACGAAGGCGGCAGGGGTGAAGAAGGCGTCGAGTACGTCCAGTGGCTGTGTCGAGACCATTCTCGCCCCATCTTGGGGCTGTGTGCGTCTCCGTTCTTCCCCAGTATCTTCTTGACAGCGAGCGAGTCGCATTTTCACCTCTGGAACGTCGCACAGCAGCACGAAGGTGGAGCTGCTGCCGACGCCAACAACCCTGCTGCAGCGTCCAATGGCCCTATCTTCGTGTCTCCGTTGACTCCATCAGTTATCACGTGCGTAGCGTTCTCACCGACGCGGCCGGGTGTGATCTTCTTAGGCAAGGCCGACGGGATGCTGGAGGTCTGGGACTTCCTGGATCAGTCTCATCGTTCGAGCTTGTCTATCGGAGTCACGGCCTGCGCACTGACGTCTATCGAATTCCGTTCGCCTGTCGTAACTACGAACGCCAGCGGTAATGCTGCGAATGCCTCGGCAGCTTCGGGGGCGGGCGGTGGGGCAGCAGCCGGTCGAGCGAAGCCAGCGGATGGGGCCGTTGGGGCCCGAGGCCGTAACAATCCTGGCCCTGGCGCGCCTGCAGGGGGCAATGCTTCCGGATCAGCCAACGTCAAGCAGCAGCTCGTGGCGGTTGGGGACCAGATCGGCAACCTGCACATCCTGGAGGTGCCTCGGACGCTTTCTCGCCCCACGAGTGGCGAACGCGCCGCGATGGAGGCGTACTTCAAGCGCGAGAGCGAGCGCATGAAAGCTGCTCGAGCTGCATCAAAATCGAGCGGCCCTGGCAACGATGGAGGCGCTCCGAGCTTGCGGCAGAACCGTGGCGAAGAGGGAGGCGCCCCAGGAACGGCGGCCGCGAACAACATCGCTGCGATGACTACCAAAGAGGTCGACGCTACGCGCGCTGGAGCTGCTGGACCCGACGACGAGGTTTTCAAGCAAATGGAGAGCGACTTCTGTCGCGACATGGGCATCGAGACTGCGCGCAGTGCGTGAGATAAGTCAGGGAGACGATAGCTTACCTTTGTCCAGGGCATTTTGTGTACACAAATCCAAGCATGTTCGGCTTCACGATACCTTTCTAGCGCGTCTAATTGGTATCCTCCACTGGTTCATGCAACGCATCCACGATGGCTTGCTCCACTGGGCTGTAGTCCCCGTCAGCTCTGTCCAAGTTCATCCTGTGATGCAGCCGCACGTTCGGGTTGCACATGATCCGCACCGACTCGACCCCCTTCTGGCCCAAGTTCTTGCTGCGTGCGTGCAGCAGGAACGGGTGCACCAGCATCACGTCGCCCGCCTTGCCGTTCACCTCGACCACCTCCCGACGCCGGAACTGCCTGGCCTGGTAGCTCACGGCGCCGCCCTTCATCCCACGCGGCTCGTTCTTCTCCAGCAGCCGCGCGACCCACTTGTGCGAGCCCACGGACAGCGCCGTGCCCCCCTCGCCCGGTCCGATGTCGGAGAAGAGAAAGATCAGCAGCAGCCCGGACTCTTGGCTGTCCACGTGGTGCTGGTACGACGCGCCGTCCACGTGCCACTTGCCCGCAGCCCCCCAGGGCGGCTCTGCCTGCTCCGGGAACGTGACCATCCACCACCCGAGCCCAAAGTCCTCCCACCGACCGTCGCCGCAGAGTTGATCCATCGCGCGCGTCAGCTTCGGGGTCACCACTTGGACCCACTCAGGGTCGTCCTCCGAAGTGTAGAGTTCTACCCGCAAGCCATAATGTTAGTTGTGTATTGCGTACAATAGCCACCAACGGGGGTAGATTCGTTGCACCGACCTGGGATGCCGTGCCGCTCGACCCACGTGCCCGAGTCTTTCGTGATCCCGTCCTGACCCAACCGTGACCAGATCAACTCTCGACACTTCTCGGCCGTGGCCTGCGGGAACGCGCCGGGCAGCAGCACGAATCCATCGCGGACGAACGAGGCAATGGCGTCCTGATCTAAGGGAGGTGCAGGCCGCTCGGGCTCGGTGGCGACGTGCTGCTTCTTGGTGCTGGTGGGCTCGGCGCCAGCGTCGCCGACGTCGAGCAGCTCACTTGGACGCTTCATACGAGTTGGAAATTTTGGTAAATTACCGGGTATCCTTATGTAAGGGTACCCGGTAATTTACCTCCTGTAAAATAAACAATTGCTACTTCAACTTCGTCGACTCTTCGAGATTCTCTAAAAGCAACTCAAAAAGCGACAGCCACCTCCAATAGAGAAGCAGACGAACATCATCGCTGAACGTGGTCCAATTTACACATGCATTTGCATTGTTGCTCTATGACCCGCTCGCTGGGAAAGTCGGGCGGGTTGCTACTGTCTGGCTGGTTGATTGTGCTCGATCTACGCTTCGACGTCGGCCACCTTGCGCTTCTTCTTGTTGCGGCCGTTGGTGGCGGGCGTGGCGGCGATCTCCTGCACGAAGCCCGTCCGCTCCTCGTCGATCGTTCGCTTTAAATACTTGAGGCCGGCAAGGTTGAAGCCAATGCGGCTCTTGTTGTCCACGAGCTGCGAGCGCAGGCGCTGCCACAGCAGCTCCAGCTCGTTGAACAGCCCCACGCGCGCGCAGATGGCCGAGTTGTGCAGCTTGAGCAGGAAGAGCAGCACGCGGCAGCAGAACTCCACCTCGAGGTGGCCGGAGATGAGCTGCAGCAGCAACCGGATCAGCCGCTCCACGTAGTCGAAGGGCAGCACGATCAGAGCCTCCTCCATGTCGTGCGGCCGGACGCGCCGCAGCGTGTGCAGCACGTATTTGAGCGGCGAGTAGCCAAGCAGCAGCATGTTGGGCGGACGCGTCGCCTTCTCCGGCTTCTTGGGTGCCTCCTCTTCCTCCTCCTCCACTTCGTTGCCCGGCTGAGCGTTGGCCCTGGCCTCCTCCGCAGCCTTCTTCTTTTCCTGCTTCCGCTTCTTAGCGGCGGCCGCGGCCTCCTTTGCCTTCTTCTTCTGCACACGCTCGAAGTCCGCGATGGCCTGCAGCTCGCTCTCCGCTAGGTCGATGGCCTCCATCAGACTCTCACCGGCACGCACCGACTCGATCGTGCGCTTGGAAGCCGACGCCGAGTTCTCGTTGTCTTCCTCGTCGTCGTCACCCTTCTCCTTGCCCAGTGCAGGCGCCTTGCCGTTGCTGTTGTTGGTCAGCTCGTCCTCGAAAAGCTGCTCCATCTCCTTCTCCTTCTCTTCCTCAATGAACACCTGGTCCTCTGTGCGAATGTACTTGCAGAGCGAACGGTCCTGAGAGCAACTCACCACGAAGCTGCCGTCACCGCTCACCGCGAGGCCCCACACCTCACCGAAGTGCTGGCGATCGATCTTTAGAATACGCTCGAAGTGGTCGCCATCCCAATAGCAGATCGACTTGTCCTTCGACGCGGTGAAGAAGTAGTGCGTCTTGCGCACGAACCGCACGCACATGATGCTGTCCTGGTGCGCAAAGATCGACTTGTGGCAGTCACCGAAGTCCAGACCCCACAGCTTCACGTTCTTGTCTGCAGACGCCGTCACCAGCATTGAGTCGTCCGACGAAATATCCATGGACATAACAGGCAGCTTGTGTCCGTACAGGCTCACGAAGAACTTGAGCGAGTCGTCGTGGAACACCTTGACCGTGCAGTCCAGCAGCGCCACCGCGACAACGAGCTTCTTGGCGTCCTTCGTGTTGCTGAAGCGCACGCACAGCACGTCGTCCGACATCTTCAGCATACGAGCGTGCGAAAGACCGAGACGCAGCGCGCTGTTGGGCTCCGCGTCGTCGGGGCGGTACATCTCAAAGTCCCAGAAGTTCACGTGCTGATCGGCACCACCCGTCACAATACCACGGCCGTCCGGGCGAACATCGATCGACCACACAGCGCTGCCGTTATGCGCCTCCTCGTCCTTCCAGATGCACTCACCCGAGTTCAGGTCGAAAAGCAGCAGTTGGCCCAGCTTGGTACCCACCACAACGTGCATGTTACCTGGTGCGAACACTGCTGACAGCGCAAGCGAAAGACCGTCGCTCAACGTACGAATGCACTGCAATGACCGCGAGTTCCAGACCTTCACGGACGCGCCCGACAGCGACAAGATGAGCTGGTCGTCCGAGCTGATGGCGACCTGGCGCACATCAGAGCGGTGGCCACTCAGCGTCAGCGCGTGCGACTTGTCATATCTGTCCTCGAGCGTCGCTGCGCTGGGCGACAGCGTGTACGTCTCAATGCTGTTGTTCTGCAGTCCGAGCATCAGCGAGGTGGTGCCATCCTTTGCAACATCCGGAGAGAACGCAAACGACTTCACACGGTGCGACGAGCGCACCACACACAGCAGCTCCAGCTCGTCCGTGGCCGAGTTGTCCGCGGCGTCCTCCTCGTCCACATCCTGCACCTTCGGGATGACCAGCTTCTTGCCCTTGCCGGCCTCCTCAGCCTGTTGCTGCTTCTTCTTGGCCTTCTCGCGCTGACGCTTCTCGCGACGTTGGCGTTTCTTCTTGATCTCGTCAGCGGAGCGCACGCGGTAGACCTCCACCGTCTTGCCAGCGCTCTGCACGCCCACGAGGTCTCCCTTGGGGCTGTAGGCCACGCGCGCGGCGCGGTCGTTGCTCTGTCTGTAGATGGATCCCACCAGCTTGACGGTCTCTCCTTCCTCGCCCTGCTGCTGCACGCTCCACACGCGGAGCTGGTTGTCCGAGGCGCCCGTGAGCATCCTGTCTCCCTTAGGGTTCACGGCCAGCGACCACACCTCGTTGCGGTGGCCCACGCACGTCTGCACGCAGTGCTGCGTCTCCAGGTCCCAGACCTTCACGAGCGTGTCCTTGGAGCTCGAGGCCAGCGTGGCGGGCGCCAGGAAGGCCAGCGCCGTGACCGCGTCCTTGTGGCCCTTGAGGCGGAAGAGACCCGTCTGGCTCACCAGGTCCCAGACGATCACGTCCGTGTCGCGCGAGCCCGAGGCCAGCTCCGCGCCGTCCGCGCGGTACGCCAGCGCCTCCACGGCGCCCTTGTGGCCGTCCAGCGTCACGACCAGCGCGCCCGTGGCCAGCTTGAACACGCGCACGGCGCCCGTCGAGTAGCCGCAGGCCACGTCGCTGCCGTCGGGGCTCAGCGCCAGCGCCGTGACCTGGCCGCCGCCGTTCTCGGGGCTCAGCAGGTCGCGCACCTTGTTGCCCTGGCGCACGTTCCAGACCGCCACGTCCTGCAGCGCCGGCGCGATGGCGAAGCGCCCGCTGGCGTCGTAGATGACATTGCCCTCCAGGGAGGCGATCACGCCGAAGGAGCACGCGCGCTCGTAGCGCAGGTACGACTTGACCATGCTGCTCGGGCAATTAGGATAATGAAATGCGCGTTGGTTGGTGAGGAGCTACGAACGCCGCCGATTGGCGGAAAATATTAGTACCATGGAAGTGGTACATCATGTGGCGTACATAAAGGCAAGTTGATGTGGTCAGGCCAACACAATCTCCACGATCGAGAGAGCAGCGTATGTGGCGAACGCTTATAACTGACAACTTTTTGTTTTCGCCTTGAATCTGTTTGTACCTTGAAATCTTTGCTTTGCTTTGCTTTGTTTTGCTTTGCGAAAGTGTGTGTTGACATGATTGTTGTACAAACTGCTCGTTGTAGCGAGCGCAGATATGAGACAACGGAAACAAAAATGTTACTTATCCACCATTTAGAGTTATCGAGATAATCGCCTTAAAAGAGGCCAGGTTCAAAATCGTAACTAAACGAAGTCGTGAGAAAACGAGGAGTTTTGATTTTCAAAAATTTGAAGGGGGTGTATCGGCACGGATACCATTTCGAATACCACTCGGACCACTACCTACAGCCATGCAGACACCACCCACGACGCCGACAGCACCGACCTCGCGCGCTGCAGCGCCAACTGCGCAGCCTGCGCAACCTCCAGCGCTGCCTCTCTCAGCCTCGCCACCAACCACCTCGGCGCCAAGACCGCCAGCCACGGCTCCGAGTCCGCCAGCCGCGACGTCGGGTCCGTCAGCCACGACATCGCCCTCCCAGGCGCTGACTCCGCCGGCCACAACGTCCCCCTCCATGGCGCTGACTCTGTCGGCCACGGCACCCCTTGCTGCTCGGCGTCGCGAAGCAGACGAAGAGCCTGATTCTGCCGACGATTCTGTCTGTGGTGTCGATCCCACTGCTACCAGTGAGAGTGAGGTGAACGAGGACAGCAGCTACGACGACTTTACGCCTGATTCGGAGGCGTCGCCCAGCGACGACGAGGAACCGCTCACAGCAGAGAGCGCGAGCAGTGAAGCCGAAGATGAAGAGGATATTAGTATCTTTTTGAATGACGCGAGTCCTCGAGCCCGTGTGACTGAGGTGATTCATGCGGACGCGTGTGAGAACGAGTGCGTCAAGGGCAAGGCTCGTGAGTTGGTGTTCTTGCTGTGCTCGCTGGACCAGATGACGAAGCAAGAGCGCACCACGAGCTTGTACACGCTCCTGGCTGTGTTGATGCAGACCCCCACGGTTGAGCGTAAGAGAGGACGGGGTGACCGTGAGAAGTTTCCGTACATCCTCCCCTACGTAGGTCATGTGTGCCGACCCACTTTCGCGCTCTGCTATGGCGTAGTCCCCATTACCTTACAGCGCTACAAGATGCGCATCCGAGACGGTAACATGTCGATCAAGGCGCATGATAACCGGCTCAACACGCATGCAGCTCGTAGAGGCTGTTAGTTCGGCGTCCAAGAGCTCAATCACGGTGCATCTGCCTCGCGGAAGCTCAGCGTTCAAGTCCTACAAACCTATTCTCACCGAATTGTACAAACGTCTTGACGGCATCCAGAAGTTCCAGATTTTCACGATGGACGCATCGCAGCCGGGCGTCGATGTCCGCAAGAAAGGCCCCGAGAGCGAACCTGTAGAGATTAGTTTGAGCCATCAAATTGACGGGATCTTCACCACGAAGAAGAAGGTGCAGCGTATGATGACGGACCATATCGAGACGCTGTCCCCTCCTGTCCGCAACACCGAGAAAATTGCGCAGATGTACCACAAGATCAGGCCCTACGTTCCTGCTGAATTTCAGAGCGATCCCCTCTACGCCAAGCCTAGCGAACAGGAAGGAGAAGACGCCAAGTCACGGAAACAAGCACGACGTGAGCATCGCGCGGCAATGGCCGTGGCAGCTAAGGCTAACCAAGACCAGCGTGGTATCACGGAGGCTGTTGCGACGAAAAAGAACCCAGCAAAGAAGAGGGCTACTGCAGCAAAGAAGACGCAAAAGAACAAGAAGCACAAAGCTACTGCGGATCTGCCTGCTGAGCAAGAATAGGCAGCCCAAGGTTGTAGTCGATCATTATGATACTTATGTCCACAGTTCATTCAAAATGTTACTTACATCCAGATATCAAATTTTCTAAAACAATTCAAAAATATACTCCTGGTGATTTGAAGTGACGGCACAAAAGTGAGATTCTAACACTGTTAGGCTTCGAATTAGCTAAAACGGACAACATTGTCGGATTCGCTGACTAATTTTACACCAGTTCATCAAAAAAAAATTCCCTTTCGGGGTTGAAGTCGGACATATATTTTTTGACGGTCTCGTTCTCGGTCATTTCTTCATACCAGAAGCTCGGGAGGGGCTCAAACGAAAGAGGAGACATCCCTCTTTCCAATTATGCGCCTAAATCGCGATTCGTACTTAGGTTGATAAGTAACATTTTGTTTGCCGTCGTCTCATATGAGTCACACCGTCAAGCGCCATCGGTACGAAGTGATTTTGCTGTTTGTCCAGGCACTTTAAACGCTGTGACGGGATACACAACGCCGAGGCGGTGTTGCGCTGGCACATGTGGATGAAGCCATCATGCCACGATTGTATGTCGAGATCAATGCCGGACTAAACCAAAACTTACACGGCAGGTGGTGGGTGTCCACCCGAGAGCCTGAACTTGCGTGAGTCAGCGTCAACCTAAAAGTCTGCAATCAAGGATCTTGCAGAGTACTAGTACACCGGTCATGTCAACAGTATGTGATCTAGGCTAGTGTTCTCCACTAACATGTTAGCTGATTCTACTGGACACTAACTAACAGTTAGTTGAAAACTACACATGTTAGCTACACTGTATAGTGGAGGAAATGGGTACATGAGGAGATTACTTAGTAATCTGCACGAAAGCGTATTTACTAGCTGGTCTGGGTGTCTATATTGCACCGCATACTTTGACATAGGTAGGAGGTACCTAAGTCGTCTTCACTCTAAAAATCGGTCATCGTCTGCGCTGATAAGTGGTGTGCCAGCCCCCCATGTGAAGAGTTTGTACCTTGGCAACAGCCGACGAAGCTCTGCATTAAGCGTGACGTCGTCCTCGAGTTCTTCAAAGTATTATAGATTGGATGGTAAATTCTTAGTTTTGAGGGTGTATTTGTGTTCAGTTTGATACATCGCCCTTCTCGGCTGCCTTCGGTGCAAACATATACTCTTCATACTTTTGCTCTAACGCTACTAACATGTTAGCTCAAAATATTACTGTAGACACTAACTAACAGTTAGCTAGCATGTATAGCAACTAACATGTCAGCGTTAGGGAGTACACTAGATCTAGCTGTACCTCTTTCCTTCGTGATTTGCAGGATCATTTCGATGTTCATGGTAAGTTACTGTAACACGTATGTGAACATCAAAAGAGTGGATTGATAAATGACGAAGTCCTACAAAATGGTTGCTACTTATGACGAGGTATCCATCGCAGCGGGTTCCGACGCCTGGGTAGATGCAGGCTCCGCCGCCTGGGCACTCGCGGGCTCCGTCTTGGCAGCCTGCTTGCCCTTGATCTGCACCACCTTGGAGGCCGTATCAGCCAGTTTCTTCATCGCCGAGTATTGAGACTGGGTCACATCGCGGGTGTTGCTGTCAAAGCAGCACACAGAGCCCACCACCTGATCGTTCTGGTCCTTGAGGGGGAATCCGACGTAGAACTTGATGTCCATCGCAGACACTGCAGGCAGGTTCTGGAACCGAATGTCAGCCTCAGGGTTGGGCACCAGCAGCGGCGTGTCGTTCATGACCGTGTGCTGGCAGAAGGACAGTTCACGCGGCATGTGAAGCTGCCGCAGTGGCTCAGCGTTTGATGCCAGCACGTGCTGCTCGTCCTCCTTAATGAGCGTCACACAACCCGTAGCGCACTTCATTTCGCGCGCCAGCAGCTCACAGATCAGGTCCAGCTCCTCCGTGTCCTCGATCTTGGAGAGCCCACCCTTCTCAATGGCGTTGATACGCTCCTGCTCGTCCTTGGGCATCGGCGGCTTGCTGAATGACTCCAGATTGGGTGCCATATTGAGCGGGTAGTTGCGGCCGTTTGCGTTCGCAACCACGCACTCCTCCAGCGGCACCGTCTCGACGCGCAGCATTCCCTTGTCCAGCGCGTCAGTGTACTTCTTCGCTTCGTCGTCCGTAAGCCGGATCGACGACGTGACAGAAGAGCACTCGGAGCGGGTTTCCGCGTCCTCCTTCTCCTGGTTCATCAGGTGCCGAATCACCGACATTACGGACTTGCGTTTGCTGCCCGTTGAGTTCTGGAGCGCATCGTGCAGGAAGTTGGTCAGGGCCTTTCCAGGAGGCTCCTGCGCCGGGAGGCCGGCCAACCCCGAGTCAGGGACGATCTCAAGGCGTCCGCGTTTGTTCTGGTCGACACGCGAGTAGTCTCCGTTGGTCACGAACTCGACGCAGCGAGTGCAGGCGCGAACCGAGGACACACGACCATCCGGGGTCTCCATCGAGTGGATGCTCCAGCACTGGTGGCAGATCATGTATCCGCAGATGTGGCAGCGCTTTTTGCGGGTGAGCAGGCGCAGCGACTTGGCGCAGCAAGTGCAGCGGGAGTTCTTGGCCTCAAATGCAGAGCAGTCTGCGAGTGGCTGCGTGCCAAAGCGGCGACGACGAACGACTTCAGGCAACTGGCTGGCACCAGCGGCAAGGCGCATCAGGCGTTTTTGCCGCTTCTTGGAGCGAACGACCAGGTTGTTGCGGCTTCCGTCGCCGCCAAGGCTGTGGCTCATGGTTAGCTCAGTCTGCGTCGGGTCGAACTGAGGCCCGTCCTCCAGAGACGCCTGGGCGAAAAAGACAACACGAACGGAGTTGCTGGACGGGATCTTCTCGATGAGGTAGGCGGCCGTCAAGTCAGGCAGCTCGTCAATGCGGTCGGCTTTCATCTTGCCGGCCAGCAGCTCCTTCTCAGGGATGGAGGTGAGCGTCACCGTGAAGGCGTCCGCGCTGCTCTTCTTCTCAAAGTACTCGAGGTAGCACCACTGCTCGTGGTTCTTGAACATGCGCGAGCGCTCGAAGGCGCTGGTCTTGACTGCCAACTTGGACTCAATGTCTGACTTGCAGGCCGAGACCGAGGACGCGTCCAATGACCCGTCGACCGCGTGCACCACGGCGCCGTGGATGTAGTCCTTGTACAGGCTGCGCATGACCATGTCGTGGTCGCTGTCAGTGGTCGTGCTGAGGATGAAGGCCAGCTCGTTAAGACTCGCCTTCATCTCGCCCGTCGTCATGACCTCCTGGGCCGCCTCGAGTCCGTCACCATGCGAGAACGCCGTGAAGCCGTTGGCCACGGCCTTCACCTTCCAGTTGCTCAGCGAGGCCTGGCGGTTCGTGAGTCGGCGGAAGTCCACCTTGTCGGTCGCGTCGCGGGCCAGCTGCAGCAGGTCTGAGTTGCCGAGACGAACGCGCGACTGGTTTGACACCGGGTCGTGTTGGTCTGACTCAGAGTCGACGATCGACACCTCCTTGGTGGTCCGACGGTCCCATGTGTCATGCCACGAGCGCTCCGAGGTGAGGCGCTTGAGGCCGCTCTTGAAACTAGTCACGTTCGATCGCGACTTGTCGGTGAATGCTCCGAGCATGGTGAATCGGGAAGTGGGCCCGTTGGTGGATCGATCGAAGAAATAGAGCCCGTTGCCAACGTGGTGAGAGTCCAGCTTTCGACGACGGAAGGTGAGACTCTGCCCGCTGGCAGCCGGGACAAGAAACCATTTGGGATCGGGAGTCGGGAGAGCTTGACAACGGCGACCGGGGTTCGGCCTCAAGGACGAGGTGACGTGTTGACGCTCGGCCCGCCTTTGACAGCGCCGGTGTGTGTAACCTGCGTGTAAAGCGCACCATTGAGGCACGCAGTGTATCTCCTGGGTTTCGGGCAAAAATTCCTGGACCGAGGCCTTCAGGCGAAGTCTCTGCACCGCAACGATAGGGTGCGGCACTAAGTTCACTGCAGACGCTGTCGTGCATTAGCCAGCGAGGGGCCATTGTCTAGGACGCGCAGCAGCTACCGACAGGGCTAGACAACATTGTCACCGATGTATACAACTATAGCATTAGTCGGCTAGAAATCTTATCCCTCTGGGGGCAGAGCGCTAAGTAAGCCGCGCTCGTCACACCCCATTCGCGGGCCGAGGTGATCTAGACGTTGAAAGAATAGTATCTAACTGCGGAAAACAATCGCATATGGGCTGCTGGTCAGAATGCACTTGAAGCTTACATCTTGTGGGGCGGACCATGCCGCATAAAAGCCGCCAGCGGCCACCAAGCTGCTGCTCGGGGAGATTGCCGGCACTTGCAAGCGTAAAAGAGCTCGTGGGCTGGCGGATGCTCAAGCTGAAGTGCGCGGATTTGACTCACGATGCGCTTGTCCAATTGACGGGGCACCGAGAGGGGGGCGCTTTCCTGCTCAAGGTTACACCTCAAACTGTCTTGCGATCCACTCGCCCTCTGTTCCGGAAGCAGCATTTATCGCTCGCTGGCTGTGGTTAGTGCACAAGCATTTCTAACATTTCCGTGGTCTAGATTCCGCGGTGATTGGCACCAGCACGAGCGTTCTTTCCTCAATGCACGCAGCCGAGCTGCGTGCATTTTTAAAAGTTTTGGATCCTTATGCACATTTTGGATCTCTGGATAATGACACGCGCAACAACAACACTACAGCGGCTTGGTGCCGCAACCATGGTCTTTCGTCCGGCTCCGCCCATCCAAACCGAAGTGCTCGCTTCGCCCAAAGTGCACATGCATCAAATATGGCAAGCAGGATTGGCTGCGGTTGCTTCTACGGGGCAGGCAAAACACCACCAAGCGTGTTGGACGCCAAAGCATGCATAAGAAGAGCAAACGAAGTCAGCAGCTCCCAGGATCGAGGTCGCTGTGGCTCGCGCGCGCTGCGGAAGTCAACGTCGCCGTGATGGAGCCCGTCCACACTGAAAGTCACACCGTCATTACTGCCTAAACGCGAACAACTCGGTGTGGAATGCACCGAGGCAATCGCCCCGGATCTGCTCCTGACTGGTGCGGCCCGCAAGAGTCTGAACGAAGCATTTTGCACGGGCAGTACTCAATGGACGCCCCCCTCAGCAGGGGCTGACAAGATGTTGCAGAGCCACCCAGGGCTAGAGGTTGATATAAGGGCAACTCGCAATACCTACGATTACAACTTGCTTGAACATAGAGTCAAGATCACCCCTAAACGACAATCGACTCATATTCCGTTTCTTGCAGTGAGCGTGCGGCTTAGGTAGCGCAATTACCCTGCGAGCCATAAGATAAGATTCGAGACACTACGAATATAATACACCTCAGGTAAGTCTCGACCCATACTCCGCAGATGTTTACATGGGCGAGGCCTTCCGAGACGTCAGCTTTTTCGTGGGCGCGATACTGTCACCGATAGCGTGCTTCGCGAGAAAATCAAGGCATCGCCATTTGTCTACCCATATCCCAGTATGCGTGGAACAAACCTTCTAGCACTTACATGTACGAAATCGTCGATAGAGATTGATGCCAGGGACAGCATTCCATAGGTCGTCTGTGATTGGTCACTGAAGTTGAAGTGGCTAAGATCTTACAGCTGTGCCTTCTCAAACAACCGAACCAACCTCTTCGGACCCTGTGGCTTCACGAGACGCTCGTTGGTCAACTTGCGCTCGGCCTCTTCCTCCTCTTTCGACGTCCAGAACACCTCCGTATCAACCACCCGAGCGACAACTCCACTCGGACGAGCGCTGACTCTGCTCGCTCGACCGCCGCTCGTCCTAGGCGGCCAGCACCTCGACAGCCAAATTGACGCCGTCCAGACCACGCGGGGGCTTCGCGTCTCGAGGAATCTCGCCTGGATTGCCGCGGATCGAGAACACCGGCGGACAGAAGCCGTCGTACTCCAGCGGCTTGTACGGCACGAACCCCTTGCTTTCGTCGCGGACCGGCTGCATCGCCAAGTAAGCTTCCAGCGACAGCTTCAGGTTGTGGTGCGAGTCGAACACGCGGGCCAGCTTCGTCGGGTCGACGTCGCACACCATGGCTGCCATCGGCAGGTTGGAGTAGAAGGACCCCACTGCGACGTCCAGCGCTCGGCTCGGGTCGAACGTGCGGGCCAGCGCCTGGGCCTTGTCTCGGATAGCTGGCAGCAGCAGTTGCTGGAAGCTCTCCACCAGCGACTCGGCAGTGCAGGTCTTCGGGTCGATCGATGCGATGCCCACACCGACCCGTTGACACAGACGCGCTGTGAAGAGCTGCGAAGGGTGTGACCCGCAGATAGCGACGGGTTTTCCAACCGCGAGCCCCTCGGCCAGGACGTCGGGCTCACCTCAATGGACTGTAGCCGCTACGCCCGAGAAGAGTTGCGCGTACGGGATCCCTGCGTCAACCAAGAATGTGGAGCTGGATTGATGCGGTGCGAGGGCTGCTGCCATGTCGGGCACTTGTATGATGACTCGTAGGTGCAGACGCTGAGCAGCTTGGTCGACCTTCCGCACCAAGTCCTCAACCTCACTAACAGCCAAGCTCCGCGCAGACACGCCGAAGTAAATCACCGGTGGGCCGGCCTTGGAGAAGGCGAACTCAGTCAGCGCTCGCGGTATGTCCGGGTGTCCGTGGTCGTCTTTCAAAGTTACATGACCGGCCACGGTGATCTCTTCGGTCCAGTCCAGAGGCTTCGGAAGCAATGCAGGATTGTACAGGTACACGTGGGGGACTTCCCACTGGGCCAGCGAGTCCGGACGATCCAAACGAGTCGAGAGTCCAATGAATGAGCGGAACTGGGTCATAATGGCCTGTATACTTCCGTGGTTCAGCGCTGCGTCGACAGCACCGTGCGAGAGCAGCTTGCTGTATCGAGGCGTCATCGCCGCTGCGGGCCAACGAACTCAGCACGTGAGGAAACTCGAACGTTGGCGATAGGGGGTCCAGGCTAGCGCACTGCAACGGAATACCAAGACGCTGTGCCACGTGCACGTGACCGAGCAGCATCGGATGCCACAGCAGCGCGTCGGCACGGAAGTGTTCACCAGGTTTGTTGGGGCCATTGCCGTGCGGGTCAGATCCGTATGCAGCAGGCCACAACGAGTAAATGAGTTCTCGAAAGGCCTGCAGTGTTTCCAGACTTGAACGACCGGGCTCAGCGTCGTCGTGGATGAGCTGAGCGTCGTGTATCAACTGCATAACATCCTGGATACTGTTGGGTGCGCCATCTAGCGGGTAGAACTCGAGTCCAAGCGCGAGGATCTTCGAGCGAAAGCCCCCGTTAGCAGCCAGTCGAACTCGGTGGCCGTGTTTTGAGAGTTCCAATCCGATCGCGGCGAACTGCTTGATGCCGTTGTCCCACGAACCCATGGCAGTCAAGCAGACGTTCATGGTAGGGATGGAACACTTGATGTTCACGCTCGTTCGAAGTGCCTGCACTGGCTTGCCGTGCTGGAATGCCGCGAGTGCGTGACACTGCGCGATGGTGTCTTTGTCGATGTAGTCGGCCTCTTCATTGGGGGTATCGATGGCTAAGTCGACTGATCCTGATGACTTCAAGAATACCGAGTGAAGAGCCATAGCACCTTCGCTAGATTCAGTCGCTCTCGCTATGAATACGTCGTTTGCAAGCTGGTCACTCGATCTATTCCACAGGCTCCCTGTATTCGCGCAGAGACTCTTGTATGTCGATCGATATTGTTTGCGGTCGATATCGTGCATTAACCTCTTGCACTCATGTTTGCAGGGGAGCAAAAGTATGCCCGCGCTATCGGAGCCGTTTGAAGAGCAGTAAGTATCGGCCAGGCCTCTCTGAGCCCCCAACGTCGCCATCATGTGCCGGCTGAGCAAGCTGGATCGCTTTCGCTGTCCTTCCAGGCGATGCGAGTTGATATGACCGGCGATCACGTGGTCTACAAGCAAGGCACACCCAAGAAGTGCTCGCGTGTAGAAGACGATGTACGCTTGCGCAAGCCCGGCCACACCTCCAACAACGCCCCCAGTGTAGCCAGATCTTTTAAAGCCTTTTACGGGTTGACGGAAGACGGCTGAAGATGCCCCAGCAATCTCGTGCCAGAAGACTCCTGTACCGGATGAGACCCAGCTAATGCCGAGTCCGGCCCACGCGCTGAGTAGTCCACGCAGTGATAACTCACCAGCTTCTTGCCGGCGTTCTCCGGCCGCTCGCCGACAATGAACGCGCACCGGTCACACAACTTCAAACGATCACGAACGCTCCAGCGCGTGGCGATCCGCTCGTGGTCCAGGTCGCAGAACATGTCCTGTGTCGGCAGGTGCCGGTAGAAGCTGCGGACTGCTTCACCCGCTCCGTCTTCACGGCGCATAGCGTTTCGAACCTGTAGCGCTTTAGCTCGCAGTGTCGGGTTCATGAGTCCCTCGAACGCTTCGCGCAGCTTCTCGGTTGTCAATTTCAAGATCGGACAGGGCTCGACACCCACACCAGCCTTGACGACCGCGTGGCCCCAGAACGGCTGATCACCGAAGAACGGCACGATGAGGTGGGCTTGCCGGCAAGCAGACCGGCAGCGGTGGTGCCGGCGCCGCCGTGGTGGACCACCGCACACACCCGCGGCATGATCCAGTCGTGCGGACAGTTGCCGATGAAGAAGACGTTGTCGGGGATGTCGAGGTCGCCGGCCATGTCGCTCCAACTGGACTGGATGAGCACCCGCACACGCGCCTGCTGTGCCGCCTGGACGATCATCTTGGTGGTGGCCATGGGGTCGGCCAGCACCATGGATCCGAAGCCGACGAAGATGGGTCCGCCGTCTCGGCTGAGGAATGCTTCGAGCTCTGGTGACGGCGTGTACGAGCTGCTGGGACCGCCACTCAGAGTCACGGTTCCGATGACGTCGTAGAGATCTCCCCAGTCGGCCGGCTTGGGCACGAGCTCCAGACTCCACATGAAGGCGTGCGGGATGCGGAGGTCCAGCAGCAGGTCGCGTCCGCCGTCGCCGTTGCGGATCTTGCGCAGCTTGAGCACCTTGGTGCGGAACTCGTTGATGAGCCCCTCCGTGCCCTGCCACATGAGCAGATCGACCATCTTGTACGACAGGTAGTTGGTCTTCTTGAGCTCGTCCGTGTACGGCATGTTGGCGAGCGGGTGCGGGGACGCTCTGGTAGGCACCCAGGGCTGCGGAAACATGATGTGCAGCGGCACGCCGAGGCGCTCGGCGACGTGGATGTGGCCGTAGGAGACGGGGGTTGGCGATGATAGCTTGGGCCTGGAAAGGTTTGCCGGGCACGCCCGGGCCGCCTCCGTTAGGGTCGGCAGCCGAGACGGCGGGCCACGTGGAGTGGACGATCTCGTTGATCATCTCCTTGTTGCGCGGCACGTCCTTGGTGAGCGTCTCGATCTTGGTGGGGATGAGGTGTCCTCCGGTCTTGACCATGTAGGCGGCCAGCTCCTTGGGGTCACCACCGAGGGGGTAGAACTCGACACCGTGGTCCATGACGAAGTCTCTGTAGACGGCGTGGGTGGCGAGGCGCACGCGGTGTCCGTCGCGCTGGAGCCTTTGGGCGATGGCGAGGAACGGCTGCACGTCGCCTCTGGTGCCTACGATGATGATGCAGATGCGCATGACGGGCGGTCTCTGGATGGCGGTGTTGGTGGCGGTGATGTTAGGAGTGGCCTCATGTGCTTGCGTTTGCCCTGTAATGTGTGCATTGGAGTCGCTGTCAGGTGGTTGGATGTCGATGGTGTCCTCTGGTGCGAACTCGAATTGGATGCGGCCGTCAGGCCCGCATATAACTATTGTTGATGGGCGTTGGGCTGTATCTAGCACGGCGCTATTGTTTCTTCGCATTGTGGGGGGCTTGATGTGCTTGCTAGCGTGGGAAAGGAGCTGTGATCGTGGAAACTAGAGGAATCCATTTCGCACCTGGGGCAGTCATATACGCTTGCGAGACGCTGCTGTCAAAATCAACTGTCGGTCTGATGTGAGTAATTTGTTTTTAGATTTACTGGTAGTAAAAGAAGAAAATGACATGAGTAATACTATAATACTTGTCCAATCAAATATGAGAGTTGCTGCTGCTCCAGACTGGTTTCGGTCTGTACCCCTTCACGGTGAAGTTCACGTTCACCTTGCTAGCCCTAAGTGCCGTATTGCATCCGACCAGGTGAAGTTCACCTAGCTAGCCCTAAGTGCCGTATTGCATCCGACCAGCGTATAGCGTATACTGCTGCCAATGGCTGGCCGATAAGAATAGTTTCGAAACGGAGCGCGAGGGGCGCAAGGAGCGCAGCGGAGCAAATGGGGCGGATTGCAGGAGACCGGGCTGCATCATCGGGCGGCGTCGGCAAGAATTGAATGTGGCGCTCCGGAGAAAGTTTGCGATAGCAGCGGAGAACGCTCCAGCTCTACCGCCCGCGACTTGTTGTGAGCGGCTGGGCATCTAATTGCGTCGGAGTGTGATCGTGACGTGGCCTCCGGAAGAGGGCTGTCAAGGTACGCCGACGTGGTCGCTTTACCGATTTGGGAGATTGAGGAAGTCCTGGCTAAACGTTTGTGTCTTGTGCCAGACGGCTGAAGTGTATAGCTACGACCCGACCCAAACACGAGCTTGGCGGCGAGTGCTCTAGGTGCTTTCCACGCAAAGGATAAGACTGCCGAGCTCTACCACGTCCAGCTCACGGAGATCGACCCCGACTTCGTTCGCTCGGACGCTTTGTTTGGCTCGGACGATGAGGCGGAGGTGTGGACGAAGAGGAGAACGCCATCGAGGACGATCTACACGACTCGGAGGTGAACTGCCCCAAAACGCACGCTGTTGTGGAGAGTAGAGCTGAGAGCGACAAGGACAATCGGCCGGCAGCAAAGGTTGCTGGAGGTTTTGCAGCACGCTGCGGACAGCATTGGTGGCCAGCGCTACGAGAGGAATTTGTAATGTCTCTGATTTGTTGAAGACCAAGAAATGCACGTACGAAGTACGAATACATCTTGCTTGTCTGCGTTATTGTTGCACGCGTCTGCAGGTCGTGGTTCATCTTCTTATCCGCGCCGAGGTCACTCGATGCATGGGGGATGTATCGCAGCATGATCCTGGCCGAGCACGACAAGTACAACGCTGTGGAGTTGGAGCCTGTGGGCTCGTGTTTCGTCGAACTGACTCCCAGCCACCTCCCAGCATGGTTTTCAAGCCAGTTCGTGGTCTTCTCTCCCAGCACTACTAACCGGAGTGTATACCCTAGCTAACCCCCCACCTCCTAACCTGCTGTACTAGTCTGGACGAGTCTGGAGGGTCTGGAGCTCAGTTCTGGAGTGTCTGGAGAGTTTGGAGCTCAGTCTGGAGGAGTTCTGGAGCTCCAGTCTCGTCGCATGTTCCCCAGTCTGGAGCAGCAACACGTGCCATCATAATACTTTTCCATTAGTAGCGACTCTATTGCTTGCTTCAAATATAAAAATAATACTCGTGGATTTGGCCCTCCATAGACACGGTTTGCTCGCGGGACAGAGTATCTCGTGCGCTTTGTTGAGTAAGCTGAGGGTCATCTATTTACTAGCGATATCACTGGCAAAACGTAATGCCGGGCTCACTGTCTGAGGTAGTGGTGAGCGGGTCTTGGTTGCCCAGCATGCCAACTAACTGACTGGCTGCATCAGACCCCACATCTTTTGCTGTAGCTAAGGACAGTGAGCAATAGTCAATACTCACTACTCAATGGGTTATGTTCTCCGTTACAACTGCTCCTTTCTCAGGTTACATGGTTGACTTAGTGTCGTTATAAACGTTGTTAATTGTTGCGAATAAACTGTTATTTAAAGTATTAGCATAAATTTTAGTACATGTTCTATCAATATCTGAATAACATTATTGCTTATTCATATATTAATAATACATGTACTGAATTTTTGCTACCCGAACACCACACTTTATCCTCTGCATGACGCCATCGGGCATCAGCGTAGCGCAACTATCGACTGACCGTGACTGAGCGTGTAAATGGTGAGAGTATCTCGGTATCAGTGCTTACGTGGCGCGCGTTATGACTGTGACAGATTGGTGTGTATAAGCACGCCGTTGCTCAGTTTTTGTGATGAAAATCCATTCTCAAAAGGCATGTGCGCGGTAAACTTTGATCGTGCGTTGATTGTGCTACGCGTTTTGATTAGCACTCGTCCTCGATTCGTGCCCGCCGATCATTTTCCAATTCTCACCTTGGCACAGCAGCACAATGCAGCGGAGCAGCTTCAAGAGTGCTGCCTCTAGCAATCACATAGCTCTCGACACAAACGGCGAGATCAGCGCCCACCACCAGCCCTTCGCAGTCGCAGCATGCGGGCCTGACGGCCGCATCCAATTCGAGTTCGCACCAGAGGACACCATCGACATCCAACCACCTGACAGCGACTCCAATGCACACATTACAGGGCAAACGCAAGCACATGAGGCCACTCCTAACATCACCGCCACCAACACCGCCATCCAGAGACCGCCCGTCATGCGCATCTGCATCATCATCGTAGGCACCAGAGGCGACGTGCAGCCGTTCCTCGCCATCGCCCAAAGGCTCCAGCGCGACGGACACCGCGTGCGCCTCGCCACCCACGCCGTCTACAGAGACTTCGTCATGGACCACGGTGTCGAGTTCTACCCCCTCGGTGGTGACCCCAAGGAGCTGGCCGCCTACATGGTCAAGACCGGAGGACACCTCATCCCCACCAAGATCGAGACGCTCACCAAGGACGTGCCGCGCAACAAGGAGATGATCAACGAGATCGTCCACTCCACGTGGCCCGCCGTCTCGGCTGCCGACCCTAACGGAGGCGGCCCGGGCGTGCCCGGCAAACCTTTCCAGGCCCAAGCTATCATCGCCAACCCCCGTCTCCTACGGCCACATCCACGTCGCCGAGCGCCTCGGCGTGCCGCTGCACATCATGTTTCCGCAGCCCTGGGTGCCTACCAGAGCGTCCCCGCACCCGCTCGCCAACATGCCGTACACGGACGAGCTCAAGAAGACCAACTACCTGTCGTACAAGATGGTCGATCTGCTCATGTGGCAGGGCACGGAGGGGCTCATCAACGAGTTCCGCACCAAGGTGCTCAAGCTGCGCAAGATCCGCAACGGCGACGGCGGACGCGACCTGCTGCTGGACCTCCGCATCCCGCACGCCTTCATGTGGAGTCTGGAGCTCGTGCCCAAGCCGGCCGACTGGGGAGATCTCTACGACGTCATCGGAACCGTGACTCTGAGTGGCGGTCCCAGCAGCTCGTACACGCCGTCACCAGAGCTCGAAGCATTCCTCAGCCGAGACGGCGGACCCATCTTCGTCGGCTTCGGATCCATGGTGCTGGCCGACCCCATGGCCACCACCAAGATGATCGTCCAGGCGGCACAGCAGGCGCGTGTGCGGGTGCTCATCCAGTCCAGTTGGAGCGACATGGCCGGCGACCTCGACATCCCCGACAACGTCTTCTTCATCGGCAACTGTCCGCACGACTGGATCATGCCGCGGGTGTGTGCGGTGGTCCACCACGGCGGCGCCGGCACCACCGCTGCCGGTCTGCTTGCCGGCAAGCCCACCTCATCGTGCCGTTCTTCGGTGATCAGCCGTTCTGGGGCCACGCGGTCGTCAAGGCTGGTGTGGGTGTCGAGCCCTGTCCGATCTTGAAATTGACAACCGAGAAGCTGCGCGAAGCGTTCGAGGGACTCATGAACCCGACACTGCGAGCTAAAGCGCTACAGGTTCGAAACGCTATGCGCCGTGAAGACGGAGCGGGTGAAGCAGTCCGCAGCTTCTACCGGCACCTGCCGACACAGGACATGTTCTGCGACCTGGACCACGAGCGGATCGCCACGCGCTGGAGCGTTCGTGATCGTTTGAAGTTGTGTGACCGGTGCGCGTTCATTGTCGGCGAGCGGCCGGAGAACGCCGGCAAGAAGCTGGTGAGTTATCACTGCGTGGACTACTCAGCGCGTGGGCCGGACTCGGCATTAGCTGGGTCTCATCCGGTACAGGAGTCTTCTGGCACGAGATTGCTGGGGCATCTTCAGCCGTCTTCCGTCAACCCGTAAAAGGCTTTAAAAGATCTGGCTACACTGGGGGCGTTGTTGGAGGTGTGGCCGGGCTTGCGCAAGCGTACATCGTCTTCTACACGCGAGCACTTCTTGGGTGTGCCTTGCTTGTAGACCACGTGATCGCCGGTCATATCAACTCGCATCGCCTGGAAGGACAGCGAAAGCGATCCAGCTTGCTCAGCCGGCACATGATGGCGACGTTGGGGGCTCAGAGAGGCCTGGCCGATACTTACTGCTCTTCAAACGGCTCCGATAGCGCGGGCATACTTTTGCTCCCCTGCAAACATGAGTGCAAGAGGTTAATGCACGATATCGACCGCAAACAATGTCGATCGATATACAAGAGTCTCTGCGCGAATACAGGGAGCCTGTGGAATAGATCGAGTGACCAGCTTGCAAACGACGTATTCATAGCGAGAGCGACTGAATCTAGCGAAGGTGCTATGGCTCTTCACTCGGTATTCTTGAAGTCATCAGGATCAGTCGACTTAGCCATCGATACCCCCAACGAAGAGGCCGACTACATCGACAAAGACACCATCGCGCAGTGTCACGCACTCGCGGCATCCAGCACGGCAAGCCAGTGCAGGCACTTCGAACGAGCGTGAACATCAAGTGTTCCATCCCTACCATGAACGTCTGCTTGACTGCCATGGGTTCGTGGGACAACGGCATCAAGCAGTTCGCCGCGATCGGATTGGAACTCTCAAAACACGGCCACCGAGTTCGACTGGCTGCTAACGGGGGCTTTCGCTCGAAGATCCTCGCGCTTGGACTCGAGTTCTACCCGCTAGATGGCGCACCCAACAGTATCCAGGATGTTATGCAGTTGATACACGACGCTCAGCTCATCCACGACGACGCTGAGCCCGGTCGTTCAAGTCTGGAAACACTGCAGGCCTTTCGAGAACTCATTTACTCGTTGTGGCCTGCTGCATACGGATCTGACCCGCACGGCAATGGCCCCAACAAACCTGGTGAACACTTCCGTGCCGACGCGCTGCTGTGGCATCCGATGCTGCTCGGTCACGTGCACGTGGCACAGCGTCTTGGTATTCCGTTGCAGTGCGCTAGCCTGGACCCCCTATCGCCAACGTTCGAGTTTCCTCACGTGCTGAGTTCGTTGGCCCGCAGCGGCGATGACGCCTCGATACAGCAAGCTGCTCTCGCACGGTGCTGTCGACGCAGCGCTGAACCACGGAAGTATACAGGCCATTATGACCCAGTTCCGCTCATTCATTGGACTCTCGACTCGTTTGGATCGTCCGGACTCGCTGGCCCAGTGGGAAGTCCCCCACGTGTACCTGTACAATCCTGCATTGCTTCCGAAGCCTCTGGACTGGACCGAAGAGATCACCGTGGCCGGTCATGTAACTTTGAAAGACGACCACGGACACCCGGACATACCGCGAGCGCTGACTGAGTTCGCCTTCTCCAAGGCCGGCCCACCGGTGATTTACTTCGGCGTGTCTGCGCGGAGCTTGGCTGTTAGTGAGGTTGAGGACTTGGTGCGGAAGGTCGACCAAGCTGCTCAGCGTCTGCACCTACGAGTCATCATACAAGTGCCCGACATGGCAGCAGCCCTCGCACCGCATCAATCCAGCTCCACATTCTTGGTTGACGCAGGGATCCCGTACGCGCAACTCTTCTCGGGCGTAGCGGCTACAGTCCATTGAGGTGAGCCCGACGTCCTGGCCGAGGGGCTCGCGGTTGGAAAACCCGTCGCTATCTGCGGGTCACACCCTTCGCAGCTCTTCACAGCGCGTCTGTGTCAACGGGTCGGTGTGGGCATCGCATCGATCGACCCGAAGACCTGCACTGCCGAGTCGCTGGTGGAGAGCTTCCAGCAACTGCTGCTGCCAGCTATCCGAGACAAGGCCCAGGCGCTGGCCCGCACGTTCGACCCGAGCCGAGCGCTGGACGTCGCAGTGGGGTCCTTCTACTCCAACCTGCCGATGGCAGCCATGGTGTGCGACGTCGACCCGACGAAGCTGGCCCGCGTGTTCGACTCGCACCACAACCTGAAGCTGTCGCTGGAAGCTTACTTGGCGATGCAGCCGGTCCGCGACGAAAGCAAGGGGTTCGTGCCGTACAAGCCGCTGGAGTACGACGGCTTCTGTCCGCCGGTGTTCTCGATCCGCGGCAATCCAGGCGAGATTCCTCGAGACGCGAAGCCCCCGCGTGGTCTGGACGGCGTCAATTTGGCTGTCGAGGTGCTGGCCGCCTAGGACGAGCGGCGGTCGAGCGAGCAGAGTCAGCGCTCGTCCGAGTCCTCGTCGGGTGGAGTTGTCGCTCGGGTGGTTGATACGGAGGTGTTCTGGACGTCGAAAGAGGAGGAAGAGGCCGAGCGCAAGTCGACCAACGCCGCGTACGAGCGTCTCGTGAAGCCACGAGGCCTGCGGAAGCGTGATAAGTTAGCGCACATGTTCGGTGGGAAGCCGAAGCATGGCGAGCACTTGACAGCAAGATAGAAAAGTATCTAAGCGATAAGCATTTGAGTCTTACGCCTGGAAATCTTGGAGTGCCCCTTACCTGTTTACTCGCGATCGGTGGTCAACTCATCGAGAGCAACCTTGAACGTGGTTGCAGGTGGCCTGTCACAAGACTCTCGACACGATTTGAAGACATCTTGATCGGCGCGAAAGTGCGTTGAGCGCGAATGTTTCAAGCGGCCAAACCAGTAATGAAAAGCGCGCTGGTGCAGTCGAATCAACTCCACACCACAAGAAGCGGAGCCAAGCTATAGGCGCTCCTTATCGACTGCTGGATGCAGCGCGGACGGACCGCTAGTATCGACGCCTCACAATCGGGATCGTCTAATAACCACGCGTGCCACCGGGAAGGTCTCAGCTAAGGGAACTTCAACCTGGCTACGGGTGTCAGCGTCGACAGCCCCTCGTTGCAAGCAAGGGCTCCGTGTGCGGTGGCCACGAAGGTCGGTATCGTGTGCCATTCTGCAATTCACCCGGAGAGAGACAGCAACTCCAGACTACCGCGACCGTCGCAATGCATCCTCGCCTGGTGTCCGCTTTGGCGGCTGCTGCACTCGTAAGCGCAGCCAGGCCGCGGATCGGTGCGACGGCCACCAGCTACGCGTTAGGCCCCTTCTCGGTGACAGTCGACACGGACGCGTCTCTCCTCAACATCGTCAACAGCGCTGGAGATCAAGTCTGGAAGTGTGCGTGAAACCCGAAGGATGGATGAATCCATGACGCCGGTTGCTGACCTTATAGATGCTTGTCTTGCAGCTGCATCAGACCGAGCCTTCATCTCGGCGTCCACGGGCCTGACGACCATCACATAGGCGTCGGGCAACTTCCAGTTGAGCAGTGAAGACGTGGGGACGCCCTGCCAGACCGCCACTATCTCCAGTGCTTCGTCGAGCTCCGACCGCGTGGACGTCACTGGTTCCTTCGCCGATGCTTCGTGCTCCGATTGGACGTGGACGCTTTCGTTCGCTCTGGATGCGTCCTACACCGACAGCAGCGACGATTCTCAGCCCTTGGTGTTCAACGCCAGCGTGGCTGGTGAACAACGTTGACAACATCTACTTGGCCTACGAGTCTCCACAAGACGAAGCGTTCTTCGGACTGGGAGAGCAGACTGGTATCGGCAACCTTCGTGCCCGTCTGGACTCGAGAGGGAGGCGTCCGTCGGTCGTGGCGAAGATCCCGTCACCACCTACCTCAATGCGAATGCATCGATCTCGGGCGCCCTCGCTGGTGGCTCGTTGCTGACGACGTACACGGGCGTGGGCTCTCTTACGACGTCGCTTGGTCGCTAGTTCGTTCTTGACGGGATCAAGTACGCGCTCATTGATCTCGCCAGTAACGCCACGTCGGCGTTCGAGGATACGGCGGTCGGATATCTCGCTGGGAACATCACGGAAGGAGACTACGTGACTGGGTCGACAACCACGCTGGAGATCATGTACGAGGGCTCAAGTGTGAGTGGCTGGATCGGCCGTGCCGCCACGGGCAACCCCCTACTGGAAGCGACGAACGCACTGACGAAGGTCACCGGCCGACAGCCAAAGCTGCCGGATTGGTCTCATGACGGCGCAATCCTGGGCATCCAAGGTGGCCAGGACTTTGTGGAGGAGGTCGTTCAGAACGCGCTTGCTGCAAATATGCCGCTTGAGCGTGTGGCTGCAGGATTGGTCGGGGACGCGATTGCAGACCGGTGCGTACGACATCTCGCTGCACCGGCTGTGGTGGAACTGGGAGCCCGACTCGACGCTGTATCCGACGTGGGCGGAGTGGGTGCCCCACCTGCAGTCCAGGTACGGTGTGCGCACCATGAGCTACATCAACACTTTCCTCGCTAACGTGAGCACCAAGAGCACGGGTTACAACACAAGTTTCTACGCCATCGCGGCCAGTGAAGGCCGCTTCGTGGCCAACGCCACAGCGGGGGACGGCAGCGCTTGGACGATTACAAGTGGCCCTGGAATCGACGCTGGGCTGCTGGATCTGTCCAACCAGTCGACCATTGACTGGTTTAAGGCGCTGGTGAAGCACCAGTACTTCTCGGTGCCGATCTCCGGTATGATGCAGGACTTTGGCGAGTACTTGTCGGTGGACTCCTCGGTCAGCCTCTCCGGCGGCACCGTGAGCCCGCGTGTCTTCCACAATGACTACCCGACCGTCTGGGCGACACTTCTCCGCGACGTTGTGACTGAACTGGGAGTGGAGAATGACACCATCGGCTTCCACCGCAGCGCGGGCACCTTTTCGGCGAAGCACACCAACCTCTTCTGGGTAGGCGACCAAAACATCGATGTATCTCGCGAGGACGGCATGCGCGCGGTCATCAGCAGCGCTATCCACGTGGGTGCCTCGGGTTTCGCGCAAACCCACTCGGATATCAGCGGGTACACGAACACGCTGGCCACCGTTGGCAATATCACTCGCAACGCTGCGCTTCTTGGCCGCTGGGGCGAGCTCGGTGCCTTCAGCGGTACGGCCTTCCGCACCCATGAAGGCAACATCCCGCAGATGAACGTGCAGGCCTACACGAACGAGACAACTCGCGCGTACCACGCGTACAACGCGCGCCTGTTCCGCAGTCTCAAGCCGTATCACCTGGCCCTGCTGGAGGAGTATCAGGAGAATGGCTGGCCCATGGTTCGTCACCCGATCGTCTACTCCCCGAACGACTCGGTCGCGCGCTCCGTGATTGATGAGACCTTCTGGCTGGGCGAGGCTTTGTACGTGGCCCCCGTGTACGACTTGTCTGCCTCCACTGTTGAAGTGTACCTTCCTCCCATTCAAGTCGACAGCAAGGGCTCCGCGGTCAACTCGTCGGCCTTCACGTTCAGAGACCTGTGGACCGGGAACGAGTACGCTCCGGGCCAGACCGTCACGGTGGACGCCCCCTGGGGCAAGCCCGGCGTGTTCATGCGCTGGCGCGTGACGGAGCAAGAAGGGCTGCAGCTGCAGCAGCTCTGGGAGTTCGTTGTCGCCGGGCTCTCGAAGCCTGAGACCCCGTTGTCGGGAAAAGGGTCCATTTAACGCTTAACGGTTAACAGCGTTGTGATTGGCTAAGGATGGCGTTAAACAGCTCACCAGTCGACCATGTTCAACCTGGTTGACAACCAACCACACGTGGGTCTCCTCGCTGTCTTGCCTGCGCTCGCAGACTTTCCCTCCCCATCCCGGCGGTCTCTCTTGACGTCCCACCGCCGCGTGCAAGTGCTAGCGCGAACTGAGATGGAGAATGCGTGGTATCCACTGGCACCGGCTGGCCGAGCTTATCGTTCGCGTTACTAAGGAAGCCGCTCCACGCGCGCAAACCGCAACTGGCCGTCTCGGGCGGAGAAGAACTGAACCCCTTGCATATTGGTCTCCGATAATGAACTCCGGGGAGCGTCGCTACGTGCGCGCGAGCGACCGACGCCTGGCCGAAGTGGCCACGCAGGCCGCGGCGCGCATTGACCTGGAGACGCTGCGGCATCGGCGCTCAGAGGCGTCCGGCGTGACGACGGAGCGGTCGCTTGACGGGACGGTGGTCACAGCCACGTGCGTGATCGAGTGCTCGGCCAAGGAGATGCACGCGATGCTGGCCCCGCCCACGAGCGAGCGCTACGCGTGCATCATGCGGGAGTTGGTCGGGCCGGACTTCATCTACGGCGCCATCGTCCACCACGCGGAGGAGATCTCGGACCAGAACGTGACGGTCAAGACGGCCACGTTCGTCAAGCGCCACATGCTCGCGCGTAACGAGCAGTGGTGCTTCGTCACCGCCGTCAAGGCGCTGGAGCCCAGCGAGGGCAGCCACGGCGTCGGGTTCACGGTCGCGCTCGCCTCGCTGCACCCGGACGACGTGTTCATCGGCAAGGCCCAAGCGGCCAGCGTGATCCACCTCCAAGGGCTCTCGGCCATTTACCTCGTGACCCCCGAGGAGCCCAGGAAACTACAAGACGGACGGACGAAGCGCGCTGTCCGCGTCACCTTCTGCGCGCACGTGGCGACAGGCCCCGGCTCAAGCAGGCCGTCTCCTCTTCCGCTCCGATGGCTCTTTTCAACGGTAAGGAACCGTGAAGAGGCCGACGACGCGTCCAACGGAGCAGTGCTGGCCCGCGTGGTGCAGCTGGCCCGCGCGCTGAAGCAGTTCCAGGTCGCAGTGCGTCGGCGTCGACTGGATGCGCAGGTGCTGGCTGATCTCCGGAAGGTGCAGCCGACTAACACTCGCTGCGTGTGCTGCACGCGTCGTGTGGGTGTTGCCAGGAGTATGTTTGGCACTTCGAAGCGAGGCAGTACGGAAGACGCGACAATGGCCCGGGGCTCCAAGCGCTGCCAACTGTGCGGCTTCCTCGTGTGCGCTCGCTGCGTCTGCACGATCGGCAAGAACTCGTTCGCGGGCGAGTCGTCCGAGGCCTCAAACAAAAGCATCAAGTACAGCCAAGCCGTGCACTTGTGCGAGCACTGCATGCAGCGCGTGGACGACGCCGACTACGACAACTTCTGCGCGTCCAACGACGGGATGTCTCCTTCCAGCGGGCCTGTCCACCCGGACACGCCAGATACAGAGCCTGCCAGCGCGGTGATCGCTCGGGCGCTTAGCCAAGTGCTTGGCGATGCATCCAAGGAAGAGAAGCCCGTAGTCATCCGCGTCATTAAGCACCTCCTCAGCCCCACGCAGGAGGATAAAAGCAAGTTCCGGGCTAACTCAGCTGATCTGGCCAAGAGTCTGGGTCGTCTCGCCGAAGAGCAAGGGTTCGCGGAGGAAATTCCAAAGCCAGCGACGAAGACGGCCCCCGAAGTCACTCCAGTCCCTGAGGTTACCCCGGAGACCCCTTCGAGTCCAGTAGACGGCGAGACTCCTCCACTGGCAGGTGCATCCGGGCGTGAGTACGCTCTGAAGTATGCCGACTTGAGTGACGATGATACTGATAGCGCCGAAGACGCTGAAAACAACGAAGCTGCTGAAGAGGTTGTTGACGTTGCGCACCATCCTGTTCCAGCGGACGAGGCCTACCGATTGCAGTGGATTGACACTCATCCGAAGATCGTCACGCACATGATGAACCTGCCAGACCTCGAGCTGTTGTGCAACATCGCGCGTGGCGAGCTGCAGTGCGATGCTACGCTGGTAACCATCATTGGACCCCATTGCTCTTACGTCGTGGCGTCCACTGACCCTGCTTGGCGAGGCTGTGAAATCCCCCGCGACCACTCCATCTGCGCTCACACCCTCACGAATGGAGCTCCGCTGCTCGTCCGCCACCCTGAGGCCGACGTGCGCTTCAGTGCGATGAACCTCGTCCGTCGGGACGGCGTGCGCTTCTATTTCGGCTTCCCCATCAAGATTTCTTACCCGGAAGGAGGAGGCACCACTGCTGTCGGCACATTTTGCTGTGTTCACGCCGGCGAGACGCGCGATGTCTCGGAGTCCCAGTACGCGCTCATGGCGACTCTCGCTGAAGGCGCCACGCGCGTGATGGCATGTCGGGCATCCCGCCTACTTGAAGGTTAGCAGAACGGTAAATTAATCAACAATTGGCTTCCACTTGGCTATTCGAGAAGATCATCGTCGGTAGTGATGCGGCTGGCGATGATGCGTGTGGCGCTACGCGAGAGTTTCTCCAGATTTTCGTACTGCGATTGACACACTCGACGGGGCTCGCTGTCCACACAGCACACGGCACCGATCGCTGAGACTTCGTCGGGTGCGAACAGCGGGAAGCCAAAGTAGAAGCGCAGGCCACCTCGTAGCACCAGTTGACTGCGACTGAAGCGCACGTCTGCTGCTGTGTGCGGGACGAGCATGGGCAATGGCCCCATGATGGTGTGTGCACAAAGAGCTTGGTCACGCGGGCCTGCGCTGTTGCGGAACACGGGGTTGTTGGTGGCCAGGATGTACTGCGTGTCGTGGCTGATGAGCGTCACCATTGCCGTTCTGCAGCGCAGCTCTCGGCTCGCCAGGTTGCAGATGAGCTCCAGCTCCGGCACGTTCCGCACTTCGGTGAGTCGAGCTCGACTCACGGCACCGAGTCGCTCCAGTTCATCGTCTGGCAGGGGGAACAGCGGAACACCAGCGTTTGAGTCGCTGTAGGCAAGCGGATACGCTCTTCCGCTGGCCCCAGCAAGCAGACAACTCGACACAGGCCGTTCGGGAATTTGAAGCTGCGACTGGAGAGCTAACAGGTATTCCTCCTGTGAGCTGTCGACAGTGAGTCTCCTGCCCCGCAAAGATCCGTCCGATTGCTCTGACGAACGCGACGAGTCCTCGTCTTCGACCAGCCGCATGATGACATTCTTCACCGCTGGGAGTTCAGGCTCCGACGCGTTCACCAACGTATCGCGCAGCAACCGCGCAAGCACTTTGGTAGCTGCTTCCGACCTTGGACTGTTCGGATGGATCTTCGGCTCCAACGCATCGCTGTTGTCCGCCGGGATCGATTCGTACAAGGCGTCGTCCACGCGCTCCATGCAGTTGCCACAAACGCGCACGATGGCAAAAGCGTTGTCTTGAGAGCGCTGCGCCTCCTGCTCTGACGAGCATCCTTCACACACGTTGTACCCGCAGAGTTGGCACTGTCGCCGCACTCGTTTCTTGCTGCTCACGCCCATGTGCGTCGACGACCGCATCGTAGCCGCACAGCACACGCACCGCGTGTTGTTCGGCGTATACGAAACTTGGCTCGTCATCTTCTGGACCCCAAGACGTCGACGCCTTACCAGTATTGTCAAGCGAGCAGTAGAATGGGCCACCCTGGTAAGGCGCTTCATCTGGGCTCGAGCCGAGGCTCCCCGTTTAATCTGAGCAGTGGTGTTGCTCGATGGGATCGACGGGGAAGTCTCGGAGATTACTCCATCGCTGAGGAATTGGGCGTAGAAGCTCACTCGAACCTCTTTCGCCACAGCAGTCGGAACCACTGAGTAACCTGCTTGGACTCCGTGAATATGGCGCAGATCCTGTGCGTGAGTCTTGCCGGCGAAGAGTTCCTCAGAGTCCAGCGAAGATATCGTCACGCAGAAGCCCTTGCCGTGGTTTTCGTTGAGGCTCTGAGTGCAGTCTACGAAGCACCATTGCTCGTTCCGTGAGAGCGCGTTGCGCTTGGAGAACAGAGCTGTCTTTACTGTGATGTCCTCCACTTTGGGGCTTCGATCGGCGCTTGGAACGCGATGCACGAGAGCCCCGTAGACGAAGTCTTCACCAAAGAGTTCACGCATCATTGAGGTGTACGACTTACTGGTAGCTGGACGAAGCACCTGCCGGAGCTCCTCGACCGAGCAGGTGATGGTCCCCGACGCCATGACTCGCAGGAGCGCTTTCGTCCGCGTCGTGTAGACAGCGAAGCCCATGCTGCTCGGTGCCTTGTCCCAGTTGGCCACGCTGCAGCGCAGCAGGTGCCAGTTGATGGTCTTGGTGTCGCGAGTCACAACCTCCGTCAGCCGCCGATCGGTGAGGCGCACGTTGCGACGTGGACCTCGGGGGTCCTCGAGCAACGCGATCGAGGGCTCCACCGTATCCTCAGTCTCCGTCGTCTGGGTTACGTGCTTGTCGTCACGACTGGTGCGATGGTTGAGCATGGTTTCCACTGTAGTTGTCTGTTGGCCTTCAAAATTGAGACTGCTGGGCCTGAGCAGCCGATTCGAGTCTCGACGCGATCAGAAATGAACGGGGCAAGTGAGAGCTGGTTGGCAACGGAGGGCTCAGGAATGACGGGTGACGACAGCGCTGTCGTAGAGGTCGCGCGTCTGGAGCAGTACAGGTCAAGTGACCGCGATGACGCGAATGAGACCACCTCACTGCATCGTCGGATTACGGCTCAAGCTTTCCAACGCTGAGCAGCGCGCGTGCTAGTACAGCGGTAGAGTTCATTGGAGGCATGGAGCCTTGAACACGTAGACTCTCTCAGCTCGGTTGGTAGCATGGACTTCATCTCAAACGCCGACCGACACCGACGCCGTCAAGTAAAGTGCACCCAACAACTATTTTAAATAGTATTAAAATACTAGCACAACGCGATGAAGCAGTCAACCACCTCCAACGACACTCCACGCGTGCGTGCTGCTTCCGGACGAACGCCCCCCGTCGATGGATACGTAGCGTTGCACTGCAAGTCCTGAGTCACGCGTGGCCACCCGTCAAGTCTCAACTCGACAATACCTTCCCTCCTCGACGTCCAGCGAGATGCACTCGAAGGATCCCCTTGAAGTCACTTATTGTGTATCTCCACACCAAATGTATCCAACTCTCGTTCGTACTTAGCGCGGTGCCGGCCACGCTCCCCAGTTCAACTGCCTGCCTGCCTCGCGTCGATCCGGCCGGCCATGGACTTCCTGCGGCAGCTGGCCGCGGACCTGCACGCGCTGCGGGGCGAGGCCAAGCGCAAGTACCCGGTGGTGAAGGAGGCCGTGGACCGCGCGCTGGAGACGCTGCCGGCGCTGCAGCAGCAGTACGCGGCGCTGCTGCGCGTGGAGGGGCGCGCGCCCGGGCCGGGCCACGCGCTGTTCCAGAGCGAGTCGGTGCTGCGGCCGTTCCTGCTGGCCTGCAACCACACGAACGCGTCGCACAAGATCCTCGTGCTGGCGCTCAGCAGCATCCAGCGGCTCGTCAGCTGGGACGCCATCGAGCCGGCCAGCGTCGGCTCCATCCTGCGCGTGCTGCAGATCCAGGCCGAGAAGAACGCGCACGCGGACGTGCAGGTCAAGCTGCTGCAGACGCTGCTGCAGCTCATGACGCTGGCCTACGAGGACAAGAAGGGCCCGGCCAGGCCGGCCCACAAGCCCCGGACGCCGGCCCAGGACGGCCAGCCCGGGCCAGACAGCGAGCTCGTGGGCAACGAGGACATGGTGATGCAGGCCGTGTGGATCTGCATGCACCTGCACGCGTCCAGCAGCAGCGCCAGCTCCATGGTGGGCAACACGGCGGCCATGACGATCCGCCAGCTCGTGTCGCTGGCCTTCGGCAAGGTGGACTCGAGCCCCGAGGCCAAGCACGTGGGCGTGCTGCTGTTCCAGGAGCTGTGCTTCATGAGCCGCGAGGAGAACGGCATGTGGCTCAAGCGCACGGCCGTGTCGCCCATGAGCGCGGCGCTTGGCGTCGAGCTGCTGGAGACGGTGCTGGCGTCGCACTACGGACTGTTCCGCTTGGACATCGAGTTCAAGGCCGTGCTGAAGCAGCAGATGACGCCGCTGATCCAGACGGTGCTGGAGATGGGCTGCAACGACAAGCACGGCGGCTCTGCAGGCTCGGGAATCACGGGCCCGGCGAACTCGTCCATTACCAACAGCAACACCAACGGCGCAGCGGGCCCATTCTTCCCGCTGCTCGTCCGCGGCATGAGGCTTGCCAGTACGCTGCTGAGCCACTTCGCTGACTGTCTTGATGGAGAGTGTGCTTTGATTCTGCATGCACTGCTGGAGATTATTGCCACAGGAACGTACACGACCCCTGACACGTCCAAGTCGCCGCCGACGCCGTCCAAGTCACCGGACTCGAAATTTCATGCTGCGAACGCTATTGCGAATTTCAAGGAGGCGAAGAACTTCTTGACCCACTCGAGCTCGTCAAGTGCCAGTGCTTCAAGCTCCACCGGCGTTGGAGGAGGAATTAACTTCGTCACGTGGCCCGTCCTGCTGTCGCTCGAAGTGCTGAACCGCGTATGCCTGGAGCCGGACATGGTCGCTGCCATGGTAAATTACCCTGACGGAGTACTGGTCGCCATCACCCGTACCACGTCCTCTGTGATCATGACGTCACCTCCTTCGGATTTCAAGCCCCAAGGGCCTGACGGGGCAGCACCTCGCTCGGGTTTGGAGCTACTGAACGAGCAAGAGACGCCCGTGCTGCAGCAGTTTTTCATGGCTGTCCGCGTCGCTGCTTCTTGCCAGTGCAATATGGCAGCTTCGGTTTTTGAGCTGTCAAGATCCACCGACAACGAGGAAGTATGTGAGAAGCTGGCCAAGGCGTGTGTTGCTGTGGTGGCGCCTGCAGTGATTCAGTCCATGAACTGCGTGATGCGCCACTGTCGTGAGGTGGACCTGGTTACAATGTCTCTCAAGTCGTACCATGTCCTGGCCACGGTGGCATCACGGCTCCGGGCAAACATGCAGAGTCAAAGTGCGAAGGAAGCATGGTGCAAGCAAATGGACGAGGTGGTGCTGACGTGCTTGCGAGCTCTGTGTGGCTTCTCCTTTCCGTTGCCGGATGGAATTCGAGGGAACTCGAAGGGGTCGATTTCAACGACCGCCCCTGGTAGCGAGGATGAATCAGTGGCCGACGATGGTGAGAGCTGTCTCGTGGTGATTAGTTGGCGCGAAGTGCACGCAATGAAGGCACTTTTCGGTGCTGCTCATGTCATGGAAGAAGAGTTATCACAGATGGAATGGTGTGTATTGCTGGAGGGCTTCGAAATCGTTGTGGGGCTGACGGATCCGAAGCTGAAGAGTGGACAGCAGAAACTCCCGACCAAAAACTACCGCATCAGCGCTTTCCGGATCGAAGACGAGGACGTAGAGCAGCAGCTTGTCATGCTGAGCAACTCGATCGTGGACTTTTTCCGCGATGCGCTGAAGTTAAGCAGTGCTGCACTGCGTAAGCTGCTAGCTGCAGTTCGGCGGGTGTCCTGGAATCAGGTTGGTCTCCCAATGCCCAACAGAGATGAGTCTACCCCCGATTCTGCTTCACAGGGCGAGGATTGGACTCTTGTGGATGATGGCGACGTGTCTAGCCCCGCAAGTAACCATCACATGAGGATTTACCAAAGCTACTTGGGTGTGGGGCTTACCGGATCAGGCACCTTCATGCCATGCTTCGCGTTACGTATGCTCACCCAGTTGGCGTCGAGTAGTAAGCGGTGCTTCGAAGAAGTGATGCGGGAGCTGGTGCTCATGAGCACGTTTGTGCCTCAGGCTCCGCTCACGGCAGCCCAGTTCCCCCAGCTCGGTCAGTTTCAGGTGTTCACGACTGATAGCATTTTGCAGCTTATGCAGAACGCTCTGCAGAACATTGTCAACAGCGTATCACCCACCGCGAAGCCCACTATGGAAGCTCTGGACGCAGCGCGGAACGAGGATGGCCCCGCCTCCCCGCACGTGTTTGACCAACAAGAACTTTTCGGCCCCTTGTTGAAGCTAGCGCGCTCGGACATGAAAGATCGCACGTTGACAGGCATGCTTGAAATGCTCAACGCATGTGGCCACCTTCTCAGCAGTGGATGGCCGCTGATTTTAGCTGCAGTACAAGAAGCTTGCGAAAATGGAGACGGCAAGACCCAGGTGCTGGCCTTCAAGTGCTTGCGCCTCATCGTGGATGATTTAGTGGTGTCCATTCCGAGCAGCTACCTTCCCGACTGCATCAAGTGCATTGGACGTTTTGGAAGTCGCGCCAAGGATGTCAACATCAGTCTTACAGCTGTGAACGAACTGTGGAGTGTGGCGGATGTGATCGGGAAGCAGAAGACACGTCAAGAGAGTGACCCCAGCAAGCGGAAGCAGGGGCAGTGGGGGTATATTTTTGCCGAGTTTAGCTCTGTTGCGCTGAACGAGCGAGCTGAAGTGCGAAACAGCTCCATTAACACCCTGTTCGGCACGGCGGTGACGTACGGCGCTCAGTTCGAACTGAGTGAATGGCAACTGTTTATCAACTCGACGGTGCTGCCACTTGCGGCGAAGCTGTGCGAGACGCAGAGAAGGAAGAGCACGAGCGCGCGTGAGAAGGAAGAGGCCAAGGGCGGAGCCAACTATATGCTTCATCACTCACGCGACAACGCGGAGAAGCAGTGGAATGAGTCGCGGGTGCTGATGCTGACGGGAATCAGTCGCGTGTTGGAGACTAATTGGCATTATCTGCTGCAGCACACGTCGTGGTTCTCCACCATTTGGCGCGAGCTGCTGCAGCACGTAGCGCTGAACGCGGCTTTCGGTATGCCCAAGGAAGTGGTGCTGGCGTCTGTGAAGACACTGCAAACGCTCCTGCAGGTTTCGTCCGCCGGCGATTTTGACCACATTGCGCAGTCGCAGCCTGTCCGTGCCGGAGTGGGTATGCGTGTAGTCGGAGGCGCTCTTGTGCCCACGTCTACCCCAACGTCCGCCGCCTCGACTTCTCCAAATCTAAGGCGGGCGACTTCTGCGCCGGTATATCGCGACCCTGTGATATGGGAAGAAGCGTTCGCGCAGCTACTGCGTCTGTGTGACGAGCGACAAATAGCGGCAGCGCAGGACAGAAATCCTGTCCTGCCGTGGATAGAAGACGAGGAGCAGGAGATTGCGAGCGCAGTGGTGTCGGTGTTGGTGACGCTCTACATTCAGGCGAAGGAGTACGAGTTTAAAGACTTGCGCAATGTGGAGAAGATGTTGGATCTCTTCGCGACTCTAATCTCCCGCCACGTGCTTGGCACCCCTGCGATCGGCAATGGGGCAGTGACGAAGGCGATAACCAACATCACGACGAACAGTTTGCAGTCAAGGGTGTTGAACGCGTTCGAAGAGTGCGACTCGTTCGCGTCTCACCCGGATGTCCACACGAAGATATTGGACCAACTTGTCGGGTACGTGACTCAGTCATCGACCAAGGACCTCGTTTTCTTCACGAGGCATGCGCTCACGTCGCTGGCCAAGCTGTACGCGAGCGTGTCGAAGGAGGCCAAGGAGAAGCGGTTCCTTTCGGTTCTCTTCTGCATCCAGCCATTCCTGAAGTTCGGCGATGGCCTCACCACGCCCGAGTCGAGTCCGTCCCCTTCTCCGGAGAAGCCAATGACAGCGGCGCAGAAGGCAGCGACGCAGTTGTGGAAGCACGCGCTGCGTGTCTTGCTCGTCGTTATCTCAAGTGGTTTGGCGGCCGTCCGCCTGGCCGAGGCGTGCTGGAGACCGCTGCTGGAAACGATTGCGGGCTTCGTCCAGCCAAATGGGGGCAAGTTCCCGTCGTGCGTTCAGTCGGAGGAGGACGAAGTGCTGGTGCTGAGTGTACTGGAGTGCGTGGTGGACAGTACAATTGCGCTCCTCAGTGATGGCAACGACCTCAAGTCTCACGTCGGCCAGCAGTACAACGCGTTCATCGGCGACCTGGTCGCTTTGCTCTGCTCGGGGATCGACGCCGTGGAGCACAACAAGGCTATTATCCGGTGTTGCGTACGTCAGCTGACCACGATGTGTATTCAGATGGCGGACCAAGAGCTGGCTGCGTTCGCGCGCGCTCGGCTGGTGGCGTGCTGCAACACGGCGTTGGTGCAGTTCGCCGATCTGGACAGCGCTGCGAGCTCCAAGCCGCCTTCACCCTCAGCTCCGACAAGTGCAGTGGAGCGAGACGCGCGCCTGAACTCTTTCTCGTCGATGGGGGCACTTTCCAGCAGCAACGACCCCCAGCTCGTGGCAGCTCGCGAGAGAGTGGTGGTGCTGCTGACCAGCGCGCTGGAGGTGGACATGCAGCCGCGCAGTCTGATGGAGATGTACCAGGCGCTGTGCGGCTGCATCTCGTCGTCCGACCTGGAGGTGCGGCAGCTCGTGCAGCGACTGCTGCTCAGCGGCAGGCTCTCTGAGTGCTGCTTAGAGCTCATGGACTCTTGGGAGCGCCAGTCTCATTAGAAAATTTAACCGCGGCGACGCCGTAAGTGGGGAAATCACACACACATGTCCATAGGATACCGTTCCAGTTTGTCAAGTTGACGTGATGCATGCTAAGACGGCATCAATCTCGGTGCGCTAGCGTCTGCTGACCTCAGCGTTGGCAGCCTTCCCGCTCCTGACCACCCCACCCCACCCCAACTCGGTTTAACTGTCCCCAAAGCGACATCGACGGTCTTGGCTGCTTCGATCCGACCTCCGTGGCAACTCTGAATGCAGCCGCGCAATCAAGACTGGTGTCGGTGGTACCTTCCTTTACATGGGAGTTCTCCTTCGAGCGTGCCCAAGATGCTATCCCAATGCGTGCCTGCAAATGCCGAGTCCCAATGAAGGTGAAAGACAGACATTCCGATTGACGCGGATCAATGACCACCATCTGCCTCACGACGACACGTCCGGCCATCAGGCCGCCTGTCACTCGGGACGCGGAATTGCTACAGTCGCACATTGCATCTGTGCCGTCTCTACGCGGGGCGTTCGACGGATCCACATCATGCTCACTGTGGCGCTGCCCCTCTCACTTCCGCGCGGTGGCTTTTGTCAGGCCAGCCAACCTCGTCACTATCCGACTAACCGCGTAGGCGACACTCACTTGCTACTCCGGCGATGCAGGCCCGATACACCGACACGCCCCTGCTGGAACGCGCGGCCAGTGCCGACCGAGTCGACGGTGCCGTCTCCAAGACGCACCGCACGCGCTTCCGCGGCAAGACGCGGACGGCCATGACGGCGTCCTTGTCGAGGTCCTTCCCGTCCTCCAGCGCCAGCTCCGGCTCGCTCCCCAAGCCGCGCGTTCACGTGAACGACAACGAGTTGTGCGCGCGCGCGGAGGCGGTGGCCCGGGCCATGGACTTCCGCGGCTTGGCCAGCTCCAACGACGCCGAGTGCAGGTGGAAGCTCAAGAAGTCGCGCGGGTCCTTCACGACGTACGCGCGACAGCCTGCGGCATTGCTCGTGCCTGAGACCGATACGGCCGGCAAGGGCCGATCGACGCAGCAGGTTTTGGCCGCTGGAGAGATCCGCTGCCACCTGCAGGAGGTGGTGCATGTGCTGAACACGGCCACCGATTTCGACCACAACGCCGTCATGAGCGGCTTGTACCGGAAGGACTTCATCTATGGTTCGGTGGTGCACGTGGTTCCTATGGGGGATGGCCCCAAGCTGGCCGAGCTGCTCCAGGAGCAGGTGTCGACGACCACGCGGGTGGCCGTGAAGACGGGCACCTTCGTGCACAGCAAGATGTTCTCGCCCAACGAGCAGTGGTGCTACCTCGAGCGCGCGCAGCTCGTCCGTGAGTCTCAGAGTGGGGAGGATGTTGAGACTTCGTCGAGGAAGGCCAATTCGTTCACACTGATGCTGAGCTCGTTGGACGAGAAGGAGCTCGAGGCGGGCAAAGTGAATGGCCACGGCCGAGTCAACATGCTCCACAACATGAAGGCAGGGTATCTGGTCGAGCAGCTACGCGGCAGTCGCTTCGTCCGCGTAATTTTCTTCGGCCAGTTCGACGGTAATAACGACGCGGATGCACCTGGCCACGCTGGCCAATCTCAAATGCGCGCTCGCCTCATGCGGCTGGCCGAGGGGGCCACGCGGCTACCGGAAGTGGTCATTCGACGCCGGTTTGGGGCGCAGACGATGGCCGACCGAGCGGCCTTCCCCGCGAAGAACTCGCACTGCATCTGCTGCACCAAGTCGCTGCGTCTGCTCACTCGCAAGCATCGGTGCCACCTTTGCGGTCACTACGTTTGCGATCGCTGCTGGTCGGTACAGGAAATGGAGACGCAGACCACGCGTTGCATCACGCCCGTGCGCGTGTGCTCACGGTGTATGGAGTTCGTGGAAAATGGAGACTACTCCGCTGTGAAGCCAAGCTCGCTAGGAAATATTGAGGTGAGGCGGGGCCCTGTGAGTGAACCGCCAGCTAACAAGACACTGGCCCACCTGCTGCGAAGGCAGTTGCGGGCGTCATCAGGGGCTCGGAAGAACTCCGTCCGTACGGTGATCCAGTATCTCGTTAGCCAAGAGGAAGAGGAGCAAGCGAAGGCTGAAGCTGAGGCGAAACCCCGATCGATCCGACTAACTTCCGATAGCGCTGATCAAGAGTATCTGGATGCTCTGGATGGAGGTTTGAGTATTCACCAGGTGCCGTTGTACCAGTGTGTCTTGGCCAACGCCTCGAAGCGCGACTACCCGCTTACCATGCCGAAGACCGCGGCAAATGGAGCGATTCCGGACGCCCCCATTCCGCTGAACGAGACGGAGCGATTGGGAGCCATCGTCCGTAGTCGCATCATGGAGCTGGAAGACGCCTCCGAACTAGATTTGCTATGCTCCCTTGCCGCTACTCAGCTGGACTGCAAGTTTAGCATCGTGACCGTGGTCACCGCCGAGCACATGACGGTATTGGGCTCGAACCTGGAGGAGTTGCGACGCGTAGAGCTTCCACGCGAACACTCGTTCTGTCAGCACACGGTGATGACGTCGAAGCCGCTGTTGGTGCCCCACCCGGAGGCCGACATACGATTCCAGAACATCAACGGCCGAACTGCTTTCGATGTACGATTCTACTGCGGCTTTCCGATCGTAGGAGAGGATAACCGCACAGTCATCGGATCGTTCTGCTGCATGGATCAGAAGACCCACGACTTGACGCAATCGCAGTATTCGGCCATGAAGAAGTTGGCTTCCGCTGCAGGCCGGGTGGTGCGCTCCAAGGCGTGTCAACTTGATGAGTAACACGACTTAAATGAGACTATTGCAGCAATAGGAACTGCAATTGAAGGTTTGTACAACGAGTGGTAAGTGCATTCATAGTAACTAGCTCGAAATCAAGAGAACTGAAGTGCTAACTCTTCTCCCTACTACTAATTCCAACCTACGGCTTGTACGATGAAGTACTAAAGAGATCGATTCGCTCCATCACGTCAGGGAACTGGGCGTTGTGCTCTTGGCTGTACTGGCGGGGGTGGTGGTGCTCGATGAGGCCAACGTACACGCCCGCTCCAATCGCGCCGCCCAGCAATGGAGCTACCAGCGGGACCCAACCGTACGCGTCACGCAGCGTGAACACCCGAGAGCCCCACCCGGCCACCCAGGCGAACAACCGAGGCCCCAAGTCGCGCGCGGGGTTCAGCGCGAAACCCGAGTTCATGCCGAACGCCATGCCAATACCCACGACCAGCAGTGCCACTGCGCCGGGCTGCGAGTATGGGTTGGCGGGTTTATTGAGCTCGTCGCCGATGGCAAAGAGTCCGCACAGCAGCAGAGCGGTGCCCACTATCTCCGTCAAGAAGCAAGTGCCCACGGACACGTCGCTGCTGTAGGGATACGTGGCGAAGACGCCCTGCGTGGTCGTCTTGTGCGGGTCGATAACGTCGAAGAGCGGCCTGTAGACGGCCCATATGAGGAAGGCGGCCACGAAGGCGCCGAGCGTCTGCGCCACGACGTAGGGGACGACCTTGCGCCATTCAAAACGTCGGAAAAGCGCGAGCGTGGTGGTGATGGCGGGGTTGATGTGCGCGCCGGAGACGCCTCCCGAGACGTGGATGCCGAAGAGGATGCCCACTCCCCACCCGAGGCACAGCGTGGTGTAATTCCCTTTGGCGTTGTCGCTGAGCGTGACTTGAGCGACGGCTCCGTCTCCGAAGAGCACGAGGACGAATGTCCCGAGGAATTCTGCGAGACACTCTCGTAGCAGTGGAGACTTGAGCTGGTAAGGGCGAGTGGCAGGGACGGTGAGCTCGAGCGGTCGAGGAGACTGAACGGGGGTGTAGTCCTCGTCGACCTTGTAGCTGTATGAAAGCGGATCCATGGGGGTTGTGTGTGGGTTTGTAGTTGTTGGAAAATGGAGAAGTGGCAAACCAGCAATTGATACTATTGGTGCCGACTTGCATGGGGTGCTAGCCATATCAATGTCGAACTTGTAGGAGCCCTCCTCACAAAAGTCTTTCGTCTTTCAGGGCCCCCATCAGACTTGGATCGGCCATCCCAACCCATTCCGGACGGAAAGCTATTGTCAATTTTTGGTTTTTCTCTGTCTCACTCGATGTGGTGAGACGGCCGACTTGACCCTGTCGTCACGGTGCTTCCGCCTTGGGACGTGAAAAATCTGATGTAGTAGTAAGGGGGACGGTGCTGGTTGACCACTTGCCTCGATGAGTTGAGTGGGGAGTCCGACTGAGGACTCTCAGCCATATCAATTCATCCACTCCGTTTCTGGTACGTTCGTTTCCACTTCCTATTCACATTTTCCAGTCTGTGGTGCTGGTGGGCGCATGAGAAGAGCAAGCGCAGCCTTTGCAAAACCGGTTGGCGCTCATAGTGAGTGCCTGAAAGCGATCCTTGGCGTGGAAATGGCTCATAGTTACGACAGTAAGTACTATTCGCACTTACGAGTGTCAGCTTCAACTTGGTGACGATCTTCCAGCAGTAGCAGACGATAATGATAATAATTTGAAAGGCATTGGTCGAGAATTGTGGATGGAAGTACGCCACTCGGTCTTCTCAGCCAGCTCTTGTGGGCGCGCATGGATCGCTGCGCGAAGCTTGGCGACACCCATTGCAGCGTATTCGCTCACCGAACGGATCTGGAGCGCACGTCTCCGATCGGAATTCGTTTGCTTTCACTGCTCCTAGAGATGGAGACCATTTTACCATTTTTGCTTTGCAAAGCAGTGAAGAGTTGGAAGCAGGGAAAAGGCTGATGGGCACTGCCTATTTAGTAAGGCGCATCGGTGTGGAGAAGTAAGACATTTCACCGAGCTCGTAGAACCACACCTCCGCTCTATACAAATTGTGATATACACTCACGTTTGTGATACCTTCTCGTATTCATCACCGGATACACCACATATTCTTCAGAGAAAATCAGAAGTCCTGCAGCTGTGCATATCGGCCGCCACTAAGCGAAGCGAGAGAGCGCTCGGCCAAGTGACTGTAGTTCTGTTAGCTTTGCTTGAGGTGAGACACGAAAGAAACTCGATCGGCAGGTCGTAAGCATTGCTTGTGACCGCAGTCCAGAACGGATCCTGGAGTTTGTGGTCCCTATTCCAGCAGCGTCTCCACCGAAAGTCCACCAGGAAGCAGTCATAAGGGAGACTCGATCGATCAAATGGCCACCAACGTCAACGCAACAGCAATATCCTCGACGCACATACCGCAAGCTCGAAAAGTGGCATACCATCGTCTGAGCATGCCGGGCCCCGCCGTACTTTGTCGTACAGACGCTCGGTACCATCATGGCGGCCTTGGGCCCGGACAAGACGAACTCATCACAGACCCATACAACAGCGTCGTGCCCGTGGGCACTCGTTTCTTGACGGAGGTATTAGTGGCACAGCGTTGCTGCTGTGCGGACGCTTCGCCGTCGGCGACGAGCTCAGCAAGCCCGCCAGCCCGTACTTGCAACCTGGTGAGTATCGGCACCGTTCGGCACGAACTTGGCTTTCGCTTTCACCAAATTCTGCGCGCGAGTTGGAGCCCCTGCTGTTCACGTGGTGAGGTTCGAGTTGCGCGATGTGCACTCCTGGGTTCGCTGGTAGCCCCGTTCTGGGCTGCACGGTAAGGGGGCGTACGCTCCATTTGATCACCACCACCACTGTGGCTGCAACTGGCCACTCCAGCATCTCGATCTGCTTGCAATGGCCACCGCGCGCAGGAGGTCCGACGCTCGTGCTTGATACGGGCCACCAACGAGTGCTGCTTGGAGTCCACAGCCTCTTCTAAAGCTGACTCAGCGACGCAGCGCCGATTTCGAGTCACCATCGCTCGCGCAGCGCTCGGTCGGACATGGCCGTCCTTCAGAGACAAGGCTCCGCGTTCAGCTGTTCGACAGCGCGTTCGACTAGCGAGGACCCCGTTCGTCTACAGGCAACGGGCGTGCACCGAGACGGCAACGGCTGTCACCACAAGTTGCAGCGCGTGCCGGCAGGCAGCGCCAACGTCCGCGCCGATGCCGTCATGGGCCATGCATGAGTCTGGCAATTCCCGGCAGCGCAGCGCGCCACCTACCGCACACCGATCGAGCCCAACCGCGTTTGGTGGCGATATCCAAGCGAGGACCGCCGGCAAATCCGGTGCCACTGTCGGTCAGCTTCAACTGAGACGGCTTCGACCGCTCGCTCGAGTCGCGCGGCCAGCCTGGCAGGCAGTGCCTGCATGCTGCCCAGCGTAGAGACCGTGGCGGTGCAGCTGGCGATGGCGACGCTGGCCCGCGGCGTTGTTGGCCCGGGCGGGGAGTCTCCGATGCAGGCAAGCTCCGGGAGATAGCAACAAGCACTACATGTACATTGGCATTGCCGGCCGTTGCGTAGACGCGCTGTGCCGGCGGGCCGGCTTGAAGAAGGATGCGTCTTCGAAGACACTTCATCTGAAATGGACGGCAGGGCTTGGCCCGGCCCATTGCTGGCCGAGAGTCGAAGGCGCGCTGATCGGGCGGCCCCGGTTCTGCTTCGTTGTGTCACGTCGACAGCTGCACCTTGAAGTACCCGAGCCGCGTGAACATTACGCGGCAACTCGACGGCCATGGCGACCTGGGACCCAGACAGACGTGCCGGCCGCATGGAGCGCGGGGCCTTCGCCATCCCACCGCGGGCAGTCACTTTCCGATTCGCCTCGGGCCGAGCAGCTCTCTTCCCAGCCAGCAGCGACCTCCTTCCCTCCCGCCCGCCCTCCCTCCCTCCCTTCAAGATGGCCCGCTTGTCCGACAGCGGCAACAAGGACAAAGACGGCTACGTGGGCCTGCAGGAGGCCGACGTGGCCCTGACGCCGGCATCGGCTGTGTCCAAGCCGTACCAGGTCAAGTCGCCGCTGCTGCGCGAGTGCATGGCCGAGTTCATCGGCACCATGGTGCTCATCATGTTCGGCGACGGCGTCGTGGCCCAGGTGGTGCTCAGCGAGAGCACCAAGGGCGAGTACATCAACATCAACTTGTGCTGGGGCCTCGGAGTTCTCTTCGGCATCCACGCATCGGGCGGTGTTTCGGGTGCACACCTGAACCCGGCCGTCACTACGACGCTCGCTCTCTTCGGCCGCTTCGAGTGGCGTAAAGTGATCCCGTACATCATCGCGCAGGTGTTGGGTGCGTTCGTGGCGGCCTTCATCGTCTGGGCCGTCTACTACCCCATGTTCAACACCATCGACCCGAACAAGGAGACCACGCAGGGTGTCTTCTCCACGTACCCGTACAGTGATGACGTCCCGGTCGGCACCTGCTTCCTCACTGAGGTGGTGGGCACTGCATTGCTGCTGGGTGGTATCTTCGCTCTGGGTGACGAGCTCAACAAGCCGGCCAGCCCGTACACGCAGCCGAGCGCTGTGGCCCTGCTGGTTGTGGCCATCGGTATGGCGTTCGGCATGAACTCGGGCTACGCCATCAACCCGGCCCGTGACTTCGGCCCGCGGTTGTTCTCGCTCTGTGCTGGCTGGGGCTCGCGCGTGTTCACCCTGCGGGACCACTACTTCTGGGTCCCGATCGTTGGCCCGCTGCTCGGAGGTGCCATCGGTGGCGGCGTGTACGTTGGCCTGGTCGAGCACCACCACCCGCGCGACTACAAGCACCCGCTCGACAACTAGAGAAGGTGTTTGGATCGATGGAGCAGTGTGTCGTAAGTTAGAGACGGCAAGGCTGGCCCATCGTCATGGTTATGGTAGCGTCCAAGTAGCCGTGATGCATAATGTCTTCCTCTATAAACTTTTGTTTCCTCATGTTTCCCTGGTACGCTCGTTCGCTTTCGGCCGAGCCCGACGTGGTGCGGGTATGTTACGCCCTGCGGGAACTTCGCCGGCAATCAATGCAGCGTGACACTGCAACTGCAAGGATTCCGAAAACGCCTCGTCAGATAACGTGGCCACAGACTACTTCATCGGCGCCTTTCATGCTAGTTGCTGTTGTGCCCGTCGGCGGTCGTTCATGACAAGCTCCGTCAAACGATAAAGATTAAAAATGTGCAAAGTGTCGAAAAATTAAGTGCATCATTTTGCAGCCAGCCTACGACAGGCAGTCGACTCGCTCGTTACGACTCGTGTAAGTCTACAAGGCGACATTCGTGGTTGACGCGCTGGCCTGGTTGGGATAGTCGACAGCTTCAACTTGGTCTAATCACACACACAAAGGTTCCCCGGCCGTGGAGCTGGTGTAGGCAGCGTTGGGGGCTGTGAAGGAGGTCCGTTGGATCCCAGAGTTCGCCTTCCGGGCGTAGAGATGACGCTCCTTGAAGTAAGTGCTCGTTGCGTGACCGAGAGATGCCGAAGGGCGCCCGACGAGATGGCCGTCGCTCCTTCACCTCACTTCGCAAACTGCGTCGAGCTTCACAAGTGTTTTCCAAATTTCAGCAACAACCAAGCCACTATGCCACCGCGCGACTCGGATGCCAACGACAAGGCCGAGAACGGGTATATCGGCCTGCAGGAGCCCGACGTCGAGATCGCCTCGATCCCCGTCAAGAGCTACCAAGTCAAGTCGCCGCTGCTGCGCGAGTGCATGGCCGAGTTCATCGGCACCATGGTGCTCATCATGTTCGGTGACGGTGTCGTGGCCCAAGTTGTACTGAGCGAGAGTACCAAGGGCGAGTACATCAACATCAACTTGTGCTGGGGCCTCGGAGTTCTCTTCGGCATTCACGTCTCTGGCGGTGTCTCGGGAGCTCATCTCAATCCGGCGGTGACCACGACGCTGGCGCTCTTCGGGCGTCTGGAGTGGCGTAAAGTGATCCCGTACATCATCGCGCAGGTGCTGGGTGCGTTCGTGGCGGCCTTCATCGTCTGGGCCGTCTACTGCCCCATGTTCAACACCATCGACCCGAACAAGGAGACCACGCAGGGTGTCTTCTCCACGTACCCGTACAGCAACGATGTGCCAGTGGGGACATGTTTTCTTACGGAAGTGGTGGGCACTGCATTGCTGCTGGGCGGTATCTTCGCCATCGGTGATGAACTCAACAAGCCGGCCAGTCCGTACACGCAGCCTGGAGCAGTGGCCCTGCTGGTGGTAGCGATTGGCATGGCGTTCGGCATGAACTCGGGCTACGCCATCAACCCGGCCCGTGACTTCGGCCCGCGGTTGTTCTCGCTCTGTGCTGGCTGGGGCTCGCGCGTGTTCACCCTGCGGGACCACTACTTCTGGGTCCCGATCGTCGGCCCGCTGCTCGGAGGTGCCATCGGTGGCGGCGTGTACGTTGGCCTGGTCGAGCACCACCACCCGCGCGACTACAAGCACCCGCTCGACAACTGAGAGGCGTATCCTAGCAGCGCGTGAACGTATCGATAAGTATATGACCAGCAATGAACGTATCGTGTGCTTTCCTGGGTACTCTCTCGATTCAGCAGTGCAGTTCGACTGCAGGAAGCTCGCCACGCCCGGCGTAGCGTTGCGGCCGCGCTCACGGATCGGCGGTCGCCACGACGCCGACGTCAGCAGCTGTGCTGGTGGTCGGCCTCGTCGCGTTCAGGCCATCACTCGTCCACCTTGGCACGCGTCCAGCACGAAGAGGACACCCTCACACGCACCCTCACGAAGACTCCCTCTGACTGAGTGGTTCACGAGTTGCAGCTGCTGCGCGACTCGGCCGCCAATGCTTCGCCAGCGTGGGCTGTTTACAAATGCGGGCGGCCGGGTTCAACATGCACGTCCTCGTTTACAGATCCTAATCAAAACTGAAGAACCATGCACCTCTGTGGAGACCGCCGGTAAAGTGTCGAGACCGGCGGTCTCACTTGGGGGCGCGAGCCCAAAGCAAAGCGAAGCGCTAAGCTGGTGGCCGATCGATCTTCTGGGGGTCGGCGAGTCATATCCAGCAAACCGGCATATGGAGATGATCGTCGCGGAAGTGGCCGACGGCGCATCCTTCACTGCACTGCCTTTGGGAGTGCAGACAGCACGAACGGGGCTGCAGCTGGCACACACCCGGGCAGCGACTCCACGCCGCTTGACTCGGCTTCATGCATCGGCGGCCTCGTTATGTTGGCTGTGCCATTCGTTTAGGATAATGAAGGCGTGCATAGTGGTTGAACTTCAAGCGAAATTCGGGTGCTGTCAACATTGCTCCCGTCTCGCATTGACACCCCGAGGCGCGCGCGGCCCAGCAGCTCACTTTCCGATTCGCAGTGTCGGCCTCACAGCGCCCCTTTCATCCGCGTTCGGCGTTTAATCAAGTGCAGCAGCAGCTACATGTCGGGCAACGACGACAAGATCGAGAGCGGCTACGTCGGTGTGCAGGAACCAGACGTGTTCACGAACCTCGAGCCGGCCAAACCGTACCAAGTCAAGTCGCCGCTCTTCCGCGAGTGTCTCGCCGAGTTCCTGGGCACCATGGTCATGATCATGTTCGGTGACGGCGTCGTGGCCCAGGTGGTGCTCAGCGAAGGCACCAAGGGCGAGTACATCAACATCAACTTGTGCTGGGGCCTCGGTGTGCTCTTCGGTATCCACGTGTCGGGCGGAGTTTCGGGCGCGCACCTGAACCCCGCGGTGACCACGACGCTCGCGTGGTTTGGCCGCATGGAGTGGAAGAAGGTCCCGTACTACATCATCTCGCAGATCCTCGGCGCCTTCGCTGCCGCTTTCATCGTCTGGGTCGTGTACTACCCCATGTTCAACGTGATCGACCCCCAGAAGACCTCGACGCAGGGCGTGTTTGCCACGTACCCGTACAGCAACGACGTGCCCGTTGGCACCTGCTTCCTCACGGAGGTGGTGGGCACGGCGATGCTCATGGGCTGCATCTTCGCTATCGGTGACGAGCTAAACAAGCCGGCCAACCCTTACACGCAGCCCGGCGCCGTGGCCCTACTTGTGGTGGCCATCGGTATGGCTTTCGGCATGAACTCCGGCTACGCTATCAACCCCGCGCGTGACTTCGGCCCTCGCCTCTTTTCGTGGATCGCTGGCTGGGGGTCCGAGGTGTTCACGCTCCGCGACAGCTACTTCTGGGTGCCGATTGTCGGCCCACTTCTCGGCGGCCCCATTGGCGCCGGTGTGTACGTTGGCCTCATTGAGCACCACCACCCGCGCGAGTACAAGCACCCGCTCGAAGGTCAGTAATCGTCTATGCAAATGTAGTTAGGACGAAGGAGAGGCTGTATAGTAGGGTGTGGATCTCCAACGTCAGTTTATGAATGCAATCGTGTTGCATTACCCCGGTATCCTAGCTCCGTTCCGATTGTGTCTTGTTCATCATGAAATCCCCAAATGATTGAGCATCTTCGAGTTGAAGTCTACAACTTGAAGCATGTCACTGCCGATTTTCCGGTGGCTTCAGTTGATGTCATCCGTCAATGTCCAGAACGCCCGCAATGTTACGTGAGCCAAGCCGTCACTACGAACCGAATGCTCGAGTTGGACTCTTATGCCGTCCGTGGGCAGATGTCGACATTGCGCAGTCTATCCAATGCAGCAGGCTGTCTGCATCCTGCTTCGCTGCGTCAAGATCCGAGCGGCTGGCTAGAAATGCACCGTTCATCTGTAGATCGCCGGCAGGTGGAACTTGATCGGATGGTAATGCTGTCAACCCGAAAAAAGCGCGAGAAGCATTTGTGTGCTTCCACAACCAGCACTTCGACAGTATTAGCTACAGTTGCGGGCCTCACCTCACCGAGTCGGTTTGGCAGCACCTGCTCATATGGTGTGGCCACTGGTACTCCTTACGGAATCCGGAACCAAAAGCGTCAAGATGGTAGCGATTCCGGTTCGTCGCGGTGGGAGAGCACTCGTGTCTCGCTGCAGTCACTCCATCACTTCCCATTTTACGGCGTTCGTCGTATCCCCCACCGCCAGCAAACGCGTAGTACCTGTCACCACCGAACCATGCATCGCGAAAGCGCGGACAAGGTTGACGCGATGATGCGAGTCAGCAGCATGCCCAAGATGGACGTGAACTATATGGGCGAACCGGACGTGGCCATGATGTCGACGGGGCCGGCCCGCAAAGGAATGTTCCAAACCAAGTCTCCTCTCTTCCGGGAATGCATGGCCGAGTTCCTCGGCATGTTCGTCTTCATGCTGTTCGGCACCGGCGTCGTCGCCCAAGTCGTGCTGAGCGAAGGCACGAAAGGCGAGTTCATCAGCATCAACTTCTGCTGGGGTCTCGGCATCCTGTTCGGTATCCACGTCTGCGGTGGTGTATCGGGCGCGCACTTGAACCCGGCGGTGACTATGACGCTGGCCCTGTTCGGCCGCTTCGAGTGGAAGAAGGTCCCGTGCTACGTGATAGCTCAAATGCTGGCGGCGTTCCTGGCCGCGGCCATTGTCGGCATGGTGTACGACCCGCTGATCAAAGTCTCCGACCCGCACATGAAGACGACCCAGGGAATCTTCGCCACGTATCCGTACAGCAATGACGTCCCCATTGGCACCTGCTTCATGACGGAGGTGGTGGGCACGGCGCTGCTGGTCGGCTGCCTCTTCGCCATCGGCGACGAAATGAACAAGCCGGCCAGCCCGTATAGCCAACCCGGAGCTGTCGCGCTACTGGTGGTGGCCATTGGCATGGCCTTTGGAATGAACACCGGCTACGCCATCAACCCGGCGCGCGACCTCGGTCCTCGCTTCTTTACTCTGTGTGCTGGTTGGGGGCCCAAGGTGTTCACGCTAAGCGAGTCGTACTGGTGGGTGCCGATCGTCGGACCGATGCTTGGCGGCCCGATCGGCGCCGGCCTGTACGTGGCCCTGGTGGAGCAGCACCACCCCGTCGAGTTCGATCACACGCACTCCTAAGCGCATGCAGCTGCGTCCTTGTCGTTGATAAAGTGCAGTAAAAGTTGCGTTCGATGAGTCTCAAATCGTCTTGTGTATTTCGTTGGTCTCTCAAAACTCCGCTCTGGAGGTGGTAACCGAGGCCGTCGGCAAGATGTTGCAGGCAAGAAGACTGGATTTACACGCTTCCTAACGCCGTGACACCACTTCGCGTTGAAGTTCAACGGCATGCCAACACTTGCAGGAGCTGAGACTCATCCTGAGACCGGGGCCATCCTGAGGATGTCCATTGAACTTCAACCGGATCCTGCCGCTGTTAAGAACGCCCCTCCTGAAGATCGTGCGATCCATAGTTCATTATCGTCGCGATGGTGTCTCGGGTCAATCGGGAGTGATCCCCGCCTCGCCTCAACACTTCATGTATTTGGTTTGTAAAAAAAGAACTCTGCGCCCATGGTCCGACCGTTTAGTCGACAAGAATGCCGGTGTTGCGGGCTGCCTGCGTTGCTCAGCGAGTTGGCTCGCATAGACGTGCTGGGCGTGTTTGGCCGCTTGCTTAAAGCTGATCAAGGCAGCAATCCCAGCACTGATGCAACTTGCCTCGATCTCGAAGAGCTGCACACGACAACTTCAATGCGCAGGAACTGTTGACTCGACAGTTTTCGCTAGACGTCCGCGGTTCAGGGCCAGCCATCGCGTGGGATCGGCACCTCAGCTTCAATGCAGAAGCCGGTCGCGGGACGCAGCGGAGCAGAAGAAATCCAAGCAGTCCTGATGACTTGATGGTTCGGCCTTGTCTAACATGGTGAAGAGTCCTCACTGAATACCCGCCTACGGTACTACCGTAACGGTAGCAAGACTACAAGAACTGCAACGCGGAGGTGAAGGAAAAGCTTTGGATTCTTCTTCATGTTAGCAACTGCAAGCGCAGGAAACGATTCAACTCTCTTACATGCACGCCCTCGTGGCGGCTTGGCACCATACAGTACTCAACACCTTAGAAGTGGAACTGCTCGCCGTGCTTGCGGACGACGGTGACCTTTTGCGGGTGGTGGTGGCCCACGAGCACCACGTACACAAGCCCGCCGAGCGCGCCGCCGACGGTGGGGGCAACAATGGGGACCCAAAAGTAGTAACTATCGAGCGAGAAAACTCGTGTTCCCCAGCCGGCCGTCAGCATCATGAGGCGAGGGCCGAAGTCGCGAGCGGGGTTGATGGCGCAGCCGGTGTTGACGCTGAAGGCCATGCCGATACCGACCACCAGCAGCGCCACGGCGCTCGGGGCGCTGAACGGGCTGGCCGGGCGGTTGTGCTGGTCCAGCACGGCGAAGATACCGCCCACCAGCAGCGCCGTCGCGAACATCTCGGTCAGGAAGGCCACGGAGGTGGGCACGTACTCGTTCGGGTAGGTCGCGAAGATGGCGTGCGTAGTCTGCCTCTCCGGGTCGGCCACGTTGAGCAGCGGCCGGTAGAGCACGTACACGAACAGAGCGGCCAGGTACGAGGCCAGCGTCTGCGCGGCAATGTAGGTCGGCACCTTCTTCCACGGGAACATGCCGAAGAGCGCCGCCGTGGTCGTGATGGCCGGGTTCAGGTGCGAGCCGGAGACGCCGCCGGCGATGTGGATGCCGAAGAGCACTCCGATACCCCAGCCGAAGACGATCTGCGTGAAGTCGCCGTACTTGCTGCTGCTCAGGATGGACTGGCACGTCGCGGCCAGGCCGAAGCTCATCATGACGAAGACGGCCACGAACTCGGCGCAGAACTCTCGAAGGGCCGGGCTCTTGATGGCGAAGCGGCTCGTGTTCACGGGGGCCCCGCCGTTCACAGCCGTCTCGTGGGCTTCCAGGTCCATGTAGCCGTGCTCGATCTTGTCCGCTGCGTTCGAAGGGGTCGCCATCTTGGGGTGGAGTGCTCGCTTGACGGGAAGTGTCGGCGCGCTTGGAGGCCAATTTGGAAATGAGCTTCTTGTCCTCGGCCACTGACTGCCCTGGCAGGCACCATGCTCGTTTGACAAAGATTAATTGGGGACCTGCCTTACCACCAGTAGCAATCGGTCGGGCACCATGTTGAAGTTCAATGGCTCAGTAGAGGTCCACAGCGCCGCACATCGGCCCGCGACTCACTTATTCTGCAGCTCCACTGTGAGTCGTGAAAGCAACTTCAAGCACGTCGCCCGGCGCGGGATTTCGGCGGGCTCTGCTCTGCTGAAGAGCAGCCGAGCGAGTTTGGCTTTTGCTCGGGGCCAGCACCGACTGATAGATATCCATCACGAAATACGCGCGGACAGCAGCGATCGTGAGCACTGAAGTTTTGGGGCCACATGAAATTGCAGCGCGCGGGGCCTGGCCGAGCGATGGCTATCGTTCTGGTGCAGGAAGGAAGGCAGCGCCATGCCATAATCAAGAGCCAAGGACCCCCGCCGCATCGCCCTCGAAGCACGAGCCGAGCGCGACAACACGCATCAGCCTCGCTTGAAGTCGCAGGCGCCGGCCGGAGAGTTGGGATCGGGGTGACCGGCACGCGTCGACCGACTCAGGCTAGCTCGGCTAGCCGTCATCCACGTTGAAGCTGTCCGCACCGCTTCGCTGCATCCGTGCTCGCGGCGCCAGTCGATCGTCGGCTTGAAAACTGTTGACGTTGACAGTTCCGGCGGCACCACCCGGCGCCAGTCACGGCGCCCGGCAGTGCAAGGCAACTTCAACATCCATCTGCGCTTGGGTTCGCCAGCCTCACCTCACCCGGTGAGGCTCACCGACGGCGAGCCGCGCTTGTAAACCGCCCCGGACTTCAAATCACAAGCTTCTCGCGGGGAGGAAGGCGACGGTGCTCACAGGACTCGAAGACATAAGTCGAGGCTCACGGACGGACACCATCATTCCACGCTTGCCGTCGCTGTCGCCACCCCAAGCAGCCACCGAAAACTGTTGACGTTGACAATTCTCTCACCTTGAGAAGACCCACCACCGCTGCTGCCGGCGCTCCGGTCACCAGTCACGGAAGTCCAGTCTCGAAAGTGCTTGTGCCAGCAGCAATTTATAGACTTCTCCCCGCGTGAACACTGTAACTCGAGGCCCGACGCCTGCTGCTTCGCCACCTCCTTCTGTGTCTGCGTGCGTGCGTATTGGTGTCAGAGTGGCTGTGAGCAAGAGAGGCTTGTTTGTACTGTGGACGTGCCGTCCAAGGCGGAAAACACCTTCGGCCCTTGATAGCTGGAAGGTGGGCACGGCTGCGTCTCTCCCTGCCCTGCGCGAAGAGGGGGTATTGGGAGCTCCCCTGCCGTCCAGAAGGCGCTACGTTCGCTATTGCATCCCCAGCGGCGGGTTGTCGACCGTGACATCTTGCTCGCAGCCAGTGCTCCTAACGCTAGTTGATCTCGTAGTAGCGGAGAGCTTGTTCGCTGTGGAATGTGCCAACTCGAGTAGGAAGCGAGCCACCATCATCTCACGTACTGACCGCCATCAACCCCATACGCTGGGATCGCCCGCACACCCGCCGATAGGAGAGCAATTATCCGCCAAAGAAGCGCCCGTTGCGGTCCATCCTTGCTGGCGGCACCGCCGGCATCTTCGCCAGCGGGGGCTTCACTTTTCCGCGCGGAAGACGTCCGCTTAATGTCTCGATGAGTATGCATGCTGCCTTGCGACAGTTGTAAAGATCATACGCATCCAGTCGGACTGCGGCATGTATAAGAGCAAAGTACGCAATCGTACTTAACATTAAGCGTACTTTGCTGTAGCACAAAACAAGCTCTTCAATCGTCAGTCATCTTAATAGCCAATGAAATCACCCCTATCTGCTGCCAAAGATAAGGCGCAAGTCTTCAAGCCGCTGCACCCGACAAGTTCCGATGTCGCGCCACCGCAACGTGCGCAACCGCGCGTACTCGTACGAGGACGAAGGCAAGTCGCTTCGCCTCCCTCTTCACACCCTCTACACTGTGCTAACCTGTCCGTCCCCCGCCCGCAGACTATGACGATGAGTACTACGACTACGAGCCCAACTCCCCCAACTCCAGTACGGACGGATTAATTAGGATCAATCTGAGGCCCCTAATTGACCCACTAACCCGCCACTTGTACCTCAGACGAGTTCATGTACCGCCGCGACTCGCCGAGCCGCCAGCGCTCCGTCTTCTCCTTCGTGCAGCAGGAGGAGACCCAGTACGAGCACCAGCTGGAGCAGGAGCTGACCGGCACCAGCATCGAGGACCCAGGCGACGCCGAGATCTTGGCGGCCATGGTGCCCCAGGTGCAGCAGGCCGTGGGCTGCAGGTTCTCGACCCAGCAGATCACGCAGGAGCTGCGCAGCGCCAACTACGACCTGGACAAGGCCGTGGTGGCGCTGCTGGAGAAGGGCAAGGCCCCCGTCGCCGCGGGCGGCGTGCTGCCGCTGCAGATCCAGATCCCCAAGCTCGAGGCGGTGGCGCTGGCCATCGGCAACGAGCAGAAGGAGGCCAAGCCCGTCAAGAAGGAGATTGTGATGCCCGCTCCAGCCAAGGGCAAGGCCATGGCCATCGGCGGAGCCATGCCCTCGCCGCCCAAGAAGGCGGACGAGGAGAAGAAGGCACCGCGCATCTCGGCCGCTGACGCGGCCAATGCTGCGCCGGCCATTTCGCGCGCGCAGACGCAGTTTACGCCGGCGGAGAAGAAGGCTTTTGAGCGCGCGGAGCTGAAGACGCAGGAGCAGGCGGTCAAGCTGGAGGAGGAAGCGCGTACTGCAGGCAAGACCAAGATCAGCATGGTGGTGATCGGACACGTCGATGCCGGAAAGAGTACCATCACGGGCCACTTGCTGTACAAGCTGGGGTACGTGAGCAAGCGCCTCATGCACAAGTACGCGAAGGAGTCGCGCGAGGCTGGGAAATCGTCCTTCGCGTACGCCTGGGTTATGGATGCGGATGATGAGGAGCGTGCGCGTGGTGTGACCATGGATGTCGGTACGAGCCACTTCGAGACAGCGACCAAGCATGTGACGCTGCTGGATGCCCCCGGCCACCGTGACTTCATTCCGAAGATGATCGCGGGAGCTGCGCAGGCAGATGTGGCTGTGCTGGTAGTGCCATCGGCGACTGGTGAGTTCGAGGCTGCTTTCGAGAACTCGGGCCAGACCAAGGAGCACACGCTGCTAGTGCGAAGTCTCGGCGTCTCGCAGATGGTCGTTGCGATCAACAAGATGGACATGGTAAGTATCTTCATGTTGAAGCTGACAAGATTTGTACTTGCGTAGCTCGTGCTCACATGGTGCGGTTATGATTATTACTTGTACAGGTCAACTGGGACAAGGAACGCTTTGACAACATCGTAAAATCGCTCTCCACGTTCCTCCAGGGTGCGGGCTTCCGCCCCAAGAACCTGCGATTCGTGCCACTCAGCGGTATGACAGGCGCAAACCTGGAGAAGACTGGCGGGGTGCAGGAGTGTTCTTGGTACTCAGGCCCCTCGCTCGTCGAGGCTATCGGTAGGTGACATCTAAGGCTTACAGAATCTTGAGTGAACACATCTAATCTCGTTGTGTGACCCGCGCAGACACCTTTGCTCCTCCCCAGCGCCAGATTTCCAAGCCCTTCCGAATGACGGTGTCGGATGTATCCAAGTCCATGAGTCTCGGCCAGACCATCTCTGGTCGCGTCTACGCTGGGGCTGCCGCGGTGGGCGACTCGGTAAGCAGTTCATGTTTACATCTGCTTAAGATTACGCCCGTCTAACGTATTTGCTCCTTTGTAGTTCCTTCTGATGCCAATTGGCCTTCCGCTGACAATTAAGGGTACGGTACGCCCAGGCGTAATTTTGGTCCTTCTTTCTCCTGTTTCTTACCATCACTTTTGCTGCACTGACAGGAATGGAGCAAGATAGCAAGGCATGCACGCTTGCTCGTGCAGGAGACACTATTGAAATGGGTGTTATTGGAATTGACCCGTCGGCACTAACGTACGTATCGATATCACTGCTTCCTCAGTTTCTCGAGCTTAAATCTAACAAAATGATCTACATACTTTCGAAATTGCAGCACTGGCAGCATCCTGTGCTCCATTGCGTCACCGGTGCAGCTGGCCAAGAAGTTTGAGGCCAAGATCATGACGATGCCGGCGGTGGAAGTGCCGCTGGTGAAGGGAACGTACGTGACCATCCACATGCACAACGTGGACGAGCCTGTCAACATCACAAGGTTGGTGAGCATGTTAAGCAAGACGGGCGAAGTGGAGAAGAAGAAGCCGCGCTGCATCACCCGGGAACGCTCGGCCGTGGTACAAATCACGTGCCATCGCAAGATATGCCTTGAGGAGTTTGCAAACTACCGTCAGCTCGGACGCTTCACGCTGCGCGATCGCGGCAAGACGCTGGCCGCTGGCATCATTACGCAGATTATCGCTTAGTGCTCTGAAACTTCAGGCGCCATAGATCAATCGACAATCAATACACAAGGTGCACTTATGAACGTGAACAAGCCTGCCAGCAGTCTTTTATTTGTAAGTGATGTAGGCTCTGCACTGCAGACAGCAAACCGTCTACTCCTTGAGCTCCGCGAGTTCGCCGTCCTCCTGCAGCTGCTGCACGATGTCCAGTCCGCCGATCAGCTCGCCGTTCACGTAAAGCTGCGGGAACGTGGGCCAGTTGGAGTACTTCTTGAGCCCCTGGCGCACGCTGTCGTCCGTGAGGATGTCGAAGTAGTCGTACTTGAAGCCCTCGGCGTCCAGGATATCCACGAGCTTGCGGCTGAATCCGCACTGCGGCTGCTGGGGCGAGCCCTTGATGAAGATCATGACGCGCGCGCGGTTGATCAGCCGCTCGTACTTGTTCACGTTCTTGGCCTTCTTGTCCACGCCCAGCTGCTCGCTGAGGTCGCCGTCCTCGGCCATCTCGTTGAGGATGTCCAGGCCGCCGACCAGCGAGCCCTTGACGTAGAGCTGCGGGTACGTGGGCCAGTTGGAGAACTTCTTCAGTCCCTGACGCACCTGCTCGTCGCTTAGGATGTCGAACGAGCTGAAGCCGATCTGGTGGTCGCGCAGCAGCTGCACCGTCTTCTTGCTGAAGCCGCACTTGGGCTCGGAGGGCGAGCCCTTCATGAACAGCAGCACGGGCGCCGAGTTGACGAGCGCGCGCAGACTCTCCTGGAACGCGGCCTCGGCCTCCTCGACGTTCTTGGTGAGTCCGAGCTGCTCGACGATCGAGCCCTCCGACTTCATCTCCTTGAGGATGTCCAGGCCGCCGACCAGCGAGCCGTTCACGTAGAGCTGCGGGTACGTGGGCCAGTTGGAGAACTGCTTGAGCCCCTGGCGCACCTCGTCGTCGTTGAGGATGTCGAAGGTGCCGAACTGGATCTTGTCCTCGTTCAGCAGCGCCACCATCTGCCGGCTGAAGCCGCACTTGGGCTCCGTCGGGTTGCCCTTCATGAAGAGCATGACGGGCGACGCGCTGATGAGCTTCTTGAGGCGGTACTGCAGCGCATCGTCCAGCGGCTTGGTGGTTTCCTCGGCCGTGGGCGCGGCCGACGTGGAGCTGCCGCCGCTGCTCTTGGCCACGCTCTTGCTCAGCACGTCCACGCGCTTGGCCAGCTCGGCCACGTTGGCGCCCTCGAGCTTGTCCAGCACGGCGCGGCCCTGCGCCACGACGAAGGTGGGCACCACGGTGATCTGGAAGCGCTCCGAGAGCTCGGGCAGCTCCTCGGCCGCCACCTTGAGGAAGCGGATGCGCGGGTGCAGCGTGGCCAGCTGCCGCACCACCACGTCCAGCTGCCCGTTGGGGCGGCAGGCCTCGTGGAACTCGGCCCAGAAGAAGGTCACGGACAGCGTCGACTCGCGCGCCGTGGCCTCGTCGAACTGCGCCGCGCTCTGCACGTTCACCACGCTGCCAGTCACCGCCATGGTCCGAAAGATGCGAGGATGTGGTCGAGAAGCGTTAAACCAGCCGCTGTAATTGGGAAGATGAGTGACACAATTATTGCATTAAGTATATGAAAAATATAATTAATTGTGATTTCAGCTTAGACGATACTAACTCATTGACTGAGTTATTGTGCTTTGCATCCGTTTTGGCAAAACTGAATAACAAAACTCGGTTTAAAAGCCTGTTTTAGATAAGCAAACTCTGGATCGATGTCTACCTCTGACTTCTGTCCCTCTAATACAGAGCAGTCCTTTTGTTTTAACAAACAAAGCATAGTTTGCTACGCCAGGCGTACACACTTGCTGTCGAATGCAGCCACAAGGGCCTGTGGGTCGACCAAGTCGTCGTGCTGCCGCGCAGTTTGAGATGTGATCGGCGAAAAGCTGAGAGGCAGGAGATGTACACTGTAGATCAATTGATAATAGATGCACACCCAGCTATGCTACCAGGCCTTCACTCAAGATGAAACATTTTTTTAAAACAAATGTAGTTTAAAAACTACAGTGCATGTGCTGGTGCTACGTGTAACCAGCACAGCGTTCGGAGGTTAATCTCGCTGGACGGTAAGCATTTGCTGGTCATCTGGAATGCCAAAACTAAATGACTGCACGGAGCCTCACCATAAAACAAATTCCGAGAGTCGAAAGTTTGTGGCCGCGCTGTATCGCTCAGCCTCAAAGGCTAGTACAGGCCAGCTCCGGCCACGCCGTAACAGAGTACTTAAGAACTAGCACAAAATAATAGGCCACTCAGCCCGCCTAGCTACCGTATCTGAAACCAGACGACGATGCGGTGCGTCCCGAGCCGTGTTTTGCTTTGAAGTAGCTATAGTAATGAGCACGCCGGGCGTATATTCGGGCAGTGAGATGGTGAGGAACTCCGTACTTATTTACTAGCCGAGCAGGGGCGCCCTTGGTAGAGTAGATATCGGTCCTCATTCACCTCGTAACGGCACGGATCGGCTACGTGTCGTGCACGCTGCCCGAGGCCATATCGAGCTATACGGTGCGCGCCCCGAAGCGGTAGTAGCCGCAGAGGCATGGGCGCAGCATATTCCTCTTCAAGCGCGAGCCTAATTGCGACTTTGTAGGTCTGTTTTATTGTCAAGTCTGAATTACTGAAGTGCGATTTAGAATTAAGGGAAGTCTTGATAAGGTAGCATATCGCTGCGATTCTAACCCCTGAAAATACCTTAAAGTTTGTATGGTGCTTCCGGCCAATAGGAGTGTGTCAACTGCGATTCTTAGCATTTACAACCAATAGACACTACCGTTGCTTAAAATTTCGACCAATTAAATCGAGGGAATGACTGCCAACCGCTGATCTGAACATTCCAACAATATCTGGTTGGAAACGCGATTTGATATCGAGTATGCCATACAAATATCAAGTGAACTACAAATAGAATAAATATTCATAGGCTTCCAACCCCTGCCAGCTCATCTCCGACTCCATTCTGCGTTCCGACGCACACAGGCATGTCGGTGGCATCGCTAGTTCCTGCGAACAGCCAGAGAAGCAGAGCGACGGCTGTGAAGTCTTTCGAAGACTTCCTTGCGAAGAAGGAGGTGACGCTCACAGAAGTGCATGATCGTATTTCTAAGGACAGCACAGGTAAGAGTTTGTTTGTCATTCTGGATGAGTATGGGTGGTTCTTAGTGAAAAAAATAGGAAGGTAAGGAGTAGCTCTGTCCAAGAACACTGTGCTATCTTATTTTGGCAATGTTAAGAACTGGCTGGCGGATCTGTACCCGCAACAGAGCCAATGTGTAGCTAAGAAGCTGCAAAAGATGCTATCAACTCTAGATCAGTACTGTGAAAAGAGGCCGGAGCAAGGTGTCACGAAACAAGCGCCACCATGTACTAAGAAAGATATAAAGACTATCATCTCGGCTCTCTACATGCACGCTTCCGCCAACTCCGACTACCTGGATGCGGCGCTAGTGGCGTTGGTGTGGTACCTCTACGGTCGTGGTTCTGAGGCTGAGCAATTGGAGAAAGCGCAGCTGTGTGTATACCCCGGTACGAATCGTGCAGGATTTTGAATTTTTGTATTAATTAACCCCACGAATTATGCTGACAATTCTGTGCGTATATGCTAGGCGGTATGATATTTCTCCGCTTTAAGCGTGTGAAGACTGCTTCGCAACAGGGAATCTCCCTGTTTAAGGATCCTAACGATCCCTTCACGTGCCCGTTACACGTGCTAGCTGTCGCTCTCGCCCTTCAACCCGCTCCAGGAACTCGCATCTTCCCGCAATTTGCTGCCGTACCTGCGCTGTCCGCGTCCTACGACCAAGACGACGATGGCGAGCTGGGGCTGATTGCGCAGCTAGACCGCGAGCTTGCGGAAGCACCTACATGCAAGACTCCACAGCCACGTCGAGCCAACTCGGCCCCTGGTGCCCAAGCTTATATCAATAGACTATTAGTCACGGTTAGTGGACTGCCAGCAGCAAAGGAGAGTGGACTCACGAAGGGACTTACCTCGCACTCCTTCAGAAGAGGTGGGGCCATGCACGCCAACGCCGACAGTCGCATTAGCCCGAACTGGGTTGTTGAACGCGGGGGCTGGAATATGTCGCGCGTGAGCAAGGCGTTTTCCTACATGCTGAACACAACACACGAAGATCAACAAGTTGCGCGCCAATTGAGCGGGTGGAACCCGCAAGCGGGCGCCCGACTTCCAGACCTTATCGCCCTGGACGGAGCCGTCCGAGCGCGCGTGGAGAAGCTGCAGGATCTCCTCTTCGCTGCTGTCACTGGTTTCCCGACAGTGTCTTGGAACTTGGATCCTCAGGTGCTCGAAGTGTTGATGGCGACCTTGATCCTTCACTTCCCCGAGATGGAACGCCATCGCTTGGATAACCCGTACGTCCGTCGCATTCATGAAGCCCTTGGTGTCCTCAACATACAGGCCTCCGAGCTGTTGGCATGCTCGATCACCCTCCGAGCTGCATTCAATCCACCTGCAGAAGAGAAACAAGAAACAGCGGCCGAGTCCTCTCAAAACATGATCCGTGTTCTCGAAAAGCTGTCGCAGTAGCTCGACGAGCTATTGCTCCGCCAAACACGCGTAGAGGAAAGGCTGGCTGTTTTGGGGGCGAACGCAGAATCTATTGACAAGAAAACAAACACTACCGAGCAGCAGCACGAAGACGTTGAGCAGTCGCAGCCAAAGCGCGCGCGCAAACGTGCCTCCAAAGCGCTATCGACAGTGGTTCGCTGCTGTACCACGCATGTACGAATCAACAACCGTTAGCAAAGCCATCCTTCACGAGTCACGACACGCAGTTGCATTCATGATGCTCTGCTTACCTTCTGGGTTCAAGCTGGATCCGGCCTCGCCAGCGTACAAGGCGGAGGTTCACGCTGTTGGAGTCGAAGCCGAGAAGAAGACCCTTGAATACTTGGCTGCACAAGGCTCACAGGCTGTAGCCGTTGCCTCGGTCGTCAAAGCCATGCGTGCGCTTCACAAAGCAGGCCACCTTTCCGTCCTCCTTGACCAGTTTCGCGAGCGCTACTATGAAGGCGAAGTCGTCGACCCGACACCCAATTCTGCCCTTCCGCCATTCCTGCGCTTCACCTAAATGCACACGCAGCACACTAAACAGTCAATAAGATACACAATACGTACAACAGGAGTAGCACACACTCTCTTAGCCGACCTGTCCAAAAAGCAAAAACACATAATACTTGATGCCCATGTCGGGGTTTGAACCCGATCATCCAGGCCCGAAGGCCTGGCGCTCAACCTCACGAGCTCCATGGGCGCGGGTAAGTCGCATCCATCAACAGCACCATACTCGTCCAAACCCTCGGCCACTTGAGCCACACGCCACGAGAGCGCACAGGCGCAACCCAACACACGTCCCAGCAGCGCACATAGCCCAGCAGCAAATGGCCCGGCGTCAGTAGCACACACGGCCCAGCAGCACACACACGGCCCAGCAGCACACACGGCCCAGCAGCACACACGGCCCAGCAGCACACACGGCCCAGCAGCACACACGGCCCAGCAGCACACGCAGCCCAGCAGCGCAGACGGCCCAGCAGCAAGCGGCCCAGCAGCACACACGGCCCAGCGGCCAGCAGCGCCTGTGTACAGGCAGAGACAACAGCAGCACAGTCAGCACAGGTAGCACAAGCAGTGTTGCACGACTCGCAGCACTAACCTGGAAGCTTCTGGACTGTTGGCCGAGAATCCAACCGGCGGTCGTGAGGTTAAATATCAGCTGAACAAAAACCCTAATACCGTTGCTAGACCGGTTTTGGTTGGAAGCAGTCCAACCCCGTTGGAATTTTGACGGTATGGAAGCCAAAACGGACGGCATTCTGCGTGCAAAGCACAATAACGTTGACAATTAATTTCATCTGAAGCTGATCTTAACTCACTGATCAATTAATTGCTAGTGGAGGCATAGTGAAGTCAAGTGAATCAGAAGCATAAATACTTTTATTCTCAGGTTTCGTCTACAAAATGGCAAAATATGGTGAGCTTCTATCGTCGCGGTCTCGAGGGTGGTGCCGGCACTCAACACGTCCCAGCGCTCCCCACTCACAGCTCGTGGCGCTCGAGGATCACAAACGAGTCCTCTAGATTGGCGTTGGCGCGGACGCTGCCGACGGCGCGAACGGGGGTCGCGCGCGGAAGCGGTGGGCGCTCGAGCCGCATGGATGCGCTCATCTCGTCGGCCTGCTCCGCCCACCGAGAAGAGATGAAGTACGTCGAGCTGGCGTTTGCGGGGACTGCCGGCAGTCCTGCTCCTGTCTGCAGCTCCAGCATCACATAGTCGCTTGGGATCTGTGCTGCGTCGGCCTCCACGACTGTCGCCACGGGGATGTCGCTCTCGTCCACCTGCTCTTCGTCCCCCTGTTGCTGCTGCTGCTCTGCATGGCTGTCATCACCCACCTGCTTGGCTGCGGGCAGCAAGTCGCCGACCGCTTCCACCGCCACGGGAACGCCTGCTCTCTGCTTCCTCTCGTCTTCTTCCTTCTGCTCCTGTTGCTGCTGCTGTTCCCCTTTCTTCGTGCTCCTCCTCGTGTAGTCCCTCTCCTCCACGAAGAACGCGCTCTGACTCAGCGCCTTCTTCGGCTTCTCCAGACTGCCGGAGCTTGCTCCGCCCCACCGCATGCTGTCATCCTTGCGGTAGTTGAACATGGAGCGACTCATCTGCTCGTACAAACTCTCGCTCGTCACCTGCGCCGCCGGGACCTCCACGGCCGTGGGCGCCACCAGCCCGTCCACCGACAGCGTCGGGAACACGAGGCTCATGGGCTCCACGGGCTCCGGAGACACGTTTGGGTTCACTTCGGGCCGCACGTGGATGCGCTTCTGACCGCGCACCTTCTCCACGTCGATCACGTGCAGCATCAGCGCCTTGTCCGGGCAGTCGAAGGTCTCCTGCAGTGCGCGCTGTAGCACCGTGTTGCTGCTCACCGACACGTAGCGCCGCTCGCCAGCCTCGTCGCCGGGGACCTGAAGCAGCAGCGCAATGCGCATCTCGTCGCCCACGCGGTCGCGCGCCAGGCGCCGCAGGAACGTGAGCCCCGCGGCGAAGAGGTACCAGGCGTCCACAGGCACGGGCTCCGCGCGCGTCTGCTCCGGGAACGTCACGAAGCAGGACGAGCGCACGACGTCCGCGCTGGCCGGCCCGCCCCCCATGTCTATAAGTCGAGTATTGGCGAATGCCGCTTCGGAAGCTGGCCTTCTTCCGACCTCATTATAGCAGGAATTGGTACAGTGTACCACTGCGCGAAATTTTGGCCTGTCTCTTCATCAGATCTCGTAGGTTGGTGGAGTGACACGCACCGATACATTTTCTATTTGAAAAATCTGAGAAATGTGAGATACATAATTCGAAAACGAGAGGAATTTTATATTAACAGGAGACAGTATAAGGAGAAGTTTTCTTTTAGAAGAATGTATGGAAGAGCAGGCTATTTTCGGTTTAGGAGCAGTTTGGGATGTGCGCTCAGGAGCAGTTTTCGAGTGACGAAACGCGCTGCTTCGCATCCGCACATTAGCGTCGTAAGCTGGGATTGCTGCACTCGGCGTAGTTCGTCTCGATTGTTTGTCGCTGCAGGGGTTTGTAGTTTATGGTCGCCTATTAGGCTGTACGTTTATTTGTAAGGACTCAGCAAGGACTCTGCCATAGAACACTTTTCGTCTTCTCTTCCACTCGGAAATTGAAGCCGCCATCCTCTCGGCTGCATGCACAAGATAAACGCCCTCCTTTCAGCAGCACGTAGTTTGCGAGCTGCATAAGCCAAACGAGCTTGTGTTGAGAACGAACCTTGTACCTAGCTGCACTAGACGGAACCGGAAGGCTGCATATATCCCAAGATCTTTACAAAGAAGCACAATTGCGTGAATCTATCTTTGCCAGCGTTGCTACAGTGTTGTGGCAACTTCTACAACCAAACACCCATATTATCAAGCAAGTTTTCAAGACCCGTATGCACATTCAAATGAATATGCCTACTTAGCTGTAAACTGAAGGCTCCAAAAAATAATCTCGATAATATTATTCTCGTGAAACAATGCAATTCTCGCACAGAAAACCCTGCCATGAGCTACATGCCACTTATGTCGGCCCACCTACAGCCATTGCAGCCGCCTGCAACGTCAAAACCTGCCAAGCCGACACTTCCAGCGCAGGCACCGTGCCCGCTGTCCCCCACAGTTGAAGAGCAATTCTATGTTTCGTACCCGATTTTGGCCCCGAACCGCGGCCGGACCGGTCAGCCGGACCGTGGACCGCCGAGGGCTAGGGCGGGTTTTGACTCGCGCCCCGTATACTTGACTCGATTTCGGTATGCCAGGAGCCTCCTACCCATTCATTTGGCAGCGCAGGGGCTGCGCCTCGCTGGCTCGGGCCGCACTCTTCGCTCGAATTCATCCTCGGAAACTCTCTCAACATGGCGGAAGTTGCAACTGAAGTGAAGCTTTTCAACAAGTGGTAGGTAGCAGCTTTCTCTCGCGCGCATCATGGCGGCGCGCAGACAGACAGGTGCGCCGCGTCGCGGCGCGTCGAGCCGTACCGGTCTCAACCGCAGGCGCCCAGCGGCGCACCCAAAACAATGAAATCACACAGCAGAGCAGCCCAGCTCTAAAGAATCAGCGCGCCGCCTGACGATTAATAGGCTAGTATCACCCAAGCAGCAGCAGCTAATACAGGTGTGCTTCGAAACAGGTCGTACGATGACATCAGCGTCGCGGCGGACATCTCCCTGGAGGACTACATTGCCGTAAAGGGAAAGGCCGCCACGTTCCTGCCGCACACGGCTCAGCGCTACCAGAAGAAGCGCTTCCGCAAGGCGCAGTGCCCCATTACGGAGCGCCTGGTGAACGCGCTCATGCGCAAGGGCCGCAACTCGGGCAAGAAGCTCAAGGCCACGCGCATCGTCAAGCACACGCTTGAGATCATCCACCTGCTGACGGACCGCAACCCGCTGCAGGTCGTGGTGGAGGCCGTCATCAAGTCGGGCCCGCGTGAGGACTCGACCCGCGTCGGCTCGGCCGGTGTGGTGCGTCGCCAGGGCGTGGATGTGTCGCCCTTCCGCCGCGTGAACCAGGCCCTGTACCTGATCGCCACGGGCGCCCGCGAGGCCTCGTTCCGCAACGTCAAGACCATCGCCGAGTGCCTGGCCGACGAGCTGATCAACGCCTCCAAGGGCTCGTCCAACAGTTACGCTATTAAGAAGAAGGACGAAATCGAGCGTGTGGCCAAGGCCAACAGATAAGCGGATTGCGCGTGGTCGTTGCGCGAGGGGAGTCTGGATGCAAGTTCAGGCCTAGCAGGGGTGGAGACGAGCAGGGAGACGCAAAGCGGCAAAACAGCTACAGGATCGCGGACAGTGGAGCAGGGAGTGGTCAGCCACTTTTTGGTCGATATTCTCTCTTCTTTGGAGGGATGCTGGCGCGCGGTTCTGTTGGCTGCGTGGAGTGTTGTGGCATGCTCGCTTCCGGTATTTTACGTACGACTTCTGCCGCCCTCGGCGACAACATGGCGAACCGATTAAGGACCGACTTCCGTTTATTCTGCTTGATTGGGTTGGAATAAAATGTGATACACCGAGTTGTTGAGAGCACCAAAGCCCGCGTTTGAGAGATGTTGTTTGCTAGCATTAGACTTGGGGGGAGAATAACGACAAGTGTGTGGATGTTGTATTGCAGGTTGAAGGTCAGTCGAGGACGCCTTCCAGGTCGACGTCGGTCTTGCCAGCGCGGAGCTGCTTGATGATGGCCTTGAGGCGGTTCATCTGCTCGCTCTCGGAGTTCTTGTTGGCGTTGTTGGTGATGAGCTTGACGCGCGACGCGTACGTGAGTGAGGTGACGGTCTCTTCCTGCGGATTGACAAGCACGCAGAAGAGGGGTAAGTGTCGGGAGTGATCGACATCCTGTTGCTGTTGCTGTGTGTAGCCATTCAAGACAAAGCCAAGACGTGTACCTGGTTGTAGTCGGCCGGAGAGATGTTGACAAACATGAGCTACCAACAGCGAAGTGCCAAGACACGAAGGATCAGCCCTCAAGACAAGAACATTGGTATGAAGCAGAAGAAGTATGACGCACCGTTTTGGCATTGCCGCCGAGGGAGTCCTGCATCAGCTGCGTCAACTGTAATCGCGGACAAGCAAAGGTGAGACCTCATGTGCGATCTAAGCCATGGAGAAGTGGACTGGTTGGTACAGTACCTTGTTGTTGCGGTACGGGATGAACTTCTCGTTTGTTGACAGCGCCGAGATGACGTCGCCCAGAGCTGTGAGGACAAGAATGACACGTGAGAGAAGTCCAAGTCATCTTTTGGCCAGCAAATGCTTACCGCTGAGGCTCTTGTTGATGGCTTGAGCCTCCTTCAGACGTTCAGCCGTGGCTCCTGTTTTGCCTGCACGCTCCGAACCAGCAAGATCGACAAGACTGAGCTTGCCGATGGTCGTGGCCTTGGTGGTTTTGTTGTAGCTCTCGACGAGCAGCGAGAAAATGGAGTGGCTGCGGCTGCTCTCGGCGTTCATCTTGGTGGCGCCGACCTGCCGCTTCTTGTTGGCGGCCTCGAAGAGCCTCAAGGTCTGCTCGGGCGACGTGCACTTCTTGAGCGTGGCGTTCTGGACGACGACCATGCCCTTGTCGTTCTTCTTGATCTCCAGCTTGATGTCGTGCGCTCCGCCGCCCTCCATGAGGTGGAACAAGTCGATGAGCGAGTCGTTGTAGAGCTCCAGCATCGTGGCCTGGAAGCTCACAGTGAAGTTGGCCTTCCCCTCTTCGGCCAGCGCGAAGAGATGGTGAATAGCTCGAGGGCTGAGTCCCGGGTCGCCCTCACTACCCGTCATTGTGAAGGTTTTACCTGATCCGGTCTGGCCGTACGCGAAGATGCAGACGTTGTAGCCGTCCACAGCGCTCTGGAGGAGGTTTTTCGTGTCCTCGAACACCTGGACCTGCGTGCTGGCCGGTGAGAAGACCTGATCGTAGGCGAAAGTCTTCGCGGCTCGGTTGCCGCCGCTCACCTCGAGCGAGAACTCGTCGATGAACTTGACGCACGGAGCGCAGCCTCGTTCGTTCTCCGAGCCGCTCATGGGGCGACAGCGAGCGTACACGCGGATTTTGCCTTTCATGTCTTCGATCTGGTTGTAGTACTTCTTGCGCAGTGCCTGCTCCTCGCGGTAGCTCGTCTCCAGCGTCGCGTACTGCGCTTTGGCTTCGCGGAGTTCGTTATTAAGTGGTGCTACCAGTGCTGCTTGCTCGCGCAGTTGAGTCACTTCCGTCTCGAGTTGTCCGAGCTGCTTGGCCTTGCCACCAGCGACGCCGAGCTCCTTCTGCAGAGCTGCAGTCTGCTCTTGCAGCTCCTGCGAGGTCTTCTGAGCAGCTTGAAGCTGTTGAGTGAGCGCGGTGATCTCCTTCTTGGCGGCCTTTTCGTTGTCTTCGAATGTCTTCTTGTGCTTCTTCTCCATGTCCGCTACACGGCGGTCTGACGCTGCGCTGCTGCCTCCTCCAGCATTGCCACTTCCACTCCCACCGCCGCCACCGTTGGCTAGCTGCGTCTCCGCTTTGGCGAGGGCAGCTTCAAGCTGGGAGATTTTGACGCGGTCAGCTTTGGCTTTCGCCTCAAGTGCTCGGAGCTTTTGCTTGGCGTCTTCCAAAGCTTTACCCCCTCCTGCAGTTGATACCGGGGCCGAATTTTGAGGTGGAGAGCTCTTCTTCTTGTGAGCTTTCTTGTCTTCATCGCGCTGTTCGGCCTTCTTCTGCTTCTTCTCGAGCATTTGCCGTCTTTTCATTGCGGCGGCTGCTGCCTTTGCCTCCTTTCGAGCCTTACGCTCAGCCAGTCGAGCTGCTGCCTGCTCTTCTCGAGCTCCCAGCCACTGCTCACAGCTATCACGGACTGCATCGAGCTGCTTGCGAAGTGTTTGCGGACCACGCGCAGGTGGAAGACGAGCAGACTCGGCCAAGACACGCTTTAGGAGGGAACTCTCTTGCCGTCGCTGCTTGTCGTGAAGCGCCTGCAGCTCTGCGATGCATTTTTCGGCGCATTTCGCGTACGTTTGGTAGCATTTGGCTTTGTCACCACGATTGAACTGCGCTTTGCCCCGTGCGACGGCGTCGCTGATCAACTGGACGAGATGAAGGGACCGTGCGGCGTCCTCTTTGACGTCGGGGCTTTCGTCCTCTTCTGGTTCCTCCTTGTCATCCTCTTCAAGACTCTGGTCCGCTGATTCATCTTCATCGTCCTTTGCTTCAGCTGTAGCAGCAACTTCAAACTCCTCTTCGCCGTAGTCATCGTTCTGTTCCTGGTGATCATCAGGATCTTTTGCTTCAGAGTTTGGTTTAACTTCATCCTCGATGTCACCGCTCGTTTCAATCTCACTGCGAGATTTCGCTTCACTGTGTGGGTGTAGCTCGCTGTCCGCTTCTGAGAGCTCGAGGTGGAGTCGCAGTTGTTCGATCTCCGATTCAAGTCGGGCTTTCTCGGTGCGACGCTCGTCAATCTCTCGAGATAAACCAGCAATCTCCTCCTGAAGTGCTTGTCGCTGCTGCTGCAGTTGACGATCGAGCTCTTCCTTTAGGTTTTGATCCACAGTTTTGACGTCATTTGCTTGATCTGCCACTTGTGCAGTGTCAGACCTCGACACTGACTTTTGCATCGCGTGCTCATTCCGAACACCATCCTGTCTAACGGAAGCCTTGTCAGATGGGCTTTCTTGAGACTTTGCGCCGATGACTTCTTTTGCCAGTTCAACCTTCTCAGTATTCGGCTCGTCAAGGTTTTGTTGCGAGGAGTTAGTGGTCGCTAATTGGGAGCGAAGTTCTAGTAGCTCCTTCTCCAAGGCAGCATCAGCGTCATCTTGAAAGTCGGTCGTGGTAGCGTCGGTGCCGCTGTCTCTGGTTAAGGTTCTCGCTTCAGTGCTGGCATCGGTGGTCGAGATACTAACCTCTGTGCTGACATCCGTGGTCGAGGTGATAGCTTCTGTACTTGCATCTTTGGTCAAGATTATCGCAGAGGATGGTCGTGAATCTGACTGGGAAGCTGGTCGTGAGCTCTTCTCCGCTGTGGTACTCCGGCTACTCTCATCAAGGTCAAAGGGGCTTGTTTCATCTCCCACACGCTCTTCGGCAACGCGTCCGGTTCGAACGGACTTTACAACTGCAGCTCCAAGTGCTGACCATCGACTTGACGCGTCAATTCGGAGAGCTAAATCGTGGTGTTGCTGCTTCAGCGTCAGTACAAGTTGCTTCTGAGAGCTGAAAGCCTTTTCAGCCTCTTTGAAGGCCAGATACTTATCCTTCACCTGCGCTTTGTCCTCAATGGTCGGTTCTCGGCCGTATTGCTGCTGGAATGATGAAAGCCAGGCCTTGACGCCATTTTTCGCAGTCTTCTTGGCTTTTGTCAGAGCTTCGAGCTTCTCTTTCGCCTCATGGAGTGTAACTTTCGAGCGTATTAACGCTGTACTCCGCTCACGAGCGACTTCAACTTCGCTCTCGTACTTGGTCTTGTCCAGTGGGAGCGTGGGGACTTCAGCACCATCAACACCAGTGACCTCACATACAGTCTCTGCTGTTTTCGCTTCTTCTTTCGACTCTTTCTCGAAGTCCTCCGTTTGTGTGGGGGTATCTGACGTTGTAGGTGGGGCTTTTGTTGGTGTACCCTCTATCGTCACCACAACAGCGTGGACTAGCATCTCCACCGTCTCTCGAACTGCTTGAGCCTCGATGAAGTCGAACCGATCTCGAGCGGCTTTTAACCTTCGCTCGAGTATTTGTTCACGAGATCCTGCGGCTTTGGCCTTCGCTTCGAGGTCACGAAGCCTATCCTGGAGTTGTGCAGCGCGTTGTGCCTCAACAATCTGTTGTTTGCTGTCGACAACACTATCAATCAGTGAGTAAACGAAGCGCTGGACGTCCAAATTCGCCGCAAAATGTCTTCGAAGCTTGGCCGCGTTTTCCAAGAAGGCATGGTGTTGGCTCTCCATACCCAAACGAGCGTTGCAAAGCTGCTCGTCCACGCGCATCCCTTGACTATGCGCGTCTTCGATGCACATCTGTAACTCGTCACGAATTTGCCGCTGTGCTTGCTGGCCTGTACACGCTGCCACTCGAGACACACGTGCTATTTCGTCCAGAGCCACCTTCTGTTCCTTGGCGAACTCGTCTTCGTGAGCTTGCAGCGCGCGTTCAAACTCGCACCGCCAGGCTTCATGAGCTCTCAAGTGTCGAAGACGTAGACTCTCTTGCTCATCAAGCAGCATTTTCTTCTCCTTCGCGTGGAGCTCTTCCCGCTGAGCGCCAGCCTTTTCCAGTGCAATATATTGCTCTCGTGACTCCTTCAACTTCGACTCGGCTCGATCTTTAAGCGCTCGGACGCGCGCTTCATGCCGCTCGCGAGTGTCTTTCTCGATCCCGCGGTAGTGCTCTAGAATTTCGTTCAGTTTCTCGACCTGCTCGGCTTTCATCGCGTGCATATCTGCCACAACTTTGCTCAGTTGAGCTCGTGCTAGCGCCACGGGGATATAGCTTTCTTCACGCTCTTGCATCGGCGCTGGAGGCAACGTGCCGAGTTCCAGTACTTTGCCAGCATGGAAATCCGTCGTAAGCGGCAGTGGCGCTACTTGGACGAGATTCGGGGCCGGGAGCATGCCGTTGTTGCGAGGATGCTGAAGAATTTGATGTGGAATGGCTGTACTCGCTGTTGAATCGATTCCTGGTAAACCGGAACTTGGGTCCGACATCATGAACTCAACTTACGCTACTTGAAGCGTTAATGTCGATCAGTAGGAACGCTCGGATCTGGCTGCATGAGCTGCTAAGGCAATCATGCAGCCGTCGATGAAAGCTCGAGCGAGAAATACTGAACATCAAGCTCGTTTGAAACGGACCTGGCTAAATCGGACGCATTTCAAGATAGCTAAGCTCATCGAGCAAAGCATCGAGACCCGGAAGTACTGCACCGCGCTGTCCGTAGTGCGTTTAGGTGGATTGACTTCGAGATCGCGATTAAACGCCGAGCTCGACCGGGTTATGGATGGTGTAGCTGCCTTATGCTACTAGCACCGAACAATTCCGGATGAATCACGTGCGTATCTTTCTGTTCGCGCACCGAATTCAACTTCAACATGCACAGACGATGAGTGACCAATTCAAGTCCACAGGTTCATACGTTAAATCTATTATCTACTGTCCTTCCTTACTCGTAGGGTTCGTCCTCAAGGTACATGGTGCTGTGTGAACGTTTGGAGCCTTCGTGGTGACGGTCCTCCGGTTCCTGCTCCTGCTGCAGGTGAGGGAACCGCAGCAGCGGCGTGAGCAGAGCGCAGGCCAAAATGATGATGCCCGTGTAGAGCAGCCCCGTGCTGTAGCCGGTGGTGCTACGGAAGATGATGCCGTAGATCACGCCGCCCAGGTTGCCACCGGCACCGACCAAGCCGTTGACGGTGCCGGTGTGCTGCTCGTTCAGATACGGCACGATGCCGTACGTGGACCCGCCCGTGGCCTGTGCGGCAATGGCCACAAGCACATACAGCGCTATGCAGGAGCCGAGCGAGTCCAATTGACTCAGAGTGATCACCAGTGCGCCCAAGATACAGAGCAGCGTGAACTGCACGCACTGCCGGCCACGCATGCCCAGTCGGCGGTTTACTGCGTCGGAGGCCAGGCCGCCCAGAGCGCGAGCGAACATGTTCATGAGGCCAAAGGACGACGCCACTGTCGCGGCGTTCGTCTTGGACAGCAAGTAGCACAGGGTACCACCGGTGGGGGTACAGCCCTTCTTAGTGAACTGCGTGTAGAAGTAGAGCGCGCCCATGTTGTTGAGCTGTAGCTCAGTGCCGAAACACGCGGCGTACTGCGCGATCATGACCAGGACATTCAGGTCTGTTAGCACGATCTTGAAGGACTGCAGCATGCTCATAGGCTTGGGCTGTTCACCTGCAGCAGTCTGCGTCATGGGGAGGACACTGGAGCTGGCGCTGATGCTGATGCGAGCAGGAGCGGCCCGGCCACTCTGCTCTGCTTGACGCTTGGTGTTCATGAGCTCCTGGAAGTCGCCCGTCGGACAGCTATCAACGGTGAAGCGGATCACAGTGCCCATGATAATCATCAGCACGGCAGGCAGGGCGATGGTGATTCGCCAGCCCAGGTCGTCCGAGACGTGGCCGCCCAAAGTGATGGCCTCGTACACGAACGGCAGCACCAGGAAGGCGAAGCCGATACCAGACAAGCCCAGTCCGCCGGTGATGGCGTTGGCCGTGCCGGCCACATTGCGGGCGAAGGTGATGGTGGTCCAGTACTGACTGGAGACGAAGACGCAGCCCACCAGGCCGATGAAGAACCGCACGATGAGCAGACTCGTGGTCGAGTTGACGAATGCAGCGCAGATGATGGGGATGGCTCCGAACCAGAGCACTGAGCTCTGCACTACCTGCGGGCCATACCGATCAAGCAGCGGGCCGGACGCAATGCGGGAGAAGATGGTGCTGGCTGTACTCGCAATATCCGAGTTGAGCACCTCTCCGTCCGTGAGTCCGAGCTGCGTCTTGATCACCGGCATGAGCGGTGGGATGGCGTACCAGCCGATGAAGCCCATGATGCCCGACATCCACGACAGGTAGAAGATGCGCATGTGCGGCCGCAGCATGCTGGACGGCTTGATGGCCGTGGCCCGGTCGAACTGCTTGTGGTCCACCGGCAGGTCGTACGACTTGGCCGGCACCACCTCGGGCTCGTCGATCTGGAAGTACGCGCTGTGCGGCGTCTGCGCGGGCGACGGCAGGCCGCTTTGTCGCGAGGAGAGCTCGCGTGCCCGAGGCGTCAATTGGAGCGAGCTCAGGGACACATGCCGGGACTGCGGGAGCTGGTAGGGCGACGCCTTGTCGGCAGCTTGAGGGGCCATGGCCGTGGACTAGTGGCTCGGTGTGTGTGGGGTGGGCACCGTGAGGCAAGTAGCAGAATGACCTCAAGTCACTGGAGACTTGGGCCATCGGCTTTCCGCGCCGTCCGCGGCTCGGGCCGTTTGGATCCGGACTGCACGTGGCCGCGGCCGGCCGCTTCGCATGCAGTCTTGAGGCCGAGCGCCATACAAAGAGCAAGGCAAAAGAGCAGCAACGTTGCCTACGTGAACGCGCCGGGATGAGACCGCCGACATAATGCCTCGTCACTTGCCGTTTCTGAACCAATCAACGGGTCAGACAGGCTCAAGCTTATGCGCACGCGCCGGTAGACCGCCGAACGCTTATGCCGGTGGCGGCAGACGCCCGAATCTTCGCGCTGATTGGCTAAAGGGCTTGCGTTCCGGTTGTTGCGTGGAGGTATAGCACGTCGCAGGTTGCCGGTGATCTGCTTGGCCAATCGCTCGGACTCGAGGCTCTCGCAGTTCCCGTGCAATTCTCCACAGCGATACACTGCAGTTTTGGCACAATGTACTGTATTTCCATTGCACGCTGGCGCTTGGCGAGGGCGATATAGTTGCTTGCTCCGGGGTGCATGTCGTTGCAATTGCAAAGATAAGCAGTGCGTTCTGCTTGGCGTGCAGGCTCGTGGTGCTGTACGAGGCGTTTAACACCACCAGCAAAACGGCCAATGGCGCGAGTTGTGTGTTACTGGAAGATCGATACCAGTACAGTATATCATTCCGGTAGTCAGACTTGCGGACAGATTGCTGGAAGTTCGCAAAGCTTCTCTATAATTCTTGCCGGAAGATCGCCGCTCACGAGCGAGATCGTTGGTTTCCCTGCATCTTCGCGTGCCATTGCGCGGCCAGTTGGGCCGGCGCTTCAACTCGATGGAGCAGCGCCAAGTGGTCGCGACGAATTACCTTCATCCTGGGCGATCGAGATACATGCATCCATTCAGCGCCGAATTATTTTACAATGACCTAGCACAAACGCACCGCTGGACGAGCGAGGCCACTTCACTCTGAGCATCTAGCTTTGCGCTTTCTTGCTCCCGACAGTTTTTCTGCAGTGCCTGGAGATCTCTGTTCAAGACGAATGTTCGTCAGTATTACTAAGTAGTAGTAGGAATTAGCTCTATCAACACGCAACAGCAACAGCAACTTCCAGTACCGGTGAGCAATTTGAAGCGCGTGTTCCTTGCTTGTCCGAGACTCTTTTTCCTCTGTATCATAGTAAACGAAAACCATTTCAGTCGATTTACAAGACCTGTTAAAGCCACAGCAGACTGTTGCTTACCGTTAAGCTGTGTCTTGAGCTGTTGTGTTTCTTCTTCCAGTGCCTTCGTGTGTGACTTCGTTTCCTGAGGCGGAAATTCAGCAAAAATATTATCTTTATGCTGTCCAGAACGAGATAGCAACGGCAACTCCACTGACGTCGAGAAACGTCGACAACTTCTGCAGCCTGGCTTCGGCTTTTTCTCGCTGGGATTTCTCGCTTTCCCACTCGATGCGCAGCCGCGAGAGAGTTTGGTTCAAATGGCGGAGCTCGAGGTCCATTTTACGGAACTCGTCCGCTTTTCTCTTCTCCAGCGCGTCGCGGTGTTCCTACCATCCATGCTGCCTAGTTAGTACAGTGTTTCTCAAAGCTATTTGTTAGACTCCATAACGCACCTGGGTGGTCTTCCAGCCATCTCTATCAAGCTGATACTGTTGATGCAGGCGGTCACGTTCTTGCGTCACGGACTGCCTTGAAATCGCTTCCAACTTTATCAAATGCAGCCAAAAGGTCAGGCAGAATTTGATAGAGCATTTCCAATACGGGCCGCGCATACTTGAACTTGGCCCTGCAACGTCGATACTTGGCTTCGAGCATCTTCAAGTTCGCTCGACATGCGCTCCAAGCTGTACAAACGCACAGAAAGGTCAGCATAATTATCGGTCCTTTTGCTGAAAGGATGGCGCAACTTACGCTTGGGTTTTCTGCTGATCCTCTAATAGTAGCCGCTTGCTCGCTCCCTGCTCGTTTTCCAGCTCTGTCTGAAGGCGCTCGCAGTCTCGCTCGACCATGGCCTGCAACACAATTTGTTGTCAAGATATTGCCATATTTTTTTCTAGCGACAGCACTGCTCCGTTACCACTCGTGCTTGTAGTTTTGAGTTCTGCTCGCGAGGACATGTTAGTATACAACAATATGGAATGAATTCACAGCAGCTTGTTGCCCCACCTGTTCCTGCATTTCCTCCGCGAAGCGAAAAGCTTGCTCTCGCTCCATTTCAAGTGCTTTGAGCTGTTCTTCTCGCTGACGGCGAACTTCCGCCATCTCTTCAATAAGTTGCGCTTGATCCTGCTTTGTTTGCTGCAATGCCTTGAATTTATCTTCGTGTTCGCTGCAGAGGCCAGTCAGGTACGTCATCGAAAGAAAATCAACATGGTGACCCCGCTAAATAGCGGCATGCTGCACTCAATTCGTACCGGATCCACACAATGAGCGATTGATACTCGTCCTGGGCAAGTTTTAGTCGCCCAAGCAGCTCAGTTTTCTCTTTCTGACGAGAACGACAACAATCCAATCTTAAGTGACCAATACATTGGAAGCTTCATTCTCCATCCCACCTCTTGTTCGTCAAAACGGCGCTCTCGGTCTGCCAAATCGCTGGTTACTGCGCGATATTTCGATTGATACTGAACCAGCTCCTCTTCAACTGCTTCTGACACCTCAGCGTGCTTTTTCTTCAGCTACAGCACCACAACATGGAACAAATAAGCTCATTACATAATGATACTTTGACCACTGCTTCAGTACCTCCTGGACGTAGATGGCCACCACGAGTGCCTGCTGGAAGAGCTCGTTCTTCGTGATCGAGAGTAGGAACTCCTTCACGTCTCCAAACTGCGAGCGTTGCAGCAGTTGGCGAACAATGAGCCCAGCGTTGGCCTCCGAGCTGTAGTTAGGAGCCTTCAGCCGCCCAGACTGCTTCGCACTCCGTGTCGACCGCTTGTCTCCGACTGGAGCTGGCGGCACAGTATTATCCACCACTCTCAATGACGGCGAGTCTTCACCCGTGCTGCTGCTCGCCGATCCGTTGCGTTTGACCACCTTCTTCTTCTTCGGTATCAGCGTCTTCACTCCATCCACGGCCAACGAATTGGGCTCCGTGGCCACATTCTCCTTCTCTCGGATCTGCTGCCGCCGACGCACGAGACTCGCTCGGTCCATTCCTTCAGCTCGGAGCCGTTACTGACAGTGAATACGAAGTCGTAGCGACCGACCATTCACTACCGTACCAACTCGATCTCCATGAAGATGGCGTCTGGGCTCCATTGTCGGCATTGTCGGCGTGTTCATGTGCGCCGTGTACCGTCTTTTAGTGACTGCGACAGTGCATTTTCCCGCCTGCAGCAAGAGAGGGAAGAAGCAAGCGGATGAGTTCATCACCGCCACGTGACTATGACAGCGACGGCCACCAGGACGACGACAGCACGCAGCCGACACCAGACGAAAGAGGTGCCGGAACGCAGAGCAAGACGAAGAAGCGGGGCTACCGGAAGGCATTGCACGCAGTCCGCAAAGTAATACGGCTACTAACCTTATCGCGGTGGTGGCCAAGGCCTGTCGACTGACTCAATTGGTGCTACAATTGTCAGGAGGAGATCGATCGACTGCGCGTCGAGATGGCGCAGCTGAAGCGGCAGATGCTGGAGCTGCAGCAGCGTGCAATCGCCCCCAAGCGTGGCGCCGAGGACAAGGAATTGTATACAAACGTGCTGCACAACGTCGCCAAGAGGCAGCAGAAGGCCTTCGTGGACATCCAGGCGGCCATGACTGGCTACGCGGCCAGCGCGACTCAGTCCGGGAGTCCTATCCAGCGGACGCTCGTCTTGCCCCGAGACGAAGCGTCTCGACGGAATACGCTGCGCTCGATGAAGGCCTTGAAGCTGCAGGACGCGCGCAACTTCTTGAGTCGGAGACTGTCGCACCTCAACCCGCTCAATGCCATGTCCGAGGAGCATCGGTTCGAGAATGACGACGGCGATTACTGGGCCGTCCGCCTGGTGGTGTCCCAGTTTGAGTCGGCTCAGAGCACCAAGCAGGTGTTCGATCTGGTCGTGTACTACCTGTCCAACAGCGAGATCAGCATCTCGGAGAAGGTGGGGCACCTCACAGTCCGAGAAGATGACGATAATGGCGAGGCGGGCATCATGCAGCACTACTTGTCGTCCTTGACGGGCAAAGGCGTCCGAATGGAATCCAACACCGTCATTTTCCACGAGTATTATGAAGCTGGGCCTGATAACCCCCAGAATTCCTACGGACTGATCGTCTCCGAGTTCGTGGACGAAGACGAGCGACATCCGTATCGCTCGAGTGAACGAGTTCGCAAGGATGTGAACGCCGTGATGGAGGTGCGGTCCTATACTCGGCGTCCTCGACGATTCGGGGTCTCTGGGCAAGAAGAAAGCCTAGACGAGGAGAAGGTGGTGGTGCTCACGCAATGGTCTCACTCTCGTCTACGCCGGCCCAGTTTCTCCGTGCGAAAGGATGGATGGCACGAGCTGCGTGAAAACATGGATCGCTGGAGCCAAAATATGCACAAGAACATCATGGAGACGCTGGAGCCTGCGATCCAAGGCCGTCTGTACTGAACGATGTTGAAGTTAACTGTAGCAGCCTACGTTCCCCTATCAAGGAGATGACTTGATGGGTGGAGTTCTTAGTACCACAGCGCCTTGTTCCAGTACACGCTCTTCTCGTTTGCCAGATCGTCGTCCGCGACCGTAATGGTGTCGTTGAACACGATCTCCACGCCATCACTGGACTCGTTGTACCGCGGCCAGTACGGCTTGTCGTCGGGCCAGGCCGAGTTCGGGTTGCTCGTGATCACGAAGCAGAGGAGGTATTTCTGCATTTGCCTCGCGACCGTCGCATTCACTGGGGACGTGATTGAGCTCGACAGGGCCGTCAACGCTGCGGCCTCCGAAGTCAGCGTCGCAGTCGAATCGTTGGTCGGGATTGAGAGCGTGTACGTGCTGTAAAAGTAGTGACTCTGGTCGGTGCCGTGCTTGGCCGGACTGATACCAACTTCAGCGTTCCAGGACTGGTTTCCAAGGGCATACGTCAGCCCCAAATTCTTCGAAGTCACTTGAGCCGATTGCTGCATGTCGTTGAAGCGCAGCCCCGCATTCGCGTAGTCCTCGGCCGGGTACAGCTCCAGCAGCTCTTCAATGGCGTCGTCGGCAATGGCAGGGAACAGCACTCGCAATGTTGTGACAATATCCGCCTCGCTTTCGACGCCGGTGTATGCCACGGTGTTGTATTCGTGCTGCTCATGAGTGAGCACGCACGGGCCGGAGAAGTTGAAGTGGCCTTGGTACACACTGGCCTCGTACGTGTTCGGAAGGATGAAGCCGTCGACGCGAGGCTGCAACGTGTACGAATACGCGTTCACGATTTCCGTCGTAGCGTTTGCTAGCGTACCGAATGGAACTTCCCGCATGCACGCCAAGTGGCCTCCCTCACAGCCGACAGCACTCGACACATTCTGCCAGAACTGCTCCGCTTGGTGGTGGCCCGCACTCGGGAGATAACCAGGAGACATGATGTACGCCTTCTGGAACAGCTGAGGCGCGTTGCCGCTGAAGCGAGTCATCTGCAACCCGATCTGCGAGCCACCAGCCGAAAAACCCACCGCCGTGACGTCGCTCGGGTTGCCTCTGAAGTTTTCAATGCACTTCTGCACCCACTCGAAAGCGTGCGTGGCGTCCCAGACAGCCAGGTTCGAAACACCGCCCTCGTGCTGGTCGGTGGCCACCCCCGTGAGCCCCAAGCGGTAGTTGTAGGCCACGTAGATGAAGTCCGTGGATAGCTCGAACAGACCCTCGGGCGTGTTCACCGACTTGGAACCGAGCTTGAACCGACCGCCGTAGTTGTACACCAGCACGGGAGGCTCCTCCCCACCGCGCCAACAGGGGCCCGCACATCCAGGAACAAACAGTCCTCCGATGACGCGCAGTCGACGTCAGTATCGGCGAGGTTTCCAGTTGATGTCTGCTTCAACGTCGGGCCATTGTGGTGCGGCGAAGCGCAGATCACCAACGGGAGCTTTGGCGTAACGGATGTTCTGGTACTTGTAGTACCCGGCGGTGGAGTTGCCTCCGACGGCCTGGACGGTCGAGTAAACAAGCATGACGGTGGACAGCGACGAGGAAACGCCACTACAGACGAAGACAGAGACGGCGATTGCAGCCACAGAAGCTAGACGCGGCAATACGCGCATGGTTGGGGTGAAAGGGGCCAGGTGATGCGAGGTGAGCGAATTCAAAAGTGATCAAGCTACATGTACCGTAGTCGACTAGCTCAATTGGTGCCCGGGTGGAGTTTAGTCGACTAGGAAATTCGGTAGGGTATCTCTTCTTGCTTGCGCGCTGGCTGATTTGCATCATAGTCTATCTCGTGATTCCTGGTGTTGTCATGCATTTCCGAAGAAATATATCTTTTCCTGCAGACTCAGCTGTGAGATATCACCGAAACTTGACAGTGATATCGACACGAGAAATTGATTCGGAGTGATTTCGGTTCGCGTGCGATGACTATCGAGGCTTAACCCCCTCAAGTTCAACGCAACTTTATTGAAAGATTGCAAACTCCTACCTACGCGAAAGACTCAAGTCCAGCTTAGTGTGGATTAAAGTATCTTTAGGCTATCGGGTTTCTGAACGGGTAGATTGCAGCAGACTGGGGTCCGATAATCATCGTATCGCGTGGCCTTGGTATTTAGTACCACAAAGCCTTGTTCCAGAACAAGCTCTTGGCGTTGGCCAGGTTGTCATCCGCGACGGCGAACGTGTCGTTGAAGACAATCTGCGTGCCCACACTCGACTCGTTGTACAGCGGCCAGTAGATCTTGTCGTCGGCCCACATGGTGTTGGGGTTGCCGGTGAGCACGAAAGAGAGAAGGTACTTCTGCATCATGACGGCCACCGTCGCGTTCACCGACGAGCTGCCGCCCATGCCACCGGCACCACCAGGGCCGCCGGTCGAGCTGCCGTCAGTCATTCCCGTGCCGCTCGCTTCACCGACAGTGGTGACCGAAGTGCCGGAAGAGGCCGTCGTGGTAGTCGTGCTTTCCGACGAGCTGCTTGAAGAAGTCGACAGCGAGTAGGTGCTGTACCAGTAGTAGCTTTGGTCCGTGCCGTGCGTGGCCGAGCTGAGCGCAACCTCAGCATTCCAGGTCTGGTTGTTCAGGGCGTGCGTCAACGCCAGGTTCTTGCCGGTCAAGTCGAACGACTGCTTCATGTCGGCGAAACGCAGACCGGCGCTCTCGTAATCGTCCTCCGGGTACAGCTCCAGCAGCTCCTCGACCATGTCGTCCGTGATGGCCAGGAAGAAGATACGCAGGTAGGTGGAGACGTCCTCCTGCGAGTCCACACCGTCGTAGGACTGGCTGTTGGCCTCGTGCTGCTCGTGCGAGATAACGCACGGACCGGAGAAGTTGAAGTGGCCCTGGTACAGATTCGCCTCGTACGTGTCCGGGATGATGTAGCCGTCAACGCGAGGCTGAAGCTGGTACGTGTATTCGCTAACGAGGTCGTTGGTCGTGTCCGTGAGGTTGGTGAAGTCCACTTGGCGCATGCAGTCGAGGTGGCCGCCGTCGCAGCCCACGGCCGAAGACACGTTCTGCCAGAACTGCTCGCCGTGGTGGTGGCCCGCGCCAGGAACGTAGCCCGGAGACATGACGTACGCCTTGTGGAAGAGCTGAGGCGCGTTGCCGCCGAAGCGAGTCATCTGGAACAGCACCTGCGAGCCGCCAGCGGAGTAGCCCATGGCCGTCACGTCGTCCGGGTTGCCGCCGAACTTGCTGATGTACTTCTGCACCCACTCGAAGGCGTGTGTCGAGTCCCAGACGCACAGATTGGCGTCGCCGCCCTCGTGCTGGTACGTGGGTCCGGTGGCGAGGCCCGTGATGCCGAGACGGTAGTTGTAGGCCACGAAGATGAAGTCTGTGGACAGGTCGAAGAGGCCCTCGGGCGTGTTCTGCGACTTGGAGCCGCCCGTGAAGCCACCGCCGTAGGTCCAGACGAGCACCGGCAGGTTGCGACCGACAGCGTCGGCAGGGGCCCAGACATCCAGGTACAGGCAGTCCTCCTCGGGCGAGCAGTCGACGTCGGCGTCGGCTTCGTGCCGGTGTTGGTCTCCGTCTCGACGTCGGGCCACTCGGGGGCCGCGAAGCGGAGGTCGCCGGTCGGCACCTTGGCGAAGCGGATGTTCTGGTACTTGTAGTATCCGACGGTGGTGCTGCCTCCGACGGCCTGGACAGTGGTGTAGTCGAGCTCGACGGTGGGCAGTGACGAGGAGGACGATCCGCTGCTAGCGGTGGAGTTGGCCAAAGCAGGGGCCACGACGGCGGCGGCGGCCAGGAGGAGAGCGTAAACGCGCATGGTTGGTGTAAGGTGCTAGCTTGGAGTTTCCCAGGGGAAGTTGGTGATGTAGAGCTCGAAGTAAATCGAAAAGTGAGGACTGAAGATTGGACGACGTCGCTGAAAGCTTGCTGGGACAACCACTGTTGAGCGAAAGGGTTGGCACGTATGCACTTCATCGGACCTCCTCGGCGGAGAACGGATAGCGCTGCCGTTGCGATAATATCCACATCAGACCAGCTACCGCTCCCTGTTGCAATCATGAGGCGGGACGCGCTACTCAGCTGATCGTCATCGTGCTCTCGCAATGGGACAAACGTGCTACGCACTATAAACTATATGATACAGTGCAATTTATCAGATTGCACGGAAACCTGCCTCGCCGTTCCCATCTACGTCACGAAACCGAGCCATACAGGACAGGACCTGGCGCCAATTCATTTGAAATTGCATATCCAATATCTGTTGCCCATGGAACTGAATAGCAGTCACCTGGACGGCATTTACAACATGTACAACCTCTTCTGAATTCCGTTTAAAGCTGCAGACAAGAAATCTGTGCTTCAAGTCTAGATTAACACTAACACGTACAGTGTACACGTGTTCGCTGGCGACTGGAGAAAAATCCTGTGCACGAGCATAAAACTTCCACGTTTATCTTCGTTGGATCTCGTAATGAACAGTGATGATTTGCATGGACTTTGTGAGTTTATTCCAACCTGGCAAGCCATCCCGAATTGTATGGGACTGGACAAGACCCAGAAGAAAAAACGGAGCGTGCCTATTCTAGGTTCGTTGGCTTCGAATTCGGGGCGCGGTGAAGCGAGCTTGTAAGCGGTTGGTTTGGCCTGCGGGCCGATAGTGGATGGGTCGAGATCAATCACATCACCGGTTACTCATACTGTGCTATTCAGTCGTTGTTATCATGGGTACACCGATCTTTTTCAAACGGGAATATTGTTTTTAAATCTACTGTTCAAGAAGCCAAATGTAGGGTATGGAATTCTGCCGACTTTCAAACAAAAGACGTCATCCGTGGAATGACCTCATATCCACGTACGCAGGCACAAGGATTTCGTGTGGCACAATGCTATGCTGTCTTCACAGCAATCAATCCTTCAGATCGACCAGTTGCAATGGAAGACTGGTATCTCCTCTTACATGACGGATATGTTGTGGATGGCAAGAGTAGGAGAGGAGCGTGGGTTTTGTTGGGCGGTTACCCACCCAGAATCGAAGCAGTCGGCTTTGTACACGTGATTGAAGCACAAGAAGGAGATGGCAGCATCACTCCATATCTAGAGCGGGTGATGAGCCAGTTGACACACCGTGCACTTCTATCGACAGTTCGACTAACACTCCAAGCCACATGTCCGAGTACTCGCGGCAGTACAGCGCCGCCAATTTCTAGTGTTGGAAAACCGCTTACGAAAGGACCACGAAAAGCCGTAAAAGCCTTGGTGAAATCACGCCAACTGGCAAGACACACAGACGCAGTGCTCCTGAGAGCAGATATTCCGCAACACTTTACCACCAGGTTAGAGAACGAAATGAAGACCAGTAGTAGCGAAAAGGGGTTGCAGGATCATTATTCGATTCGGAACACCCTACAGCGATTCCAGGACTCTATAGTTTCTCGTTAAACGTAAATAGAGAACCTCTTACCCCCCCAAAAAAAATGTTTTTAAATCTGCGCACTCGGGAACATGAATATGAAATTATATTGCCACTGTCTCGATCTGAAAGCCAGCGCGCAGTTCTGCCTGATTCTCCACATGTGACTTGTGTGAGTGAGGCAGCAATGCGTACGCCGCGGTTACCAATCCACAATACCAGGCGCCTTTTGTTTTAACTGCTGAAGAACCGATGAAATTCGCGCTCGCCATTCGGTGCGATACCTTCGTTGCCAGAGGCTTAGCATCACCCATTTAGGCTATGCTGTGGCATGGCGATATACATCGCGCTAATCTCCACCATCGGTGACCATTCCAGCTCTGATGTACCATCGACGAAAAGGTCGGTTAGCGCACTCGATTGCCAGGGGTGGGCGTTGATATGATGCGGCGGAAGCCATGTCACGAAAGTCTCGGCGCTCACAGATACGCGGTCACCACGAGGATCGTGCGTATCATCTAGCACCAATCCTACGCGCATCTGATGAGCCATCACCTCTCTCTCCGTTGTCGACGCATACACATTTGTCAATGCCGCCAACGAAATGTCCAGCGACATTCCATCGTCCGCAACGAAGCCCTTGTACGCCTTAACACCCCAGAAACCTCCAAACAACACAGCACCCGATGCGGACAGCAGACCACTCGGCAACGCCCCGAATGCGTGCGTCTGGCCATCCAGCTCCAGAACTGTGTCCGATAGTCCAGGGAGTTGCAGCGTCGTCTCAGACATCGCCGCTTCAATGGTCAGTTGCGTACCTTCCAGCACTATGTCGACGCTCGCCAGCATGCGGATCAAGACCAGCGTCGATAGCAGAGATGCACTGTAGCCCCTTGCGGCTGAGGGGGAGGGGGCCAACGAGAGCGACTTCGGATCGAGGAACCATCTCCGGTTCCACACACATGGAATATCCACCAGCTCGCGGCGGAGGGGCATAGCGTTGGAGCTAAGCGCATGCCATTGCGAGCTGCCTCTTGCCCACACGTCTGGAAGAGAGGATATTCCAGTAGATTCCCCGTGAGCAGCTCGGCGAGGCTTTGCGTCGCGTTGCTGCGCTTGCAAGACGAAAACCCGAAACAGCTCTCGGAGTTCAGCTTCAAGAAAAGCGTCCTTGCGCAGTAAAAGTGCGGTCACTTCGCTGCGTCGCGCTTGGTACTTCAGCTCGGAGTAAATCAGCGAGAGGATATCGTCCACAAGCGCAGCGATTGTTCTGTGTCCACATCGTGGGACATTTCTGTGGAAATGCGTTACGAGCAAGTGCGTAAGCTCGTCAAAAATGTCCACAATCATCTTATTGAAGTGTCCACATTGAGTGTTGGGATCGTCCTGCGCAATCTCATCGCTCATCACGGTCGACGTGAGAATCTCTTGAAGACGTACAGAGGAAAACGCGTTCAGCATCAGATCTGCGAACGATCGGAGAACCACTCGCTCAAAGCTCGGGTTTAATGTGGTGGTTGTAGCTTTCTCTGCACCTTCAACAGCGAAGTTTGCCAATGAGAAGTCGGAACCCACGAACGCTGCGAGTGCACGACCCGAGTCTTCTTCAAATGACAGCTCTCGTTTAACCGGCAAGATAGTGAACAACCATTGGCCTCGAATGCGATGATCCATGTCTGTGAAGAAAAAGCCAAACGCCTCCAGCGGAGTATCGTGAGCAAATAGCCGCCACTAGAAGGGACTTCACCAGATCCGACACTTTTAGCTGGAGCGAATGCGACTGCAACGTCAGTGGCCGCTCGCACAAGGGACAGCAGAATGACTCAGGATCCGCCTGAGATCTTAGCTGAGTTTCGGATGTGTTATGCTTGGTCCAGTCATCTTCTACCATCTTGCCCTGCTCCACGTTATCGTTGACAAGCTGGAGCGGCTCTTGACGAGTCGGGAAATTGCTGGCATCGGACGAGAAAAACGTTGAGGCAGTGGCGGATTGTTCTGACGAGGACATCGGGTCTTCAGAGTGCTCTGTCACAGCGATTTCGATTAGATTAGCTTGAGCTGCTCTCACTGCCGACTTAGCAGTCGTAGGCGCTTGGTTTGGGTGAGATGTGTCGCGACGATAGGATACCATCGTGAAAGACGGCGAGGGCTGTCGCGCAACCACAGTCGCCAGTCGAACCCTCAATCGTCCGTGGCTCCTGTTTGCCGCCGCGTCTTCCGGATTCAGCAGAAGAACGTACACCGCAAGCACGTGTTTCATCTCGCGGCGAGCCTTGCTGAAGCCGCTGTCGTAGCTGTAGCACCACATCGGTCTCTCGTGGTCGTTGAGCTTGTATACGATCGTCTTCTGTTTACATGAACGACAGTTGAATCAATGTGTTAACCACAAGACACGTGATCGATGTTGCTCACCAATTGTGGTAGCGAGCTATGCAAACAGACCCCGGTAAGGCTGACCACCTGATCATGAACTAGGTTGGACACGCTATGTTTTGCTGGGTTGTGAAGCCAACAACGCTGTTTCATCCGTAGGGCGAGATCTTAATCTTTATTACCCAGCCTCAAAGCCCACCGGTGGGCTCGGTCCAAATCCCACGCGTGGGCTCAAAAACAATAGTTGTAGATAATTCGTTTTCGCTTTCCAAAGCAATGCAATTGATTCTAAAGAGTTCTAAATGGCACAAATGAAGTACAAGTGACTTGCCACTGACCACCAGGAGCAACAACATTTATTTATCGGATCATAGTTAGTGCGGAAAGTTGATTGGTAATATCCGTGCAGCCTATCTACCTCTAAAATGATAAGGTCAATGGTCCAAGCTCTACAGACACATTGAAAACAGCACAGCAAGCTAAATGAATTCACGTGATACATGCACTGTTAGGACATAACTGGTTAGCCTTCAACAGCCACAAGGCGTCAACTTGCCATGACGAAATTGCAGGGATTCCTACTTTGGGAGTAAATCAGTCGTCCTGTAACGCTCTATCGCGTTGATAGTGCTTACAATAGAGTCTACACAATATTTAAATTGTTTATGTGGTCGACGCTTGCTAAGTTTCACCCCCTACCGCCATTACAACGGCTAAGAAACAAAATATCGAACAGCTATAATAGGCCAATTTTTGGCCCAATCTTGGCCGCTGTTGCTACTACTGCAGTACTTGTTTAACGCTGTGCGGTTTGCATTCCTTCCCTTATACGTGGAGGTACACCTCGGGTATACCAGCACCGATTCTAAATACATACTTAGCAAACAGTTTTGATCAGATCGCTATTTTCTCGACCATAATCTTTGTCCGGGCATTATTTTTTTAGTTCGGGCAAAAGGCGCTGAACAGACCTCTCTCGTTTATTTGTATGCAGAAGGGTATCTCTAAATAGGCCAGACAGCAATAGTATCGGCTTTTTGAAGTGAGCCCACGCGTGGGCTCAATGGGTAATAAAGGTTAATGGATGTAGATATTCAAGCAGCCCGCTAGCAGCTTGAAAGCGCTGTATGTGTAGTTCTGCGGTCAAATAAACACTTACTAAGCGATATGTCTGCGAAGACGCCTACACAGAAAGATATCGATCTTTTCAACTCTCGCTGGATGCCGCCTCAGGAAGGCTAGACATATTGCTCACTTAAATGTAGATGTTGATTCAGCAAATGCCGATTGTGTCTCCTTACACACGGAAAACATTGTCCACATATTTTCCCAGCATTTTGTTCAGAAAAAAGACTACTTGCACAGCGCGATATTTCATATATTACTGTGCAACACTTTTGGAGGACGCTGTGCAGACTGATTCTAGTCGAGACCGAGTTGTTCCACCATACGTTAAGCTTGCCGTCGGAGCGCCCATAGCTCTTACATTCAATATGTGTCAGCCTGCAGGACTGTGCAATGGGACCAATGGTATCCTGTACGATCTCATTTTTACAGAAGGGAGCGACCTACCAATTACTTTATTACCTATTCGCGGCCTGGAACCGACTCCTCGCAGCGACCCTCAGCATCCCGCGAGATCGTAGCGCTTGGAAAGTGCGCAACAACCCCGATCTCTCGCTTACCGGCCTACAGCAAGGCCTGGTCGACGGACTGCAGCGGAGCCCATGGGCGGATCAACGCCGGGGCAAGACACCAGGGGAACAAACCTGCAAAGATGCCCCGCCGGCTGCGATGCAAGGAACAGGGCACGGCTGGAGCGCCGTCATCAGCTACTCGAACCGTCGGGCCAAGAAAAGCGCACCCGAAACTCCCGGTGTACCCAACCCGGCTGGTACCACGAGGGCAAAGCAGCAACAGACTCAGCAAGAACCTGCCAGCAAGCGTAAAATGGTAACAAAACCCAAATCGTCTCTTCCCAGCGGTGCCAACGATTTCAAGCTACTCAAGACCTACCTGGAAGGACAAGCATCGCTTAATTTGGTGATTGAACTGGCGATTCGACTGAGGGAGAAAGCATGCAACCGACGTTATGAAGCATTCTGTGAACGATATCGAAACCAAGAAGGAGCTTCCCTTCGAACCATCACTAGGGGTGAGTGGGAAGCAACGGAGCGTCTGCCGAAGCGGTACGGAGGCTACCACGGGGAGTGGAACCTTCAGGAGATCAACGAGGCTGCTAATCTCATGATTGAGCTGAAAGACTGGATCGTCACTAAACGATTGCCGCAACGAGAGGTGGAGCAACGCCTAATGGCATTCGATCTGGCGAAAACCCTGCCTAAGTACGACCCTACATCCGACCAGGGTGTATCGGCCTCAGTGGCCACCGCAGGTGTTGATCGTAGGACTTTCAAGGACATTGTAAGTGGACCAGCATACGCCGAGACGAACGCGAAGCCAGAATTAACCGCGTAACTACAAGCACTGTACGACATCTGTGTGGCCCCAGCAACGCCAACAACAGCACTTCGATCGCTGACTGAGCAGGAAACCAAAGCGCTGGACCTTGTTATGAGCGGAGAGCTGGAAGTTCCCTCGGTAGTGTGCTAGACAAAAGTGACCTGGCAGCTTTCGGAAGCGTTTTCGAACAGCAAGCGGTTTACCAGATCTACGCCCACATACAGCCTGGGTATTTCTTACATGGGGACTGCACACACAAGCGCCTCATCGAGCTCATGACACCGGGGAACAATGCTGACGCGGTGCTGGTGCAAGAAGCAGTTGATTTCATTGGAGCGTTAATTACAGTGGTCTACAGAGTCCCAAAGACATTTAACGTTCTCATTCTCCGGAATGAGGGCTGCGCAGCGGTGGGCCGGATGGAAGCTACCTTTTGCAAACACCAGAATCCAGCTTTTCGACTACATTACAATGCAAAAGCAAACGGACGAGCACGGACTTCACCCGGTGGTTTGACTCGACAGCTACGAATTGACCGTTCTTGTACTACATCGGGAACTATCAGCTGAAGAGCTGCTGCATGTACTGGATAAAGTGATGAAGGTTCCGGTTCACAATATCCAGCGAATTGGAAGATCGCGTGGTGGAATGGACTGCCGAGCCTGGATGGTAAGATTCTCGGTCCCGGTGTGGCCAGTTGCGCTGAAGCACTACACACACTGGAAGTGGTTAGACGTGGAACTAGCACTGTTTCACCACACCGTGGTTGTGGCACCGCCGTGCACAACGTGCAGGGCATTTGACCATGGACACGTTAATTGCTCGCGATCTGAAGCGGATATCATTTCACGCCGACAGACACTAACACTGGATATTGCTGCGGCTATCGTCGGATCGATGAAAAGACTGGTTCGTTTTCAGCCAACGACACCACTGAAGTCCATGGCCGATTTTTTCCGAGCGAGAAGGGAGGCACCGGCACCCTCGGCGGAAGCAGAGGCTAAGCCTTTCGTGCAAAGTGAGCCTGATGGCCCTGCTGAGTACGATGTAGAAGAACGGGAGAAAGAAATGAACGTGGACGCGGAAGGAGACGACACTAGTCACGAAGGAGAAGGAGCTAAGTCCAACACACACCAGACCTCCACTTCGGCACCTAGATCTAGAGCTGGCGGCGCGGAACGCAGTTCAGAGGCAGCACCCTACAGTGCTGGATCACCGACCAAACGGTCAAGAGATCCCTCAATTCATGAGAGCATTGCTGAATCACTCGCACCGAGGCTAGCGATGTCACAAAGCGAGTCCGTTCCAAATGATCGGCCGATAAGTAAACCCGTGGGTAAATTAGACATCTCCCCGGTCGTTACACGATCCTTAACAAGACATCTATCGACTCGTCGTGCCAACAAACGTCAAAGATGTCAATCGGCCAGGGGAGACCAAGATCTGGATGAGGAAATGAAGGAGCAACCAGATCTATTTACCCAGGAAATTAGCGAGCCTCAACGACAGCGAGGGTCCAGCAAAGTCGTTACGCAAAAATCTCTGCATGACTTCTATAATGACGGTATAACGCTTGATAGCGCCGCTGGAGTGAAGACCGAGGACAAACAAACAGGACCGGCAACTAGTTGCACCTCAGAAGAAGACGTGGTGATACTAGGGCACACAACGCCCAGTCAAACTACGACCCCGACTGTAAAAGCATGGATGGAGATGCTTGGTGGTACGCTCACTTCCGTGATTGGAAATGGACAGTGTGGATGGACGGCATGGTATGCAGCATACACTAACAATGGGGAGCCGAGCTCGAATGGACTGAAGAAAACATTCGCAGGGCAAGCGGCTACAAGTCGAGAGCACTAACTCTCATGATAACACGGTTAGAGACATCCGTTGAATTACACGAGGTCTCGATTGCAGATGCTTACGCGTGGTGGACAGACGAGAGGCCTCTACCAACGAGTGAAGCCGCAGCAATGCTTGAAATTGCCAGAAGCCTGGAGAAGGAGAAACAGCGGGCGGTGGACCAAGCTGCACCACCGAACCGTTGGGTACGCACCGCGAATATCCATGCAATGACGATGCTAATACGAGAACCTATCTACGTGATTGAAGAGCTCAAAGACAGCGAGACAGCAGTGCGGTGCTACTCGTATAAAACCCTGCAAACGCGCAGAGGTGGAGAGCACGCCCAAACAAAGTTACTGCCACCGGGTGAAGCTGTGACTCTCTTTAGCGAGCTGCGGAAACACAAAGTACCTCCAGTGGTGCTAATACTGACTCACGACAAGGCCGGCGGGCACTTCACAGCAGTGACATATCCTCCGCAAGTATTCGACCAAGAAACGAAGAACACAAGAAAGCTGGATCTGGCCCGAAGCAAAATACTGTGCTCGTTAGGATACACTTGTGGTGACCCCGTGGCTCTACACGTTGCGGAAGTAGAACGAGCCGCGCTAAGATGCATGATTCGGTTGGAGCAGCGAGCTGGAGTACAAATCCAATACCCGGACCGTACCGGCGCCGCTCTACACCAGAGCTCGGGTACAACAACAACAACGCAGGAAGTGTACGATGAGTGGCGCGATCATAACCTTGGGCGTGCGAATTATCTGGCGAGTATCGTGACGGATGCTCAAATCACACAGCTTGCGGGGATGATTGAGAGTGACGCACATGAACTACGAAGTTTAATGATGACGATTCCTGACCCCGTGAAGATGCTAGCAGTTTTGCCCTTGGAGAAGGTGATCGGAAGTAGCTATTCCGTCAGATCGTTCTGCTCTGAATGGCTGCAAAGTACAAGCACCGATATTTACACCACGAATCGCAAACTTGCCGGAGCGCCCCAGCGGTGGAGTCGCCTGTGCAAGAATCAAAAAGACTGCATCAACAGAACGAAACCTGTTGACCTGGAGGAAACACAATGGTATGTGCTCCATGTAGTGGCTCTCGCTATCTTCGGGTGGTCACCAGAGTATGCAGGAGATATCTACTGGGCATGTAGAGCGCGTCTATACAAAGTTGACTGCATCCGTGAACTATGCGCCTCCATCGTAAAAGATGGAGACTGGAGTGGGGTAGTTGCATCCCGGCAATACCTGCTCATGGGCCCGAATCTGCTGGAAAGTGATGAAGAGATGCGGGGGGAGGAATATGGGGAGGTTCACCTAGAGGTGGTGAGCCAACCCACACTTCACTAAGGGCCGTCTGGCCCAAGAAGGCCTGCGGCCCCGGGTCGAGGGGGTAGCACGGCCTGAAGGACAAGCCGAAGCCAGCGAAGATTTTCTATGCAGAACATCCGAGGAGGCCAAGGTTTGTCCAGGAAGATCCGACCAAAACCGTATCAAAAGAAAAATGCATGATTACTACAGCAAAGTCTCCCAGGAGCAGCGTGAAGATGAGATATAGCGCAGCTGTAAGGCACTGAAGCGACAAGGACGAAAAGAAAGTAAGAAACGAAACGACCGCAACGACAGCAGACCAGCGTTGTGTCGGGAAGAAGTTACTCAGGGGTTGATGACGATAAATGTTAACGGGTGGGCATCCAATCTCCAGAATCTCACAAGCTGGTTCCAAGGATTCCGAGAGCGGCATGAGAATGGAGTGGTAGACCTGGTATTCGTACAGGAAACCCATTTGCATCAAAACGAAATCGAAAAGGCGACTAGCATGTACAAACACGCTTGGGGATTCCAATCCTCCGCAGCAGAGCCCGCGTCGCTCTGGACTAGAGCGGATGACAGAAAAGGTGGACAAGCAATCCTTCTTAACCCTTACGGGAGTGCAAGCAACCGGGAACCATGGCGGAAGGAACTATGGACTCCACACTTAGTCATGGCGACGTGCCATATAAAGGGGGTTCAGTTTGTGCTACTTAACATCTACGCACCGAGTGACGGTAGAGATCGACGACGATTTTTCGACAGCCTCCGAAGCGTGCCGCTACCACCCGGTGTGCCAATTATTGTAGGAGGAGACTTCAACTGTGTGGTTGATAGAAAGCTGGACAGAAATTCAGGAAACTCCTCAAAGGATGCAGCGTCAGACAAACTGACAGCTCTCATCACGCAGTGGAAATTAGTCGACGCAGTGGACCTCTGGAAACCACCGCGCAGCGATCAAGAGAAAGCCAAAGCCTTCGCTACCAACTTTCACACGTACAAGTATACAGTAGCTCCGGATCAGCTTGGCTCCAGCAGAATAGATCGATGGTACATCTCAACTACTCACCTGGACTGGATATGTCACGCGGAAACGATGCTGCCACCACTGGACTCGGATCATAAAGCAGTGTTAATTCATCTCCGAAATCCTGCTTCAACTAAAAGAATACGAAAGCAGGCCGCCGTCTACTCACTCCCCAATTATGCGCTGGTCGCAGGTCAGAGCCTTATCCGTACGAGGTTAAGCGAATTTCAAGCTAACCTGCATCCAGAAATGCCGGTGGAGCAGGCAGCAGCAGTATGGGATTCGTTTAAGACCTCGCTAACTCAAGAACTCCGTGGATTGAAGCGGTGCTGCCGAAAGAGGATGAATCGAGGGTTTAAAAAGCAGATCAAGCGTCTATCCATCCGCCTTGACAAGAAGGAAATGGAGCCCAGCACCGCGAACGCGGAGGAGCGCTCAGAGATTGTAGCTGAGATCCGGGCACTTACAGCTAGACGAAAAGCGCTACGCCAGATCAACATTAACATGGAGCACACAAAGCACACAGCTCGAAACGTAAAAGGCTTCTTTGCGAGAGTTTCGACGAAATTTGGAGACAATACCATCCCAATTCTGGAGCCGGGCCTAGCTAACACCACCGGGAGCGAGGTGGACCAGGCCGAAATACTAGCAGCAAACTGGAAACCAATTTTCAACGGCGGTGCGGTGCGTGGCACAGACCCGAAGACGTTACTCGAGGAAGTGAAAACGAGGTGGGCCGAGGTAGATCTCTCATGGTTAGATGAAGAAGTCTCTGAGTTTGAGATACGAGAGGCGCTCAAGCGATGCAAACGCGGCAAGGCCGCGGGACCCGATCGACTAGGAAACTCCTTTTATCGAGACTTCGAAGAAGAGCTGGTACCGATTCTCGCCCGTCTGGTTGGTATGTGGGGTTTTCCTGACTACTTTTACTGAAGCTTTCATTTTCAGCATCCCGAAGCGACCGAATGCCACAAATCCACTTGACTTTAGACCCATTTCGCTGCTCAACAGCGACTACAAGATACTTATGAAGGTTTGCGCCCAGAGAATGCGTAACTGCGTCGCCTGCCTAGTGCATGCCACACAGTACGGATTTGTGCCAGGACGGATACTTCATACAGCAATCGAACTCTTGGAAGCGGCAAAAACCTCCGAGGCGTGGCACACAGTGCAGAGCAAAGCGCAGGCACTGCTGTTAGACTTCGAAAAAGCCTACGATTCCATCGAGCGGAATTTCATGTTTGCTGTGCTGGAAGCCAAAGGCTGCCCTCCTCGAATGATGAACATGATTAGGAAACTGCACCAAGGTACAACAGCAACTTTCTTGGCGAACGGCTTCCCGTCGAAGCCAATTCCTGTCACAAGTGGAATCAGGCAAGGATGTCCGCTAGCACCAATTCTATTCATCATCACGATTGACTTTCTCTACGACATGCTTGAGGCGTGCCCGCACTTCGAGGGTGTATTGCTAAAGGGAGTAGATGGAACCACACAGCTAAAAGTAGCTGGCTATGCTGATGACACTGCCGTGTATGTGGAGGACGAGACCAAGCAACCGTTGGTGCTCGAGATAGTGAACAAGTTCTCAACATATTCAGGGCTTCGAGTCAACCTGGCCATGTCTGTCGCTCTACCACTCGGTGGTGCAAAGCCCGCAGAAAACCCAAGAAGCCTCCTGATTCCAACTAAAAGGAGTGCCGATACTTGGGCCACTGGGTGGATGCAGTAGGTGACGTGAAGGGTGCATGGGCCAGAGCATTCAAGTCGCTTACAACCCGACTTGTACTGGCAACATCGAAAACCAACTCGGTCTTCCAGCGAGCAGAGCTTGCGAATGCCATAATCCTGCCGAAGCTGAAATTTGTAGCTCAACACGCGTGGCCTACAAAAGATTTATTAAAGGAAGACAGCTCGCGGATTCGGAACTTTATCTGGAAAAGTTCCTTTGCCAAGCCCACGTTCAATACAACAGGCTGGTTGCGAAGCGAGGCAGCAGAACTCTCGTCAAAGGAAGGTGGATTTTCCATGCCCAATCTGGCCACAGAACTTATCACGCTCAACGTGAAAACAGTTGAGAGATGGGCGCTCTCCACGGATCAGAGGGTCAAGCATGCTGGGGATATTCTGAGGGCTGAACATCAAGCAGGAGATTTCGACTACCTCGTTTCAACACCGGAAAGACCGCCATCTAGCTGCCTGGGAGATTCAATTTGGAGCACCGGAGATAAATGGTTCCGATATACCTGTGCGGCGTCTTCCTCCGAGGCAATACGAGTGGCCAGAGAAAACGTGCGCACTCAGTGTAAGGTTCGCCATGGTGTGAGAACTCAGTGGCGAAATGCAGTGTGACCTGACCGCACTTCTCAATGGACCAGTGGGGCACCTCGAAAGGTTGATTGAGCAAGAGCTTGGGGCATTTGTTGCGGAAGGGCTAATGGACACTAAAGTTTATGACGTACGCTGCCTTCACGGCAACGACAAAGAGCGGAACCCTCGACTTGCATTCAATCGCATTGCAAACAAACGGACCAGAATAGGAGATATCGCAGTGGCGGAGTGGATCCGGCCGGGTATTGTACTGTGGACCTCGCCAACGTTTGGGTTTCCGATGGAACCGAGCCAAGCACCCCAATTTAGAGAACTAGTACTGGTGTTGATGTCTTCATATCCAGCTATACTACGCAACCCCGTCACGTTCTCGACGATCGCTGTTAAACATGACGCAGCAGGGGCGCACGAATTCAATCTGGCTCTGAAGCCAGCAGTGGCTCTTTATGTAGAAAGTGAGCAAGCGGAACCCAAAGAAGTCGATCTCACATCACTAAGTGTCGAGAACGCTGTGGCCGCAGCGATAGGAAGTTCGCCGAACAGAACAATATGTACGCCTCAAAAATGGCTATCCAGAATTTCACCACTTTGGACTGGTCACAGGAGGTGGACAAGACCAACCAGGTGGTATAAGGCCAAGATCACAACTCAAAGAGCCAATAAAGGGCTGTGGAGTATTTGACCAGACAACGGACACAACAGACGAAGGACGACGCCGGCGCTGACGTCGCCGACGACGCCGACGCTGCAGCCCGACCGACACCGACAGGTTGACCGACAGGACGCACGGACCGCGTCAACACTGGAGGGCGCTGCTACAGGGGGCGCCCTCCTGTTAGGCAAGTAGTTAGGGAGCTTTGTCTAACTGCTTAATGAACTCACTGCGCAATCTACTTTGCAGCGCGCAAGCGTCATAAAGAATTCTTTGACAAATCAAGCCTCGCTACCACATGCCTGGCATGAACGACGACTACGAGTATGACGCCGAGGGCGACGTCAAGATGGCGATGCCGCAGCCTATCTTCGAGGTGACGAGGGCCCCAAGTCTCAAGATCTGGAGCCAGTCGGCCATTTCGACGTTCCTCCGAGAGCGGAGGCAGTATGAAGGCAAGGTCGCGGAGCAGTGTCGCGTCACGGGCGAAGTCCAAGGAGCTGTGACGCGGAGTGTGCGATCGACGGTGGAGCCAAGGGTGCTGGAGTACGTGGCCCACTACATCCTGAAGAAGGACATCGAGAGCGTATCAGACGACATGCTGCTGGCGGAAATGAAACGAAAAGTGGGCGTGATGATGTACGACCGCGTCCCCGACGTCACTCTGCTATTCTCGCGCGAATTGAGGATGGATCTATCGGAGGTTGACGTCGAGGCCAGGATCGCCAACTACTTCATGACTTTTGGCCGTTTGGTCGAGGACAACGGATTGGCTGGCATGTTAGGCCGAGGGCCAGCTGTCGGCGAGGAAGGCCGTCAGCGTATGAAGCTACGATGCAAACTGCTGCTGAGCAACGTGACGCCGGAGATGTTGAAGATTGACTTGAGCTGGCTGGTCGAGTTGACTCACCGTGAGGCGAAGGTGAGCGACCTGGCCCTGCACGACTTGATGATCGAGCGAGCGACCAGACAACAGCAGTACCATCTCATGCAGTCGGAGATGAAGCAAAATTCAGCTCCGCGAGTGAAGGACTTGGCCACAGCAGGAGGAAAGGCGCAGCAGCGCCCGGCTAAGCCGCAGTCAAAGCCACCTAGCAGCAACGGTGGCAACCGCAGTTCTGGGGAGCAGCGCAAGCCCCCTCGCGATGAATGTCTGATCTGTAAAGGGCCGCATTGGGCTCGGGACTGCCCAACGGCGTCTGCGGAGCAGAAGGCTGAGGTTGCAAAGAATCTGCGCGAGCGGAAAGGCCGGTAGCCCGATCGAGTCAAGCGGGTCACGGCCGATGACGAACCAAGCTTCAGGACCGCTGTCATAAACAGCGTGTTGACCGTGCCGTTCTGCCCAGACACGGGATCAGACGCGAACACCATTGGACGGCCAGTGCTTGATGAACTTCGGGAGCTGGTGCCTGATCTGCCGACCGTGAGGGTCGAGCCGTGATGGCTGCAGGTGGCAATGCTATGTATTGCCACGAACGGGTGTACGTCGACCTGCAGATCGTGACGGCTGCAGGGCCTCTTTGCTTGTCGAACATCGAATGCTTGGTGCTTGAGGCACCGGAGGAGGAACTTCTCGTTGGTAGAGCTACCCTCCAGTCCATCAGTGTGGATCTTGATGGGATATTCGAGCAGCTGGTGCAGCACAACCTCGGGGAGGCCGAGGCCGAAGCAGATGACATCCCCAGCGACCAAGTCGAGTTGCTTGGTGATGTCGACGGTGACGAAGTGGCGGGCATGCTCCATTACCTCGTCGACGACGCGATCGAGGCAGGATTTGACCTGGAGTCTGCCGATCGACTACGAGACCTGGTGCTGAGCTACTCTGACGTGTTCCGGATCCGGTTGGGTCATGATGAAGCGGCTGATGTGGAGCCGCTGGAGGTGCAGCTTGTACCAGATGCTCAGCCTTATCGAAGTGGTGTGAGGCGCTACCCCGAGGTGCAGCGTCGATTCTTGCGCGACTATGTGCGGGAGTTGGAGGCTGCTGGCTTGGCCAAGCGAAACAACCAACGTCGGTGGTCCTGCCCTGCTTAGCAACAGGCAAAGCAGGGCACCGACGAGTTTCGGATTATGATCGATTACCGCCCAGTCAACAAGCTGACTGTAAGGTGCTGGCTTGTACTTGTGGTATTGCGGGTAAAATGGAAACTGAATTGTTGTTTTATCTGTTTGTTGGTATCCATCTACCGGAGGGCGCTCTCGTGGCGCGCAGTCCTAAACATGCAGTGGTTGGCCGGAGCAAGCGCTTGCGCAACCGGTAAGTATGCGGACGGCAACTCCTGCTCTCTGTGCGCGGACTCATCGGATGTTGTCGTGTTGCTCTGCGCTTGCATGTGCAGATCATTACACTCCCCCCGACTTGAGCGAGTCCCGGCACCTTGAACGTTGATGTTGCCGAAGTTGAAGTTGGTAGTACCGTAGACTCTCGGTGTAAGGAACAGTACCGTGAAACATCTGTTGAAGAGCATTCCACTAGGCCCGTGCTACTTGATTGCGTTGGCGAAGATCCTTGAGCAGCGCTTGCCAGTGACTGACGTGTTTGATGTCGCTCTCGCGTTCCCATGTGTTCTCATGGTGAGGGAGCCCGTGCCACTTGACCAAATACTCAGGTTGACGGTTGAAGATCCGTTTCTTGATCAGGGCTTCGACAACATGTAGCAGCTCACCGTCGTCATCAAAGATCACAGGGGTCGACTTCGGGATCACACAACCGACGAAGCGATCAGGGTTGCTGTTGTATACCTTGAGCTTGTCGATGTTAAAGCGTGGACTGATGTGCTTCAAGTTGGCCGGTAGATCCAGCGGTGCGACGTTGCTGTGTAGTTCCAGGATGGGGTACGGACCGATGACTCGCGGGATGAGCTTCCGTGAGCGAAGAGTCGTTTCCGCAGTGGCGTGCGAGATGTTCAGGTCTTGCGTCGACAGCAAGGCTAGATCGCCGACCTTGAATGGATTTGCTGCACGACGCCGGTCGTAGAACTTCTTTTGAGCCTCTTGCGCATCCAACAGATTCTTCCGAGCACGTTCGATCACCTCTTGACTGGATCTCTGCCGTATGCCTTCTGAAACGCCCGCTTCGTTTGGTTATCCAGCTGAAGTGAGCTGATCACCGTGGTGTCCTCCATTGACGCTGCGTTCAACCTCATGCGCCACTGTGCTGTGCCTACTCCGAGTGCCTTTGTGGCTGGCTGTTTGACGGCCAGCATCACAGCTTGATCCCGGGGCGGTATGCTTTGGAGCTTCGCCGTAGCCATGGTACGTCGTGAGACCACGTCTCGAATGTTCGTGCATGTGGTAGACGTCAAACACGCCGTACACACTACAACCGGCTCGGGCATGGACTCACAATCCTCCTGCCCATCCCCCGGACTCGATGAAGCATCAGGGGGGGGGCGCGACAACGCGTCCGCAACGACATTCAAAGCTCCTGGACGATGATGCAGAGTGAACTGGAAGGACGCAAAGAAGTCGAGCCAGCGGGCCAGGCGACCCGACAGGCGTGGATGCTGCAAAAACCACTTGCACGCCGAATTGTCCGTGTACACTTCAAACGAGGCTCCATGGAGATAATGACGCCAACGTGTAAGCGCCTGCTTGATCGCAAAGAGCTCCTTCTCGTAAACAGGCCAGTTCAGCTCGTGAGGTCCCAGCTTCTTGCTGAAGAAAGCCACGGGAAGATCGTTGCCATCATGCATCTGAGAGAGCACTCCACCAATGCACGCATGGCTGGCATCCGTTGTCACGATGAATGTTTTTTCAAAGTCCGGCAGACGAAGCACCGGAGCGTGCTGGAGCGCGAGCTTAATGGCATTGAAAGCTTGGCGCTGGTGTTCGTTCCATACCCAAGCGACATCCTTCTTGACCAGAGAGCTCAGGGGCAGTACCAACGTCGTAAACGGCTGGATGAAGCGACGATAGTACCCGGCGAGGCCCAAGAAGCGTTGGAGGTCCTTGATGTTGCATGGCTCGGTCCACTCTGCGATGGCTCGAGTCTTGCGAGCGTCCACGTGCAACCCATCAGCAGAGATGGTGTGGCCAAGGAAGTCCACTGAGGCTTGTCTGAAGTCGCACTTGTCAGGACGGGCGTAAAGCTTGTTAGCGCGCAGGACTTAGCAGACTTGTCGTAAGTGCTCAACGTGGTCAGCCATCGATCGCGAGAAGATGCAGATGTCGTCAAGATAAACGACCACGAACAGTAGATGACTCAGCAGCTTGCACATCAGGCGTGTCCACGTGCCTGGCATGCCGGCCAGACCCATGGGCGCCCGTTCCAATGATAGATCTCATGGTTCGTCCTGAATGCCGTGTACTGTTTTGACGTCGGAGACATGCGCATTTGGTGGTATCCACTCGCGAGGTCGAGAATAGAGAAGACCACTGCGCCCACCATGCGATCGAAGAGTTGTTCGATGTGCGGTAGCGGGATCTTAGCTACATCCGAGGCGGCATTCACCAAGCGATAGTCGATGACCCATCGAATCGGCATGTGCGGGCTGTTCGAGTGCAACCACTCCAAGCGGGATAGGAACTTGCCCGTCGCGGGATCCTTTTTCGGCACGCCGAAGATGTTCGATACCCAGGGAGAGTCCGACACTTCGACCCAGTTCTTCTTCAGCAGCTCTGCCACAAAGATGTCCAATGCTTCCTGCTCAACCTTCGAGAGGCGGAAGGGAGCTCGGTTGCTTGGCGTCGCCCCTGGTTTCAAGACCACTTCGTGCTCGATGGTGCGGCTTGGTGGTAATCCAGGTGGCAGCTCTGCTGGAAAGACATCTGCGAACTCTTCAAGAACCGCTTGAAGCTGCAATGGCACGGACTTCACCTTGGGCGACGTCTTCACCACAGTTCGACGTACTCGTCAGCCTTCACCTTCTTCTCGAACTCCGCAGCCGCAAGAACACACAGCGGCGACGCGTCTGTACCATCGTCACCGTCGTCAAAGATGCGTGGTAAGGTCTGGTGTCCCAGCGCTGCTAGTGAGCTCGGTCCCAACGGCATACTGAAGTAGCCTGCCTGCACATGGTCATCGAGCTGCTGCCGCAGGTTCGGGGGAAGCAGGTGCTGAAGAAATTCCGGTTTCACTTCCACTGAAGCCACCGTCGATCCCGCCACCTCATGTCTGCTGTTCACGGAACCGAAGTCATGTACTACACGCTGGTTGGGGAAGCGCATCACTCCGTTTTGCCAATTGGTGATCGGGTTGAACTGCACTGACCGAGAATCATGTCTTGGTTTAAAGATACCTCCCATTCAATGAGAGATACATCGTTGAAGACTCTGCCATCAAAGCAGACAGTCTCCAAACATTGCTGTGCGGTACGCGCCGGGGTTGTCGTGCCATCAAAGCGCTCGGCCGTGACCTTGGTGGCCTCAACGTAGTACTGCGCGAGGCCCGGACGCACAATGTTGCGCTCTGCACCACTGTCGATCAAGACTCGCACTGCCTGGCTGCTCGTCGCTCCCTCGAACCTCAACAGTTCACGATTGAGCGACAACTTCGCGTCGAGAGACACCATGTTCAGCTGCAAACTGTCGATGACCTCGACGTGGTCGTCGCGGTTGTCTGCGTAGGCATCGTCATCGTCGTCGGATGCGTCGTCGTCTTCAACAATGCGGCGAAACAAGCCCTGGTTTGCGCGGAAAGAACCACGCCCTTGTGGAGGACGAGATGAGCCTCGGGGGTTGTTACGCGCTGGCCGCTTAGGACACGTAGCCAGGCGGTGTCCGGGCTCCTTGCAGTAAAAGCAAAGATTACTTCGCAGACACTCTTCGCGAGAGACGAAGCGCGAACTCCCGATCTCCATTGGGGTCGGCTCCTCGACGTGATGTGGCGACTGCTGAAGACGTTGTGGACCTTGGCCTCCGCGGTTCACGTTGGTTCGACGCGATCCTACAGCGTGCGTGCGGTCGTACATGAGTGCAAACGAAATTGCGTCTGTCGTGTTCCTGAACTGGCGCAGCTTCACCTCTTGTTTGATCTCTACGACCAACCCCTTCTGGAAATGCATGACCTTGTCGATGTCGCTCATCTCCTCTACCTTGTAGATGATGTGCCGGAAGGCCGACACGTAATCTTCAAGACAGGTGAAGTTGTTCTGGCGCAGGCGTAGGAGCTGGTCACGCAGGTGCTCTTGCCGAACGGGTGTCGTGAACTCGCTGGTCAGCAGCTCCTCGAACTGCGTGACCGAGTGCAGGAAGTTCCTGTCGTGGGAGACTACTCGTGGTACCAAGCCGCTGCTGGTCCCTTCAAGTTTGCCACCAAGAGCGACAAGGGGCGCTGCTGCGGCGAGTCGGCGCCGTACTTGATGTTCTTCGACTCAAAGTAGAGCTTGGCGCTGAAGAGGTAGTCCGCGACGTCGTCGTCCTTGTGCCGGAGAACTTCGGCATGGTGATGCCCTCGGCCCGGTACTCGCGCGTGTCTGGCGACGAACAGTCGGCCACCGACGGTTGCTGCTGCTGCGAGGTGGATTGCTGCTGCCGTTGCTGTTGCAGTGTCGCCGCCATCTGGCGCTGCAGCTCGGCTGTCTGTGCCATGAACTGCTGCTGCTCGCGCATCATCGCCGCGAGCGAGACGAACATCTGTTGCACGCTGTCCGCGTGCTGCATCGCTGCTTCATCCATGTTTGCGCCTACGCTAGACACGTCGTCAATGGATGGCTGGGGCGCGCAAGCTCCTCAGCCAAATCAATCAAAGTTTGAAGTCGCAGGCACTCCCAGGAGCGCTGCTTCCGACAATGTCTGTAAGCCCCAACGAAGTCACAGAAACTTGTCCTGGAGCTCTGTTTCCGACAAGTACCAACCACTTGCTCCAGCGCCCCGAAGGAAGCAACTGGTGAAATTCCGTCCGGCGCTAGCTCGAGCCCGCCTCGGAGCACAAAGATTCCTACTACTAGACTCGTAACGACCACCGACGCGGATGTTACACTCGGCTGCGCACTGTTTGCAAGTGATAGCCGAGGCGACAAGTGGAAGGTCGAGGTGGGTGCCGCGTATGGACACGCGGGAGTGAGTGGGCTAAATGCACCAATGAGATGTCGACACGAAGTGACGTGTGACAATGCGCGTCGCCACTCCTCCCCAGAAAGAAAAGGAGCGAGCCCGGCGAAAATGGAGGTCCCGTCGGCGACGAGCGGAACGAAGCTACGGACGAGGCAACGCGCGCGGCGCACCCGGAGAAGCTGAACGGCGAGAGGTACAGGTGCGGCGCACCGAAGAACGTAGGCGAGGAAGACGGCGTGCGCAACGGCAACGCGGGATGGACTAGGCTGGTCGGCGTGCACACTAGCGACGCGTGGCAGGACTGG